CCAACCCCTCTGCTTCCAGGTTCCCCTCCCTCCATGCTCCATCTCCGCAAATGATAAAGTTGGGGTTAAGAGAGACACAGGAAGCCACTGATGCCCAAATTTAATGAGGTACATTAGACGCCCTACTACACACGTGAGCAATAAAAACTGCACGTGTTAAAGCGCATGTCTTAAAAACTTCAACCCTACCCGGGCACCAGGGGCTCACGCCTGTAATTCTAGCTACTCAGGAGGCAAAGATCAGGAGGATCAAAGTTCAAAGCCAGCCAGGCAAATAGTTCTCGAGACTCCATCTCGAAAAACCCATCACAAAAAAGGACTGGTGGGGTGGCTCAAGGTGTAGGCCCTGAGCTTAATTAAGCCCCAGTACCGAAAAAAACCCCAAAAACCCTTCAACACTACTCTTGATCTAAAAACTCTGGGACACCCCAGTTTGAAGGACTGATTGGAGAGACAAAAAGCCTGTAAGAAAGCAGGCAAGCCAGAACGCTTCTGAAAGAAGAATAAAGTAGAAAGACGGGGTTTGGAGGGAAGTGGATAGCTCTGAGATTTAGGGGTCGCGCTGAGTCCTCACAGAGATAAAAACTGAAGTGTTTACAAGTAAATCGGCACAACTGGGGAGAGGGGGAACAGCAGGGTTAAGAGGCAGGAGAATAGGGAAGTACAGGTTGGTCAAGAGCAGTGGAGACTGACCAGACAAAATGGCACGAAGTTCCACCCAGGACATGCCCCAAGTCCCGCCTGGACATGCCCCGTTCTGGAGACATCTGGTTGGGGACGTCCTTGGAACCCCCTTTGTGTGGTTAACTCAGGAGCCGCTGCATCAGAAGGGAAAGTCCCTGAGCTAGCGCATGCGCTGAGCGCTGGGGAGCCTGTCCTCGGATGACCTCTAGAGCCTCCCTCCTACTAAAAGCTTTGCATACATATGGACTGCGTCTGGTGCATGGAATTATAACAGAACGCATCATGGGAGGGACCGTCAAAAACAAGTTATATAGCATCCTCCTGTCAATCAAACATGTCAGTCACTCTAGCCCCTCTTGCAAAGACTCCAAAATTTTCCCCACCCTTTGCCCTTACAACATATAAACTGCCCTTTGAACAAAGATGGGGCTTCCATGCCACCTGGCGAGAGCCCACATCTCTGTCTTGCAGTATGTCCTCCTGCCTGTACTTTTCCTTTCAACAAAGCTTCACTACTGCTTTGCAACCTGTGTCTGTGTCCAGTGATTTGTTCCCACACCCAAGGACCTGAGAATTCCCAACCACGCGCCAGTAACAGTTATACATGAAGCAAAGACTGACCATGTGCTGATAATTGTTGCTCACGTGATAGACACAGAGAGTCCTGTTGTCTAGTTTTCATATATTTGAAACTCCTCATAATACAGAGTTAAACAAAAATAAAGTGCCTGGGAAGTGCTCTAGGGGGAAAATTCCGCAGGGAGGTGGGCAATGAAATACAGAGTCTGGAGACTGTTCAGTGAAAAAGCAAGGAATCTGGAAGTGAGCAATGAATGAAAAGGAACTTGAAGCCTCGAGAATGAATGAGTATAAAAGAGAAAGGAGGGCTGGGTGTGGCTCAGTAGTGGAGTGTTTGCCTAGCATGTGATGTCCCTAGCTCCAGAGAGAGACAGAGACAGAGAGACACAGAGGAACCTAACGAAGCTAGAATCCTGAGAAACACCAACAAGAAGGGAAATGGCAAAGATAGTGTGGCTGGCATGAGTCTTGCATGCCAAAGGCGGCATTCCAAGAAGGCAGTGACCTACAACTGTCAAATGCTGTTGAACACTTGCAAGAAAGACGGGCTGGGGTTGTAGCTCAGTGGCAGAGTGCTTGCCTGGCATGCACAAGGCCCTGGGTTCAATCCCCAGCACTGCAGAAAGAGAAGTCAAGAAAGAGAAGAGAAGTCAAGAAAAGAAAGGATTCATCAGCATCCCATAAGAAAGTCACTGGTGATTCTGGTGAGAAGCAATTAAGGCAGGGAGGAGGGAACTGGGCAGAGAGTATAGAGTTCACAGGTGGGAGATGAAGAACAGAGGCATCTTGTAAGAACAACTCTTCCAAAAAATTTGGTGGAGGAAACGTGGGCCCTTGGAGGGAGGCTACCTGTTTGGAACGCTGGCCTCTCCTCTGTGACATCAGTTGCTCATTTGTTGATATACTGCTGAAGATGTTGACCTCTCTAAATGACCACCTGTCTTCCTTTTATTCTGTGTACACCTCCCACCAAATTCAGGTGGTGTTGTGACTGTCGCTTTAAAATTTCTTTTATATTGAATTAGCATGCATTAATAATACAAAGGGATTTCAATATGTTAATTCCATAGATGCATGCAGTATACCTTGAACAAGTTCGCCTGCCCAGCTTCCTCAGTGTTTGGTGGGTTTCACTGTGCTGTCTTCATGTGCACATACGAAGTGTTCCCCATCCTCTTCCCCTCCCCCATCTCCTTCTGACAGTTCCCCATTTACATTCATGTCCCATTACCATCATCATGACTGTCACTCTTTATATAAAATCTACCGGTGCCTTTCCAACACTTACTGAAGTCTGAACCAATGTCTTTTCCAGAATATTCTAAGTGTTCCTTAACACCAACCATACTGGACCACTCAGCCTCCTTCTGTGTACTTTCTGTTTAACCTCTGGTTAGAATATATTCTTCTCCAATCTTTGTCTCTCAAATCCTGCTTGTCCTTCATGTCCCCTCCTTATGTCCTTGCCTGACTCCCCACCTCTGTGCACTAGAGTAGACAGGACCTCTTCCTCCTCTATTCTTCCATGCATGCTGTTTATCTGTCATGGTGTTCACTAGATTTTGCCTTGATTTTAATTTTCTAAGTTCCCATTACATCCTTCCTCTACCCACAAGTTGTACATTACTTGAAACTGATTGTCTCTTCCTTATGGTTTTATCTGTCCTAGAAGTACCTAACACAGTATCTTGCACAAAAATTACCTTTTTTTAAGTTCAATTAGATTTCCAGGGCTCTATTGTTTACAACATCTGAGGGTCGAAACTGCCTTTTTAGAATACAATACTGCTCCTATTGCCTTCTGGATAACGTTGTCATTTCATTTGTTTTTTAAAAAATTTTTTGCAGTGCAGTGTAGAGGATCAGATCTACAGCCTCATGCTTGCTAGGCAAGTGCTCCACCACTAAGCTGTACCCCCAACCCTGTCATTTTTGTGAGCTGTCTCAATATGATCTAAAAATAATAGCTAAAATTTGTTACTTTGTAGCTGAAAAACTATTTTTCAGGTGTGCTTTATCATTTAAACTTTAAAAGTGTAGTTACGTCAGATATGGTTGCACATGGCTTAACCCCAGCACACGAGAGGCTGAGGAGGGAGGATTCAGAGTTTCAGCCAGACCCTGTCTCAAAGGAAAAAAAAAAAAGAAATTATATTCCACTGTATTATTCCACCACCTCTAATTTAACCTTTGCTGAACTCCTTTAGGATAGATACTATTAAAACCATGTTACAGATGAAAAACTGAGGTACAGAGAGATTAAGTAACTTTACTGAGGTCACAGTTTCTAGCAAATGGAATGGGAACTCTTTGTACTACAACTCTCAACATTCAAAGCGACAAGTATTTACTGAACACCCACCATGTACTATGTGCCAGGCACTTTCAGCTCCTGGGTGTCCAGCAGTGAACCAAACAGACAAGACTTTGCTTTCAAGGACCTTATATTCTAGATACAGTCAATAAAATCACATGTACGATCTACCATTTGATCCAGCAATACCACTCTTGGGGATATACCCAAAAGACTGTTACTCCAGAGGCACCTGCACATCCATGTTTATTGCGGCACTATTCACAATAGCCAAGTTATGGAAACAGCCAAGATGCCCCAGCACTGACGAATGGATTAAGAAAATGTGGTATCTATACACAGTGGAATTTTATGCAGCCATCAAGAAGAACGAAATGTTATCATTCGCTGGTAAATGGATGGACTTGGAGAACATCATTCTGAGTGAGGTTAGCCTGGCCCAAAAGACCAAAAATCGTATGTTCTCCCTCATATGTGGACATTAGATCAAGGGCAAACACAACAATGGGATTGGACTTTGATCACATGATAAAAGCGAGAGCACACAAGGGAGGGGTGAGGATAGGTAAGACACCCAAAAAACTAGATAGCATTTGTTGCCCTCAACGCAGAGAAACTAAAGCAGATACCTTAAAGCAACTGAGGCCAATAGGAAAAGGGGACCAGGTACTAGAGAAAAGGTGAGATCAAAAAGAATTAACCTAGAAGGTAACACCCACACACAGAAAATCAATGTGAGTCAATGCCCTGTATAGCTATCCTTATCTCAACCAGCAAAAACCCTTGTTCCTTCCTATTATTGCTTATACTCTCTCTACAACAAGATTAGAAATAAGGGCAAAATAGTTTCTGCTGGGTATTGAGGGGTTGGGGGGGAGAGGGAGGGGGTGGGGGCAGGGGGGAGAAATGACCCAAGCCTTGTATGCACATATGAATAATAAAAGAAAAAATAAATAAATAAAATAAAATAAAATCACATGTAAAAGGGCGAGAGCACAGCTCAAGTGCTTGCTCTAGCAAGCAGGAGACCCTGAGTTCAAAAAAAAAAAAAAAGAAAGAAAAAGAAAAAATAAGATATCATTTGGTTCTCAGAGCCATGAAAAAAAAAAAAAAGCAGGCTGGTGGGGGAAGTGAGTGTGTACGTGCTGGTGTGCGTGAAGCCCTCTGACCTTATTTCAGCAAGCACACCAGGCTGAGCGGATCAAACACCCGAAGACCCCGCCAAAAAGTCGCGCGCTCTTCCCGCGCGAAACTTGGACCGCGCACGCCCCGCCCTGTGGCCCCGCCCACTGCGCCCTCCCGGCTTCCCCCGGGTCCTAAGCGGAAACGGACGAGTGCCAGGCGCGCCGGATCGGCCGCGACTTCCGGGAGGAGCTTTGGCCCCCGCCGGCCCCCGTCCGGCGCCGCGCCTTGCCACCAGAGGTAGCAGTGGAGACGCCCGGAACCCGCGGCGGCGTGGATGCGGAGTGCTGCGCTGTCTCACCATGGGCGAGCACGGCCTGGAGCTGGCGTCCATGATCCCGGCCCTGCGGGAGCTGGGCAGGTAGGGCCGGGCCCCCTAGTCTTGGGTCGCTCGTCCTCCCACTCCCGGCCCGGCAGAGGTTTCTGGTTCCCCGTCCGCGCTGAGCGGTGCTCGGATTCCTGTCGCCGCGGCCCATGTGAAAACGCTGGGCGTTGGAGCCAGTCGCCTCGCCGTCAGAGGCCGTTCCTGGGGCGGGTGCGTCGTCCCGATCCGCAGGGTTTGCCTTGCGCTGCTGGAAGGAAGGTTCCCTCTGAGGGCTTTCCAGTCACTTTTCTGCACTCGTTTGCTTCTCGGAAACCCCTTTCCTCAGATGAGAGGCACTTTCTATTCTTTACCATTACTTCTGGAGGACTCGGCTTACGATTTGTTCCGGGGCGGGGCGGGGGTGTAAAATCACGGCTGCAGGGTTTTAGCAGGGGAAATGGATTGCTGGGAAAGGCAGCTGATTTCTTTCTGGGAAGTGACTCGCAGTGCATCCTAAAGATGTGACCTCCTTCGTATTGACCAGTCACTCTTGGGTCCAGTGTCTTAGTAGAAAGTCCGAGGGATCCGCAAAACCTAAACAACAACAACAAAAGGAGATAATTGAAGGTCGTGCCGGTTTTCTGTAAGCCCCAAGAATAAGATCCCGTGCACCCGGTTTACCTGGAGAGGGGCGGGGCTTAGTGCTCGCCACGCCCCCCCGCGCCCCGGGCTTCGTCCACCAGGCCAGACCCTGGACAGCGCGCGGGACCAGGCGTGGATAGTTTTTTGGTAGTTTTTGTTTTTTTTTTTTAAGCCGGTGCAAGCGTGGGCTTGCACTGCTGCCAGGGCTGAATTGCCAATTGGAACAACTACTTCTCGTTTTCTCCTTTTTTCTTCCTGATTCCTTGGCCCTCTCTCCGTTTCTCCTTAATAGCCCCTCTAACTTTAAATTCGATTTCTCTTTTTGGCTTTGGTGTTATTTAATCATAATTGCAATCCTACCCCAAGCTTCCACTATTACTAGCTTAGACAGGGTGCACAATCTCCATGATTTGCAGTCTCAATAAATCCGAATTAGGTTTAATATCCCTATCTTGTTGCTTAAGATTTGGAATAACATAGTATATTTAGCCTTGTTTGATATTTATTTATTTTGGTGGGACTAGGATTTGAACTTCCATTTGCAAGGCAGGCGCTCTACCACTTGAGCCACACTTGATAGGTATTTGGTCTATAATGATTGTATCCCTAAGCTGGATGTTTCTTGAGATCTGGAACTAATTCCCACTGTCAAAAAGCTCACTTAGGTGTTCACTTGAGACCTTGCACTCAGTATTTCTAAAACCGGTTTTGGTTTTGCTTCCCAGACATGTACTTCTTCTTTTTAAGTGTTTTAGTGAGTGATCTCAGAATCCACCCTGAATAGAGGGCTAGGCTGGCTTACCAGCTCTCCTCCACCCCACTGCTTCTTTCACTGTCTCAGCAGTACCTTCCGATTTGTTGCCTGGTACACTATAGGTGCTCAGTGAATGTTGACTGCCAGTCTGACTGTATGATTCTTTATTCTATTTAGTGGAATACAGACTTTCTGTTAAATTCTTATATTCTGTTCTGTGGTGGTTTATACCAGATCCTGGAGCTCAACTTTAATTCATTCAGGATTCTAGGGTACAATTCTGCTGAATTGTATTTCTCCTCTTAATACTATTTTTCCCTGATTGGTCCTAAGACTAAATATATGTATTTCTTAACATTTTCTTCTTTATTTTGGAAAATTTAAAGCATAAGAAAAGAAGAAAAATAGCATAGTGTATTGATTTCCCCATTCGTGATCTTCATCTCAACACAGATTACTTTGAAGCGAATTCCAGACATCATTACATCCGCTGATGTCAGTATTTATCTGTAAAAGACAGAGACTTTTAAAACATGACCACAATACCACTGTCACACTAAAGAGAAAATTCTATAATATCAAGTTCCTAGCCTGTGCTCAGATTTTCCCACTGTCATGGAATCAGAATCCAGTTCAGAATCGTGCATTGTAATTATTCTGTATGTCTCTTGAATCCTGGTTATAGATTTTTCCTCTTTTTTTCCCTTAGAATTTGTTGAAGAAGCTGTGTTCTATAGACTTTCCAAAAGTCTGGATTGGCATTGTTTAATAGAAACATAGTGGAAACCACATGTGTAATTTAAGTTTCTCTAGTACCACACTTTAAAAAGTAGAGTGGAAATAGGTAGAATTAATTTTATCAATGTAACTCACTTAACTTATATCCAACTATCATTTCCACATGCAATTAGTACAAAATTATTGAGATACTTTTTTGTACTATTAGAAATTCGGTGTGTATTTTACATGGATAACACATCTCAGCTTGGACTAGCCTCATTTCAAGTGCTAAATAGGTACAAGTGGCTGCCATTGTGAACAGAGTCTAGATTCTGCACATCAGATCCTGGTGGGATCTTTTAGCTTGTTCTGTTTTTTTTTTAACCCTGTAAATTGTTAATATGTATTTAGGCTTTCTTTTCATTTGTTAAGCAGGAGAATACTGCAAATGTCAAATTGAAACTACACACATTTGCTAAGTTCAACTTTAGAGAATTGTTTTAACAAATGAAATTCTAAGTTCTTTTAAGGATTCAAAGCTTTTTATTTGTGTTTTAGTGCCACTCCAGAAGAATATAATACAGTTGTACAGAAGCCAAGACAAATCCTATGTCAGTTCATTGACCGAATCCTTACAGATGTAAATGTTGGTAAGAGACCAATTCTCGCATGAACTGTATGAATTCTGTGGCTTTTTCCATGCATACGACACTATGCTAGCATTTTCTCAGGTGGTTCAGGTGGTTTAGTTACAGAGTTAGTAGTTCTGATAGTTACTGTTATTCAGTATCACTTGTGACAAAATGTGGTTTAGACTTTTAAAATAACTCTTTTCCTATTAGTAACATTGATTTTCTACTACTTGCTATGAATTCTTTGCTATTAGATATTGTACATAAAACATATTTGCCAAAGTGCAATCATATGGACCTTATTTTAGCAGCATTACACCAGTGGCAGACATCCAGCAAATGTCACACACACACACACAACCTTTAAGAGTTGCCTGGGGTGATCTAACCAATGTACAATATAAACCTATTTGGAATTGTCACAATGAATCCCCCCTGTACAACTAATATATCCTAATAAAAAAAATTTTAAAGAAATTTTAAATTTGCCTTTGTAAGAGGTGATAGAATTCTATGAGTGTTGAACCAACTCTTGCCTATCTGAAAATCTAAAATAGAAGTATCCCCAACATGGCAAGTTGTCACATCTGTTCTGCTGAAATGATGTGCAAGGGTGAGTATAGAGTAGAATTTGGCTCAGGTTTATAATTTTAACTGCAGATTTGGTACCAACAGATTTTTTTATTTATAACATTTAGCCTTTCTTTTTCCAGTTAGTAAAGTCATGGGTTGGTGATCAATAACCAGCAGCTATGAGTATTTATAAGATGTGCTTACATATAGTACTCTGTCCGTGTGGACACCTGCCTTTCCTTTCTGCTCCACCAGCTTCTCTCTGGTAATGCTTCACGGTGTCTTCCCTCTTATTCTGGATTAGTGTAGTTTCCACATTGTGTCATTCATTTGTTTGACGCCTTCACCAGGTTATAAGATTTTTTTGTGTGCCTGGTATGTTGTAGGTCTCTAGTCCATGTTTGCTGGAAAGGATGTATGATACACGAAAGCATGTGATTATTAAACATTTAAAATTAGGTAAGATTATAGTGGTTAGCCTTTCAGTTTAGCATGAGCACTGTGCAGACATAATTCTGATCACTAAAGTCTAGTTTCTTAGGGAAATGTCATTTGTCATGACTCTTTAAAATCTTTTATTTTTTAGTTGCTCTAGAACTTGTCAAGAAAACTGACTCTCAGCCAACCTCTGTGATGTTGCTTGACTTCATCCAGCATATCATGAAATCTTCCCCACTTATGTTTGTCAATGCGAATGGAGGCCAGGGCCAAAAGGAGGCCAAAGCCAGTTGTATTGGTAAGTGCAGCTATTGCATCTGCATGCAGCCCCGTATATGAAGTCTGCCCTTTTCTGTTTTTCTGAAATGCCGCACACTTTTTGAAAAGTGATTGCACTTTTTTTGAGTCACGTTTGCTGTAAATTAAGGGAATGATGTGGTATTGGTTATTTTTATTTCATATAACCTTATTCTTTTTCTTTTTTGTAGCGCTTAAGGGAATGATGTGGTATTGGTTATTTTTATTTCATATAACCTTATTCTTTTTCTTTTTTGTAGCGCTGGGGTTTGAACTCAGGGCCTGTACCTTGAGCCACTCCAGCAGCCCTTTTTTGGATGGGTTTTTTTTTTTTTGAGATAGGGTCTCGTGAACTATTTGCCTGGGCTGGCTTGGGACCGCGATCCTCCTGATCTCTGCTCCTGAGTATCTGGGATTACAGACGTCAGGCTCTGGTACCTGCCTTGTTGTTCTTTTTACTATTATCTGCTAGATGATCAGATTTATTTATTTGTCATTGAACACTTTGGCAGAATTTTCTTTTTTCTGTTTTTTGGTAATCTTTTTCTTCTAGATCAGAGCCTGGTAAACTGCAGACCCCAGGCTGCAGTTGTATAAACAGTTTTATTGGAACAGTCATGCTTTTCATTTTCTTATGGTCTCTACTACCAAAGCAGTTTGCTGTCTTAGTACTAAGTGTTCTTCATTTGTTCCACAATAGTGATTATTATCACCTGTATTACCATCATCCATTTATATTCTTTTTACAATATTTTTATGAAATTACCTTAGGGTATTACTAGCTTTTAAAACAAGATGAAGTAGACTAGCTATATTACAATACATTGAATGTAAGAAGAGTAAGTATTTGTGAAACTGTTCATATATTTAAATAAAATAAATAAGCATGTGTACACTGGGTCATGATGTAAAATGCATTTCTTAGTTGTAGGCAAAAAGGTCAAGAAACACTATGATAGGATTCCTGAGGACGGGGCCATGACTGACTTACTCTCTGCACCTAAGACCAAATCAGCACGCAGTGTGTGTGTGTTTGGGTGGAACCCAAGGCCTCCCTATGCTAAGCAAGTGCTCTGCTTCTGAGCTACCTCCCGAGCCCCTACTCAGTAAATTCTTGAGTGACAGTAGTTCCCATTTGTTGAATGTTTGTCACCCTCTGGAAACCATGCTGAGTCTTCATGTACATTATGGTACTCGATCCTCACAACAACCTGTAACCTAGATATCACCATTCTTCTTTCAGACCTGAAGTTATAGAGGTTCAGAGAAATGCAAAGCTCCTTCCACCAGCAGATGACAAGCTAGGACCCTTTCTGTCTCACTCAGTGCTACTCTAAACTACTATAATGTGTTTTCATTGTGTAGGGAATAGAAGCTATTTTATTAGTGAAGTTTATACTTTAAAAATCAGTCATCGGGGACTGGTAGAGTGGGCTCAACTGGTAGAGCACCTGCCTAGCTAAGTGTAAAGCCCTGAGTTCAAACCCAGTACCACTGGGGGAAAAAAAAAAATCAGTCATCAGGCACCTAGCATATTAACACTTCTGATGTAGTTGTTTTTTTAATGTCTTTTTTGTTTGTTTATTTCAAAGAATTCAGTAATTGGATCATAACAAGACTTCTGCGGATTGCAGCAACTCCATCCTGTCACTTGTTACACAAGAAAATATGTGAAGTTATCTGTTCATTATTATTTCTTTTTAAAAGCAAGAATCCTGCCATTTTTGGGGTCCTCACAAAGGAGTTATTACATCTTTTTGAAGACTTGATTCCCCTCCACAAAAGGAATACAATGGGACATGTCGTAGACTGGCCAGTGGTCGTTTGCCGATTTTCAAGCCAGTTAGATGAACACACGAGATGTTTACATCCGGCTCCTTTGCAGTTCGTGAGCATGCAAAATTTAGACTGTATTGAAGTCACTTTACTCATGGTTCTTATTCGTATTATTGCAACTGTGTTTTTTAGGCGGCAGGAACTCTTACTTTGGCGGATAGGTTGTGTTCTGCTAGAGTGTGGTTGTCCAAAAGTTAAATCCTTGGCTATCAGCCTTTTAACTGAACTCTTTGAACTTGGAGGACTACCAGCACAACCAGCCAGTACTTTTTTCAGCTCATTTTTGGAATTATTAAAAGACCTTGTAGAAATGGATATTGACCAGTTGAGGCTGTATGAAGAGCCACTATCAAAGCTGATAAAGACACTATTCCCCTTTGAAGCAGAAGCTTATGGAAACATTGAGCCCGTCTACTTGAATATGCTGCTAGAAAAGCTCTGCGTCATGTGTGAAGATGGTGTGCTTATGCGGCTCAAGTCTGATTTGCTGAAAGCAGCCTTGTGTCACTTACTGCAGTATTTTCTTAAATTTGTGCCAGCTGGGTATGAATCTGCTTTGCAAGTCAGGAAAGGCTACGTGAGAAATATTTGCAGAGCACTTGTGGATGTTCTGGGAGTGCAGGCAGATGTAGAGGTAAGTCATTGCTAAGATTCAGTAATCTTAGTGGTAAGATTCTGCCTGGAAGCGGGGGCTGGGGGGAGTGGGTAGGGGAGGTGGCACAAACAATGTATGCACATGTAAAAAAGTGTAAAAATGATAAAATAAAATTTTTTAAAAGTTCATATAAGAATTGAATTGATCAAATCAAAAAAAGATTACCTGTTATGTGTGTGTCTTGTTCATTATTTAAGTGTGTGCACGTGTGCAAAATATAATATAAGAAAATAGAATGTCCCAAACAATATGTATATTGAGAGCATAATGATTTTCCTAGTCTGGGCTGGCTTCTTAGTACACACTTTGCTTTGATTTCAGGAGAATGAGTTCATTAAATTGGCAGTGTACTTGCCAATAGTATAGAATATTCTAAAGTAGAGTTTGTGAGGTGTGAGTGTGTGTGTTGCATTTTATTTGAGAGGGAGTCAGTTATTGACATGATCCCTCACTTAGATTTTTATCTTGGACAGGCTGTACTCAGTCACTTTTAGGAAACCTAAGAGTATTTGTTAATACAGTTAGACCCTTATTCCCGATCCAGCTGCACGTTAAATACTCAGATGTGCAGTCACTTGATTGAACATTTCAGTTTATTTCTAAATCTTGCTGAGTTTGTAGGATGAAAAAGTTAGTAATTCCCTCGTAGAATTTTTCTTTATAGTGTTTTGATAGAGGGAAAACCAGACTGTAATAGGGTTTGCTTAAGCCTCCTAATACTATACACCCATTGATGGATGCACTGAAATAATACAGATTAACTCTGGTGTTTGGTTTGCCTTATGAGTCTCTGAAGTAGTTTACCTTACTAGTTCATCCTGGACTCTTGTTGAAATTATTTTTGTTTTCTCAGTACTTGTTGGGCCCACTTTATGCAGCCTTGAAAATGGAGAGCATGGAAATCATCGAGGAGATTCAGTGCCAGAGTCAACAGGACAATGCCGGCAGCATTAGTGATGGAGTGTCACCCAAAAGGCGTCGGCTCAGCTCCTCTCTGAACTCTTCCAAACGAGCATCGAAGCAGTGTGAAGAGTATGACCTTGTTCAGTTTCAGTCACTTCACAAAATTTTATTCACTTCAAAAGTCCATTTTAATTAAGTACTCTGATTTAAATTCACAAAGACCACCTTTCTAAATGTAGCCAAAAGTGTGCTTAAAATGTTTTAATAGTTCTTGTGGTTTATTGTAGTATAAAACAGTTCATGACTAGATGTAGTTACTTTGAATATTTTCACACATCTGTTTAATTTAGCTTTTAGTACTTGAAAAATCTCTAAAACTATGTATCTATCATCAATTTTTCAAAAGGTAACAAATTATTTTTTTATCCAGCCAAAGGATTGCTGTTTTACAACCAAGCTAAATTGTTTTAATTTTTGTTTTAAATCTATGCCAGTGTAGATAGTAGTTGATATGACATAAGCTATAGCTTTAAATGTGTGTGCATGTGTGTGTGCGGGTGTGTGTGTGTGTGGTGCAGGATTTTGAACCCAGGGCTTTGTATGTGCTCACCACATGCCCTACTACTGAGCTCTACCTCCAGCTCCATGTTTTATGTTTGAACCAAATTCCTATTGAATATTAATATCTTTCAATTAATCACAGAGTCAAACACGTGGATATGAACGAGAAGAGCACATTATGGAGTGCACTGAGACAGAAAGTGGAATCTCTCCAGCTGTCCCTCGGATGTAGTCTATCAAGCCCCGTCACTAAGACACTGGAAGGACTTGCCGTCATCCTACAACTGACCGCTCTGTGTATTATGCATTGTTCTCAAGAAAATGTGGCCGGGTAAAACAGCTTCCTGTATTTCTGAGTGGCCTGTGCTTGCTAGGCAGGTGCTCTACCACTTGCGCCACGCACCCGCCCTCTGAGTGGCCTGGTGTAATGAATTTGCATTTACTCTTTTGGGGGACCTTGTTATTCACTTGATTCATGTGACTTAGAACAGGAACTTTTCAGTGATGTAGATGGGAAATGTGTCTTCTGCTGAGTGTACGGAACTCACTAAGCAGTGAGTCTGTCTTACTTGATCTTTACAACCCTGGAGATAAATGATACTCTGCCCACTGTGCAAATTAGCAATCGAGTTTTAGAGCAGTGAAGGCTCTTTTTGGTTTGAAGCTTAAACTAATTTTATTGATGATATAACTAAAAAGGAGCAAAAAATACTTAGTTACAACTCAAAAAAAAAAAAAAAGTCAAAAGTTCTTTTGACTGTGCTCTGTTTCTCCCTTCTATGATAAGCCCAGGAATTTAGAACTTGAAAGAGGTCGGTTTTCAGTTTAGATTTCATTTCATTTTGTTTTAAGCAGTACTGGGTTTGAACTCATGGCCTCGAGCTTATTAAGCAAGTGCTCTACCACTTGAGCTATGCCCCAGTCCTTGCTTAATTTTTTCAGGTACGATCTTGCACTTTTGCCTGGGGTCTGCCTCAGGCTGTAATCCTCCTACCTCTGTGTCCTGCATAGCTGGAATTAGAGATATGAAACACCATGCCCAGCTTGTTCTTTGAGATGAGGTCTTGCTAACTTTTTGCCTGGGCTGGCCTGCAACTGCAGTTCTAGCTTCACCTCAAGTAGCTGGGGTTATAGGTGTGAGCCACTGTACCCTGCCTTGATGCCACATTTTAGACCAGCATTTCTTGTTTTGTTTTTCATGATCATTTTTTTTATCCTGACTGGCTCTTTTAACTAGCCAATACAAAGTTGTAAAATTTTAGAGAAACTATATTCAGATTTCATTAAATTTGAAATGTGACATAATTTGAAGGAATACTTGATTAGTCTGAGGTCTGCTCTTGTCCTGTTGTAAAGGGTTTACTGAGTCAGTTAATAATTATACAGACATGTCTTCTGTCATTTTTAAGCCTGGTGATGCCACAGTTAAGGATCCTACATTCATTTTAATTTCCAGATCATAAACAAGACTGATTTAAGCCAACATCAAGAGATTTAGATTAAAATAATGACGTTAATTGATTTGCACATATAAGGCTATAGTTAGTTTTATACCTGCAGTTTCTTTTGTTTGAGTATAAAATCTTCATCTCCATCCCAATGTCTTTTTAAAAATGTACTTATCGCAGCCATCATTTCAAGGACAGTGAACGTGAAGGTAAGAAGCAGCCATCAGTAGTGATAACTTGGATGCCTGTGGATTTTTACACAAGTGTGCTGAAGAGCTGCAGGAGTTTGCTGGAATCTGTTGAGAAACCTGAACTGGAGGTAGTCATTGATACTGTGGTGAAAATCTGTGATGCTCTGATTTACATGCAGGGTGAGTACCAGTAAGCGGTAGGCAGAATGACCTTAATCAGTGTACAAGGCTTTTCTGCCTGAAGTTTAAATGCATGATGTTTACAATACACAGATTTTTCTTGATTTCACTAATTAAGCTTGTCAGTAATTTCTGAGTTCCCAATTTCTACTATTCTTCATTTAGAAATTTATTCATAACCTTTCTCTTATTGGTGGTACTGGGTTTGAACTCGGCCTTGTACTTGCTAGGCAGGCGCTCTGACGCTTGAGTCACACCCCCAGCCCCTATTCATAACTTTTAACTATTTTGATTTGAGAATCTGTAGAATACTCTGCTGCTTCTCCTAAGAAGTGCATAGGTGCCTATTCTATTCTGATTGAGTCACAGGTGATTTCTTTGGTGTCACAGACCTGAGCATCGCTCATGTCGTTGGGAGGTATCGCTCAGTGGTAAAGTGCGTGTTTAGCATGTGTGAGGCTCTGGGTTCAAGCCTTAGCATCAACAAACAGCAACAGTGTTTATGGCCTTTTCTGTTAAGAACCCCTGTTTACTGAACGTTTATTGAAATTCCATCTGATGTTTCGAATATCTTGAATGTCTGTATTTTTATTAAAAACAAGACAGATATGACCAAAGAGTAGGTATGATTTACTTCATGTTGTATGTTTGTAGTGAAGAATTCATTTGAAGATGGTGTTCTAGAAGATTTGTGTGGCATGCTCTCTCTGCCATGGATTTATCCCTACTCTGCTGATGACTCTTTAAAGCTGACCACATTCACCGCTGACCTTCTAACATTAAGCCAGAGGGTTTCAGATAGCTACTGTAAGTGGCCACAAAATTGCCTTATATGTGTATTTTGTTTTGTTTTGTTTTATTTTAACTTATTTGTGTTACATATAAAGTTTCTTTTTCTTTTCTTTTTTTTTTTTTTTGTGGGACTGGGGTTTGAACTCAGGGCTTCACACTTGCAAAGCAGGTGCTCTCCTGCTTGAGCCACACCTCCATTTTCACTTTGGTTATTTTAGAGATGGGGGGGTCTCATAAACTGTTTGCCCTGGCTGGTCTCAAACCGAGATCCTCCCAAGTAGCTAGAATCCTAAGCGTGAGCCACTGGCACCCAGCCATCTCTAGACTTTCTAGTGCTTGTCATTTATATTTTTCAGTAATTAAAAAAAAAAATGAACATTTTCATAATTCAGCAAGGAGTTAGAGATGTCAAAAGTGACAAACAGAATACTGCCCCCATATCCTATTTCCTTTCTTTCTGTGGAAAGGTCAAAATGTGTCTGTAAATATCTTTATCTTCGTTTAAGAAACTTGTGAAATTTGATACATACAAAAAAGAATGGAGAATAATGCATCAAGCACTCTTATACCAACTTCGCATTTTAAGAAATAAAAACGTTAGGGTTCTAATGAGCTGAGTGTGGTGGTACATGCTGAGTGTGGTGGTATTGCCAGCAGTTGGGAGGCCAAGGCAGGAAGACAGAGTTTAAGGCCAGCCTTGAGACGCCGTCTCAAAAAAAAAAGAAAAAAAGAAAAGCTAAGGCAGCCCTGTGATTGGGCTTCCCATTTCCAGTGTACCCTCTTCCTCTCTGAAGAGAGAGCTACTGTTCTGAGTTTGGTGTTTACTATTCTGGAGAGTGTTTTCTTACTTTTACTATATGTGTTTATCTCTAAATAATACATAAAATGGTTTTCCTTTTTACCACTTGCATTTTGTTGGTCCATGCTGTCTGTATAGGACTTATAGGACCTATCCATGGTGATACAGGGAACTCCATATTTTATTGAAACTCCTGAATAGCAGTCAACTATAGGGTAAACACTATCAGGGTAAACACTCCTGTTCACAAGCAATCAAGCGTTTCTAGCTGTTGGTGAAGGCACTCAAAATTTCAGAGTATCTTTTTATAAATAACTCTGTAAGCCTCTCCAAGGCCTTGCTGTTCCAAGTGTGGTTTGTAGACCACCTCTCACCATCATTTGGGAACTTGTTAGAAATAGAGAATCTTACAGTCCACCCGGAGCTACTGATTCACAGTCTCCATTCGTGTGTAGTAAAGTCTGAGAAGCATTCAAAGTTTAGTTCGCTCCCTAGGTAACAAGGTGCATGTGTTCTCCAAAGATGCACCAGTTTATGCTCCTGTTACCAGAGTGCGAGGGACGATGCTGTTTAAAGTCTGATGGGGACCACTGTGGGCCTCACCAGACTTTAAAACGTTTGCTACTTAGGAAAATGAAGAGCTCACTATGTTAAGTTTTTACTGTTTGATGGATGTGATTTTCTATTTGTATTTCCCTAATTACTTACTAAGGTTGTGCATAGACCTTTTTCAATGTTCTTACTTTATTTTCTGAAAAGATTTCCTTAAGGTAGATATCATGTTATTTGACTTCACAGCACACATGTATGTATGTGCATGTACATGGAAAGTTATCACTGTTTGAAATCTCATTTAATAGGCACTCTTTTCAGCACCACAGGCCCAGTCGCGGTGTGTGTTTCTTCTCACTCTGCTCCCAAGAAGACGTGTCTTGAGTGGAGAACCACAGTCTACACCTGGGCCCTGCAGAGCCCCCATGAACTAGTCCGGGCGAGTTGTGTGAATGGGTTTTTGATCTTACTGCAGCAGCAGAATTCCTGTTCCAGAGTTCCCAAGATGCTTATGTACGTATGAAGATTGCATTGAATGTGTCACCTGACTGGAAGATCATACTTCTCTAGCTATGTTTATTACTAAATATGAAAAGTAAATACTGCTTTTAGTTTTGGAATTAATTGTTTTCCTTCTAAGCTTGTCTTTTCAGTGCTTTTGTTCCAAATTAAACAAGTCTAACCTAAATTATTAAGCGAGAAGTTTAGTACTTTTCCTTTTATTCCCAGAGATAAAGTCAAAGATGATTCTGATGTCGTCCAGAAAGAATTTGCTTCTATACTTGGCCAGCTTGTCTGTACTCTTCATGGCATGTTTTATCTGACAAGTTCTTTAGTAGAACCTTTCTTTGAACACGGACATGTGGACCTCTTCTGTAAGAATCTGAAAGCCACTTCTCAACACCATTGCTCATCTTCTCGACTAAAAGCTTCTGTTTGCAAGCCATTTCTTTTCCTATTGAAAAAGAAAACATCTAGTCCAGTAAAGCTTGGTGAGTGGTTATGATTTACTTTATATTTTAAAGCCCACTGAAGCTCTGTTTTCCAAATCAGTGATAGAATTAGCCTAAAGCCTTAATTATAGCTGATTATAGTCTTGATAGATGCAGAGCTCAGAAATGACTGCCAAGTTCATAAATGGAATGACTGATATTACACTTTATCACAGAACCAAGAAGAGAACTGGTTTTTGGAGTTGATTTAAATACCCTTATGATTTGACACCCATTGGGGGGTAGCTGATGACTTTAGTTTAATATTGTAGGTTAGTATTCTGTATCTTATTTAGTGAAACCAGTGGGCCTCCTTGATGTGTCCTCTCACCACCTTGGACCTACAGAACTTCATATAGTTAGATAACCTTGCCAAACTGTGGACTATATTGTGTGTTTTTTGGCCACTTTCCAGTGGTTTTGAAATATGAATTTGTTGGGAGCATAAGGTTTGCGCAAATACTTGGAAGAGCCATCGGTTTAGGTAGCACATTACAACTTGTTCTCAAAGCAATGCACCATAAGTGGTTTTAGGAACCCCTAAATCCTGTAATGATCACAGTAAGGCTAAGATCCCTCTTAGTTCAAGGTTTTTTGAATTAGCAAAATGTGCTTCTAAATCTGTCTTCATAATATATAATGATCTACAAAATGTAAAAAGGACTAGTTATTTTATAAACTAAAAAGTTCTGGAAACTGGTCATGGTGGGGTATACCTGTAATCCAGCACTCAGGAGGCTGAGATCAGCCTGGGCTATAGAGCAAGCCCCTATTTAAAAAAAAAAAAAACAACAAAAATTCTGGATTTACCTTAGATGTAAATCACTTATGACTTTCATTAAGCATAAAGCAATTTAAATTTATAAGTTCTGTTTTAATTCCCTAAATTTCTGTGTGCTGTACATATTGAAATAGTTATGTGTTGACAAAGAAGGCAGCTCAGGCTTGTTTGTGGCAAGTTAGGTAACTCACACTCTCCCTCTACAGCATTCCTAGACAATCTGCAGCATCTCTGTAAGCACCTTGACTTTCAAGAAGACGAAACAGATGTGCAAGCAGTTCTTGGAGCTTTCCTGAATTTAATGGAAGATCCAGACAAGGCTGTGCGAGTGGCTTTCAGTGGAAACATCAAGCATGTGTTGGGCTCCTTGGGCTCTGAAGATGGAGTTGTAAAAGAGGTTGGTTGTTTTTATTTCTGACATTTGCGTTTTCCAAAACCTCCAAAATTCTTTAACCAATTCATTTTATTGTTGTAGCTTTTTGTGTTAAGAATGAAGGAAGCATACACACATGCCCAGATAACCAGGAATAATGAGCTGAAGGATACCTTGATTCTAACCACAGGGGATATCGGAAGGTACGCCCAGCAGCATTTATATTCTTCCTAACTTAGTGTGGTCATTGTCCTCGTTTATTCGCCTGACATTACAGATGCTCAGGGCTGGGGATGGAGCACTCACCTAGTGTGTGTGAGGCTCTGGGTTCATAACCAGCACTGCAGTAAAGAAGAAAAAAGAAATGGTACCATGACATGTGTATATTGTGGTACAGCGTGATTCAGCATTTGTTTATATGTGGATTTGCGTTAGTTTCTGAGACACTGATTTAGTTTATATGTGGTGTGTTTCATTTTTAGGGCAGCAAAAGGGGACTTGGTTCCTTTTGCACTCTTGCACTTACTGCACTGTCTGTTGTCAAAGTCGGCATCTGTCTCTGGAGCAGCGTACACAGAAATTCGAGCTCTGGTTGCAGCTAAAAGTGTAAAACTGCAAAGTTTTTTCAGTCAATATAAGAAACCCATCTGTCAGGTGAGTGAGCGTTCATCTTGACTATAGGCAATAGCAGTACTTTGCAAGAGTTTTAAAAAAGAAAAAGCCAGGCCCAGTGGTGTATTACTGTAGTCCCAGCTACTTGGAAGACTGAGCTGGGAGGATCACTTGAGCCAGGAATGCTCTGGCCAGCCTGAGCAATGTAGTAAGACTGACCCTAGCTCAAAAAAAAAAGACAAAAACAAAAAACCATGTGTGTATGTTTTATTTTGCCTGTTTAAAAGATAGTTTTTAAAATGATGCATTTAGTTTATTTAAGAGAACTAAAATGGTGCCATTTGTATTTTAGCATATTGGTCTGAAGATATAAATTATAAATGGAAAATCCATAATACTATTGAATTACTACACTCTGTTATTAATCTTTAGGGAGATGCTTTTACTTCTTAGCCTTTTCAGCGATGATAAACTCTACATGCCCTGGCTTTACAGGGACGCCACTTCAGAATGGTATATTCAGTTACGGCTGAAAGGTTAGGCCCTGCGAGCATGCTGGTTCCCCTGCATATTTGTGGTGAGCTCCTCAGCATGGTAGTAAAGTTTCTGAATTAAGCCTGATTACTTAATCTGTGAAGGAGAAGTGATGACATCATCTACCTAACTAAGGTGGTTGTAAGAATTGTTCGATATCGTCCTTTCTGTTAGCTTTAAAAGTATTAGTTTAATTTCTTCCTTGTGTGAGAAGTAATCAGATTGTTTCTGCTTTAGTTTTTGGTGGAATCCCTCCACTCCAGTCAGATGTCAGCACTCCCAGGCACTCCTTTCCAGAATGCCGAGATGCGGAAACAAGATGTAACTCACCAGAGAGAAGTGGCTCTGAACACCTTGTCTGAGATTGCCAACGTTTTTGACTTCCCCGACCTCAATCGCTTCCTTACTGTAAGTCACAGTGCATAGCCGATTTACTTGAGCTTTTCAATTCAGGATTTTATTCATCCCATCCTAGGTGGAATTTTTTTCTTTTTTTAAAGAAAATTTAAGTACAGTGAAGACTATGTGGACCCTCATTTTCAAATTTACATTTTTTTTCTTACTTTGATATGAAATTATTACACTGTGAAACTTAAGTTCATGTTGATTTAAACCTATTGTTCTATAGGGTTAGCGCTGCAAATTAATTCTGTTAACTATTTGAGTCTTTATATGTTTAGTGCTGTGATTGGTTCCATTGATAATTCAAAGACTAATATGTTTTCTACCCTTAAGGAGCTGGAATAATACATAGCAAACCAGCGGTCTAAGCTATACTGAGGTGTGTCACTACAGTGACAGGCCGTATGGAGTGCTTTGGGATGTCTTTGAACTTCACTGGAGTTGGGGTTTAAGAGATGATGGGCTGGATTATCTCTTTTCCCAAAAGCAATATTTATTACTCCTCTTAATTTATAAATTATAATCACAGTTCATAATGAATTTTCCCCTACAGTATTATTCTATTTTAACAAACTTAAATGGCTTCTAAGTTAGTCACGCACCAGGAGGAAACATGAATGGTAAGGGTCACAGAGATAGTCAGACCTTTCTATTCATTAGTTCCAAGCTGGGAACCAGAAAGCACAGATGTTTATTGCAGCATCATCCACATAGCAGAACAAAAACAAAACCCTGAGAAGAAATTAAATGTCTAATTAGGTCATAGGATATTATGTAACCACTTTAGCATAATAATTATGATGAGTATGTAGAAGATACATCATAATATTCCACGGTCTTGTAGAGTTTGAAAGGCAAAACACAAGTGAGATGTGCCTCAGAAGGCAGAGCATGGCTCTTGTTCAGCGTCACGTCTCCAGGGCTTAGAGTAGTAAGCGGTGTGTGGTAAGTGATCATTAGGTATGTGTAGAATGAGTAGATTTTGTATGTATTTTATGAACAAGATCTTAAAGGAAATGAATCAAAATGAAAGTAGATCTGTTGCAGTGTTGGATGTGTTTAAAGCTTCCCTTTAATGTCGCAGCATCAGTGCTTTAATCTAACAAAGTCTTTAAATTTGCATCCATGCTTACTCTTGCTCAGTCTCAAATACAAGTTAATTTAAAGAGTCTATTAGCCTTAGGACCTTTACTGTAGAGCGTTTGTGTATTTTAACACATACTCTTGAGAAGTGATGTTTGCATTTGCTTGTCTATTGCATATTTCTCCACGTTTACAACATAGCTCTGTGCCAGAGGCACCGTCTTGCTTTGTCCATTGCTACGTTTGCAGTGCCTGAATCATGGGAGATGCTCACTGAGCTTCAGCCAAGTCATCAGTGGTAACTCTTAAGTGCAAATGCACGCCACAGGAGGCCAAATTTGTGTGGCAGTTACAACTATTTTTGTACGTCACTCATCTGAATGTTTTATCACCCAGACATATGTAGGCTTTGGGTAATTACTGCATTCTTTTTCAGAGGACTTTACAAGTTCTCCTGCCCGACCTTGCTGCCAAAGCGAGCCCCGCAGCCTCTGCTCTCATCCGAACCTTGGGAAAGCAATTAAATGTCAACCGTAGAGAAATCTTAATAAATAACTTCAAGTATATTTTTTCTCACTTGGTGTGCTCCTGTTCCAAAGATGAATTAGAACGTGCTCTTCATTATCTGAAGGTAATCGAGTATTTGTATTATGATCTTATTATTATTATTATTATTATTTGTCTTTTGTGGTGCTTTGGATTGAACCCAGGGCCTCCTGCATTCCAGGCAAGCACTCTACCACTAAGCTACGTCCTGGCCCATTGTGTCTTGTTCTTTTGTTTAAATTAGCATTGTAGAAACATAGGAAACCTATCAGGAGGAGGGTTATTTATAGTCTATCCTAGGAGAATATGTTTAAATATTGTCATGTTAAATAATATTTGTCCTAGGAAGATGTTAAAAAGAATTTTTTTTTTTTTGTGGTACTCGGGTTCGCACTCAGAGCCTTCATCTTGAGCTACTCAACTAACGCTTTTTTGTGATGGGTTTTTTTCAAGATATAGTCTCATGAATTGTTTTCCTGGGTCTGGCTTCAAACCACAATCTTCCTGACTGCTGCCTCCTGAGTAGCTAGGATTACACCAGCCCCTGGCAAGAATTATTCTTTTGATATTTTCATTGACATTTCACCTTAATGGGTTGGGATGGTCATACTTTCATGGATGAGGTTCTAAGCTAAATTTCATTTTACTATTTTTGATTGGTTGGAGCTATAAGTTGGCTGATGATCTACAAGTAATTAAATATTACAGAACAAAACAACCGTCTTCAAATGGAGTATAATAACATCTGTGTTTACTTAAGTTACTTGGTACTCTGATTATAATTTGACCCAGTTTCTAGATAGTTTTTAAATTTAAATTTTTAACTCGTGCTTCTTTTTTGGTGTCATTTTAACAAGTGTCTTTGAGAACAGGAGACTATGTGGGAACAGAAAAACCTGTTAGAAATACACATATAACTTTATCGTTTTCTCTGATATTATTTCTCTTTTCATAATAGGACAGCAGCAGATCTCTTTCCATAAGAGAATTATTAAATATTGATTGTATTTATTTATCCTGAAAAGTAAATCTGTGTATTGTGGAGGTAAAGAGAGAATAAACATTTGTCGAGTACACATCACATGGCAGAAACAGTTATAGCCACAATACTACATGGACCATTTTGCTTAATTCTCAGTTACTCAATGAGATAAAGGTACTACAGACTGAGGGTTCTTTAACCAAATGCTTGGGACCACCTTTCAGATTCTTTTGAACTTTGAAATATTTGCAAGTACATAATGAGAAATCTTGGGGTGGGACCAAAGTCTAAACAAGGAATTAATTTGTTTCATGTACACCTTAAACACAACCTGAAAACAATTTCATTCAATGTTTTTAGCATTCGTACATATATGTTTTTTTCAGTACTGGTAATTGAACCCAGGGACTCACACATGCTAGGCAATCTCTCTACCACTTGACCTATTCCGCTAGCCATTTTTGCGATTGGGTCACATGAACTGTGCCCAGGCTGGCCTTGAACATTCCTGATCGTGAGATCTTCTCCTTCTGCCTCCCCAGTAGCTGGGATTATAGGCATGAGCCATCATACCTGGCTATGCTTGCATTTTGACTTTTACCCATCATATGATATCAGGTGTGGAATTTTCCATTTGTGGCACCGTGACAGTGCTCAGAAAATTTTGGATCTGGGGACATTTTGTATTTTTGAATTAGGGGTGCTTACACCATATTACTCTTTATTTTATAGATGAGAAACTAAGGCAGAGGGAGGTCAGGGTGGGTGCCTTGTCTGAGTCAAAGCACAACTGATAAGTGACAGATGTTTGAATTTTAACTCCAACATCTGACCAGAAAAACTGCTCCAAGCTATAAACCTCCTGTAAATTTGAGTTGATGATAATAAGACCTTAGACAAAGCTAGAACTTTCTCTCTTTATTACATGTAACTCATGGTGGACCTACTAGAAGAGAACAAGATTAGAATTCTTTTCCAGTGCCTTTTCTTAGTTCATTAGCAGGTCATGTCACCTGATCTACAGCTCCTGATAGCATGTTAAAATCAATACCCAATTATTTTCCGGATGTTAGTATGAAGAAAAAAACTGTTTGTTTGTTTAATGTCTTGAGTTAGAATGAAACAGAGATTGAGCTGGGGAGCCTGTTGAGACAGGACTTCCAGGGCCTGCACAATGAACTCCTGTTACGCATAGGAGCACACTATCAGCAGGTCTTCAATGGTCTGGCAATACTAGCCTCCTTTGCCTCCAGCGACGATCCGTACCAGGGCCCGAGAGACATCACGTCCCCGGAACTGATGGTAAGGAATGTGTTAGGTGGCAGGTTTGTTGTTTGTTTGTTTTCCTCCTTTTTTATAGTTTATATGAAATTGAAGAAGCTTTTCTTTTTTTTTTGCATTTTCCAACTGTTAGATATTTCTTTAAATTTTTAGTTTGGATTTTTGTTTTAAAAAAGTTGATTTAAGATGCATGATCACAAAAGGTGGTCACAGAATGTTAAACTTTGAAAACTGGTTTCCAAGTGATTTTGAAGACTTTATTTTTTTCACTAAGTAAAGCAAGTTTATTTTTCTTCACTATTTTTAAACTATATATTAGCATGTTTATAGCTTTCCTTTTACCCTCCCTCCCCAGCCCCATCAGCCTCTTCCTTGACAAAAGCAAATTAATCAGTTCTAACTGTACTTCAACCCACTGTTGGATTTAAGAGAAGCTAGATGGCTATGTTATTCCTTTTTTATTTTTCCTAAGTTTATATATGCAATCACTGCTATTTTATTTCTTTATCTAAAAAAATATATAAATCCTCAGCCTTCTTTTTTTGTCTGTAATATTCTTGGCTTTCTGAAACAGTGTCTTTCTTTGACAGTACTGGGGTTTCAGGGCCTGCTGCTTGCTAGAAGACAGTAACTCATGAGCCGTGCCCTCAGCCCTTGCCATTTTTTTAAATTGCCCTCATTCCTTTAAAAAAGTAGGAGTATCAAGAAAATATCTCCAAAGAGATTTGTATCTGTTTTCTCATTTCCCATTAAATGAACCCATTCTTGCTTGGCTCTGTTCTCACCATCCTGCTGAAATTCTTTGTCAAGGTCAGGTCTGTTAAATTCAGTGGCAGCCTCTCTGCTCACGTCTTACTCAGTCTTTCAGCAGCAGTCCCCACAATTGCTGCCTTTCCTGTGTGGCACCTCTATAATACTACATTGTCTTGGTTTACTTTTTGTGTCCGTGTCTACCTTCTTGCTCTGTCCTTGCACTAAGTCTGCTTTATTCTTTAATATTAAAGTGATGTAGGATTGTGTGCCTCCTGTTTTTCCCTGTCACCACTCTGACTTTAAATGACCTCCATTCAATTCCTTTAATATACTTTGATGATTTCATACTTGAAATTTCAGTCCAGACTCCCTGTGGACTTTAGACTTGGGTTTACATAGGTTAGGTGCCGGTAGGAAACAGAGTATGCACAAGGTGTCTTAGTGAAAATAATGTAATGAAGGGGCTATTTCCAACATCATGTTCAAGGCTGCAGGAGCCAAGAAAGAATATTAAGGAATCCAGGAACTGTAAATAGCAGACAACTTAATGTTCCCTTTAGTCTTGGGATGGGGACGAAATAATATTATTAGAGCCTGGTTGAGAGGTAGAACAGTGAGAGAGGATGCTCTTGTGGAAGGGAGGGTTAGAACACCTCAAAGCACAGCAGTAGCAGAAGTATAAATGCCATGCTCTCTCCCCTCTTCTCCATTCTCCTAATGGTGCTTCCTGTTGACAGAATTCCCTGGGATGCCAGAGGGCAAGGGATCCTAAGAGATGCTGTCTAGCTAGCCCTACAATACAGAGCAGGGCAGAAAATGGACCTGGGGGTGAGAGATGATGGCAAGCAGCAAGTGTACAGCTTCCTTTTATCATTTCTACTCACCTGTATTATGAGCATCTAATGTGTATTAGAAATCTTTATTTTCAACTAGGGATACAGCTTAAGTAGGAATATAGCATGTGGCAGAGCTTATGGTTAGTTTGTATGATGTCCCAAATTCAATTCCCAACACCAGAGAGAGGGAAAAAAAAAGAAACCTTTTTTTTGTTTTCCCCGCTAGGGATTGAGTCCAGGGCATTGGGCCTTGTGCGTACCAGGCAAGCACTCTACCATTGAGCTTCACCCCAAAAGAAGTCTTCATTTTCCCTTCCTGACCTGTTTCTCTCCTGTCTTCCAGGCCTCAGAAAATGGGACTTTGTTCCACTGTCTACCCACTTGCTTCATTTAAAACCTGAGAAGCATTCATAAGCCTGTGTTTCCTTCATCTTTAATCAAACTATAGGCAAATCCTACTGCCAAAATTTATCTTTCCCTTTCTGCTGCTACTATCCTCTCCCAAGCAGTCACTATCTTTTTCTAGAAGTACAAACGCTTCCCGGCTGTTCTCTCCTTTCATTCCTCCCTTTCTATAACCAATTATTTCCACAGTATTTGGAGTATTCGTTACAAACTGATACCACTCTGTGGCTTAAATTTCTTCTGTGGTTTTCGTTGCTCTTAGAAGAAGTGATCTGCCTACCTTGCCACTTGTCTTGTATGACTCTTTTCCTTTCACCCTTGCTTTTAGCACTGATTTCTTTGTGTTTCTTAATTATGTGAGGCTTTTTCTGCTTCACAGCCTTTGCTCTAGATGGTCTCTACTTGGAATAATTTTTCCTGGATCCTTCTCATTATTTGTATCTTAGAGTTTCCTGATCTCCAGATCTAAAGTCACTCATCCAGTTTCTTCTGTGTCACATTGTTGTGATTGTTTTCTGATAGCACTTACCACAGCCTGTTTACGTTTGGATTTATGTCATGTCTTCCACTCATACTAGTTTTCCATGTAACTTAAAGGAAGAGAATGACTTTGTTGTCTGTACAATCTGGATAATGCAGATTTGGTGAGTGATAGATGAATGAACTGAAAGAACTCTCCACATCCAAGAACTTTAAAATTAGAGTGTTGGTGTAGATTTATCAGTGCCATCTCTATCTGTATTTTATTTAAGAAACACAGGCTGGAGCCATACGGTCAGTGAATTAGGGCTTATTATGCCACAGTTGAGTCTCAATTCAAATCAGAAGTTTACAAAACATAATGTAATTTGGGGCTTGAAAAACATGGTTTTTCTGTGCTTGACAAGAGAAAGGTTTATGCCAGCATCCAATCCTGAGAGGTGTGTAGGATATCCAGCGCCTTTCTATCATGTGCGAGTACACCCCCTCTTCTTCTTCCCTTTCAGATGCTTTAATTAGGTGGCTGAACATCAATCCATGAAGCTTTCTTCTGGGGTTGGAAAAATACTAATTGCTACTCATCCCTAGTTCTTTTTCCTGCCTTAGTATAAAGATTAACAGCGTACAATTGATTTAACTATTACAAAGCATCGTGTTTTATTGAACCTTTACAACATCTCTGTGCAGCTGTACTTTCAGTGTTCCCATTCTGCAGCTCGGAGGCGTTAACTAACTTGTTTAAGATTACACGTTGGAAAGCGTCAAAATGGATTCAAACCTGGGTTGACTGGCTTATAGCCCATGTCCTCTTCAAGGGCCTGCTCTGCTCACGAGAAAGAATTAACTCTGTTCTCTTCAGGAGACCTGAAGTAGCATGGGCAGTGAAATTAGCCTGTGGGTGTTGATGCCTTTGGCCTGGCACCTCTATTACAAACTCAGGAGATACTGGCTCTAAACCACAGCATTGTTCTAGCAGGGTACCGTCCCTGAATCCCAGGCTTCTTCCCATTTGAGCTCTAAATCCCACAGAATAAGGACAGTCGCCTGTGTTTCTCTTATTCTCCCCTCCACTGTGGATTCTGAGGTGAATCAGATTCGGGATCACTTCAGAGATCCAGAGGCTCACAATTTCCTCATCGTACTGTACTGTGCAATCATATTTTGTCATGGTGATTATGAGTCACTTTCACTAGTTTCTTTAAAGATTAGATACAAAAATACATACCTAATTGGAGAAATTTCATTTGTGTGTGTATATTTCCAATATTCTAATCCAGTTAAATAACATGTGAATCATATGAATTAAATAATTATATTGTCAATTTTTTAAGAAATTTAGAGTAGCTCAGTGGTAGAGCAGTTGTCCAGCATGTGTGAGGCCCTGGGTTCAATCCCCGTTACCAAAAAGAAAAAGAAATGAAGGAAAGAAATTTGTGTTTAAATTTACATAATCCCTCTTTGTTCCCCTCCCCCATAGGCTGATTATTTGCAGCCCAAGCTACTGGGCATCTTGGCCTTTTTTAATATGCAGTTACTGAGCTCCAGCGTTGGCCTTGAAGATAAGAAAATGGTAAGTAGTGACAGTTGATTTCCAAAGAGCTGGAAAAGAATTCATACAGGATATTCAGGAGGTAGGATTTCTGCTTCTAACTACAAACAGTCAAAGAAGAACAGGCCTAATAGATTGCTGAGTGAGGAATATAAGCCTTAAAAACAGGAATGGTATCTCTTACGGTTCTTTGATTTATGAGGGATGGCAATCCCAACCCAAACTAGCTCAAAGAAATACACCGCCTCTGTAAGTGAAAATGTAAGGATAATATAGGTTCCGCCACACCACGACATCAGTCAGTCTCTTGGCTCAGATTTGCCGAAGTTGGCTTTATCCTTAATTGCCAAGTAATGACCTCAGTGGCTTCAGGCTCATGTCATTATGTCCAGCCCAGTGGATGACAGCAACCAGCTCAAACAAAAGCTGCGTAATTGAATCGTACTGATCCAAGTGGGTCTGACTGGTCCTGTGGTGTTTTCGAATACCAGAAATGTTACTTTTTGTAAAGTAAGTCAAGTTCAGTATTTGTCAATTTTATTTTAAATGTAGTACAATGAAGTTTTATTATGACTGTTATAACAATTGATCACCATTGAAATTTTTTGTTCTGTAGATTGGGATAAAATTTTAGATACAGAATTTTCCTTTTGGTTGCTTTCTACCTCTATTGTCAGCAAAATTGTAGTTAAAAAAAACATGAAGGGATGCTTTTTATTTCACTCTGCTCCCATTTTCTTAATAACTTTGAGGATTTAAAATGGACATTGTAACAGTATTAAATTGTTAAAGTGTCAGTGTCCAATGCCTAGCATGTCAGTGTTAACTAGCAAATTTAATACCCCAAACAACTTGTGTTCCATCTACATAGCTTCTTAACTGCTCTCCCAAATGAGAGAATGACCTCGAATCTAAGAAAAGTAGAGTGTGTTATATACCATACGAAGCTAGCATGTTTTGGCATACTCTTACGGTAAAGAAACTTTCTTTGCTCCTTTGTTAGAACCTGGAGCTGTTGATACTGGTCTGGTTGTGTTTCTCACGTGTTCTCCATTCTGAGTATCCCATCAGTTGTTTGTTTTACTAAATTCAGGACATCTAGAACTTACTATCACTAGAATGAAATTTCCTTAGATACTGATCATTGAGGCATTCCATTTACATCAAAATTTTTTTCATATGATTTTAATTCAGTCCAGCTTATATTCATGTTGAATAGCAGTTTGGGATAGCATTAAGAAAATTAACCAATATACACTCTATCCTTAGTAAATTTACTGTTGTAGGGGATCACTGGACAAAATGACAGATCACCTTTGAGGGGAAAAAAAAGCAGAAGTCAACTTGTCCTTTTCAAATTCTTCCTTCCCACATAAGTTGAGAAAATGAACTTGCCAACATTTATTAGACCTTCAGTTCTGGGGTTTCAACTCAGGGCTTCTTGCTTACAAAGCAGGACTGTACCACTTGAGCCATTTCCCCAGCCCTTTTTGCTCTGGTAATTTTGGAGACAGAGTCTTGCTTTTTGCCTAGACTGGCCTAGACCATGATCCTCTTATTTTATGATTCCCACAGTAGCTGAGATGACAGGCATGCACCATCACACCCAGCTATTGGTTGAGGAGGGATGTTGCAAACTTTTTGCCCAGGCTGGCCTTGAACTGTGATTCTCTCAATCTCAGCCTCCCATGTAGTTTGGGGTGACAGGCGTGTGCCACCATGCCTGCTATTGACTGAGATGGAGTTTCACAGACTTTTTGTCCAAACAGGCCATGAACCATGATCCTCCTAATCTCAGCATCCCAGTAGGTAGGCTGCCCAGTTTACTAGACCTTTTGCATCCTCTGAGATTCAGGTGGAAGAACGTGTGCTTAGCATTTCTGGTGGCTTATTTACAGATTGTATTTTAAAGCGCTACTTACTTTATAGGCCTTGGATAGTTTGATGTCTTTGATGAAGTTGATGGGACCCAAACATGTCAGCTCTGTGAGGGTAAAAATGATGACCACGCTGAGAACTGGCCTTCGATTCAAGGATGATTTTCCTGAATTGTGCTGCAGGTAAGTAACTGCCCAAGTTTATTTTCTTATCTCTGTGAGGGAAACTGGGTTCAAACTGTAAATAACTCAGGTGGAAAGAATCTCTGTATAGAAAAGAGAATGTGTTTCTTCTGAAAAATTCCTTTACTGCTGAACTCTAGGTGACAGAATTGTAACGGCCCCATGTGCCTACCCTGCACTTTAGCCTGCACATTTAGTGCCTTCTACCCCCACTTTCTTTTTTATCAGGTGTAGTGATTTAAAGAACAATCTAGAATCCCATCATTGCATTTGTAAATACTTCAAATGTATCTGATGGACAAGGGCATTTAAAAACAGCCCTCATGAATTATTATACTTAGAATTAATAGAAATCCCTACTATCAGCTAAAACTCAGTCCATATTCATACTCCTCTGATTAGCTCAAAGGTTTTTTCCCCAGTGATGCTGATTTGATCTGAATCAGAATCTAAACAAAGTCCACATATCACACGTGGTTATTCACCTCTTAAGTCTCTCTGATAAAATAGACTAGCCTATAAATTCCTTCCCCATATGTTGTACTTCTTTCATTTGGATATGGAATATTTGATTGACCATTGCTTTAACTTTTCCTCCATCTCTTCCCTCCTGTGTTTTTTCACATAAGCTAGTAGTTATAGATGCTCGATTAGATTTAGGTTCAATTTGTTATGAAGAAAATACTTTGTAGTTCAGACATCGTGTTTCTGTTGTCTTGTAACATGAGACATATATTTGATGTCCACTTTTAGTGATGCTAAGATTAATCGGTAGCCCTGCATTTTATCAGACTGAATCCCTTGATTGCAAAAATGCAATTATTACTCTTTCATCCAAAGGTTTCAGTGTTAATTAATGACCATTTCCTAAGTCCATTATCACATTACAGGTGATAAAATAGTCATTTCTAATTTTATTATTTCTTTTTTGTTTATTAGGTGGGAGTCTTCTTTTTGTTTCCTTTTAGATTTTTTCTTTTTTTAAATTCTTTTGGTGGGAGTGGGGTTTGAACTCAGAGCTTCAAGTTTGCAAAGCAGACACTCTGCCACTTGAGCCACACCTGTAGTCCCCTTTTAGATTTTTGAGACAGGGCCTTGCCATGTGGTCCAGGCTGGTCTTGAACCTCACATGTAGCTCACGCTTGCCTCAGATCCATCATCCTGCCTAGCCTTACAGATGTGTGCACCACACCTGCCTTACGTGGGATTTGTCTTACCACAGCCAAACAAAAAATTGGGCTATTCTGAAACATAGTTCATAGGAAAAGCAGTTCACTCAGGATAGGCAAGATAAATGCATGAATATTTCCGTTTACTTACCGAACTTGAGTGATAGTTTTGCCCTGATAACTTCAGTAACATTTTTCTTCTTTTTTTTCCTGTCATTTTAATCACATGGGTTTTCCTAAATTTGATGAATTTTAATCCCTTAAAATCACTGTTCATTCTTACTACCAAAGTCATCCCACCTTTAACCAGCACGAGACCCTTCAAGTTGACACTTGTGACTTTTGACAGATTTTCTGCTTTCTAGCATGACAAGGTATCCTGGGTTCATCTTGCATATTTCCTGACACTGGCCCAGAATCAGCAGTTTCTTTAAGGAGACCTGGCCCTGGTACCTTTGAGCCCATTTTAATTCACAGTCTGAGCACTCATGTGCCTACCCGTTACTATTGAGTTGTCATTGCTTCTAAGTCTTAAGTGAATAGAGCTACTAGAAAATTTGCTTTATTATAGAAAGAGAAAAAACTCACAAGTTTGTAAGTATTTCTCAAATTGAAATGAAATATTACATACTTTTTAACTGAACGTTTTTGGGGGTAGGGGCTTGAGATAGGGTCTCTTTATGTAGCCCAGCCTGTCTGAAAACTCGGGATCCTCCTGCCTCAGCCTCACCAGTGCTAGGATTACAGGCCTGTACCACCATGCTGGGCTTAAAAATATTCTTAAGATTAGCCTAACTTAAGCTCAGAACACAGTTGGACAAAATCATCTAACATAAAGTCTATTTTGTAATGAAGTGTTGAGTAGTATGTCATTCAGTTTATTGAATGCAGTAGTACCCGTAGACTACATACAGCATGAGTTGTTCACCTTCGTGGTTATATGGTCACCTGGAAGCTGTGGCTTGCCCAGCATCACAAGGGAGAATTGTACTGCATGTTGTTGACCCAGTTTCTACTAAATGCATATCACATTTGTACCATCCTAACATCAAAAAATCTTTTTTTTTTTTTTTTTTTGGTGGGATTGGGGTTTGATCTCGGGGCCTGTACACCTTAAGCCACTCCACCAGCACCTAATGTCAAAAAATCTTTATGTTAAACTGTTATGTTGTACAGATGTTAGGGACCATCTGTACAAATTCATACATACACACATAAAATTCTTTTTGTATTGATCGTACTCCAAAATACTGTTTTTCACATTGTTTTTTTTTTTAACTTGATATTTGGAGATTTCTTTGTTAGAATATATAATAATGATTTTTTTCTTCATATTTTAAAGCTGCCTTGTAAGGCTTTACAAATGATAAAAATAATGGGACTTAGTTTTTATTTATTTTTTTTTTTCTTTCACACAGAGCGTGGGACTGCTTTGTCCGATGCCTGGATCATGCTTACCTCGGCTCCCTTCTCAGCCATGTGATCGTGGCTTTGTTACCACTCATCCACATCCAGCCTAAAGAAACTGCGGCCATCTTTCACTACCTTATCATTGAAAACAGGTACTGCAGCTCAAATTAGCAGTACAAATAGCAACTTTTTACTGTATTTTTACATCTCAAAGGGTTAGCATTATCGTTGGTAAAAAATGTAGAACTATTTACTTTTTAAAATCTTAGTGTCAGTAAACTGAAGTCACTGGCACATAACTGCATATTGAATTGAGGCTTTTCCAGTTGTGGAATTACTTCTACTATAGTTATATTTAAAACTCATGAATTAGTAGGTTAGCAATTACAATTCATTTTTGGCTAATTTCGAAGGGTAACACTAAATTACTTTTCTTCTCCCAGTTAAACGACAGATAGTTGGATGGCATGAGTAGACCTCCTTTCTGCAGCAATAGCTTATTGGAATCCTTATTGCTCCATTGAACCCGTCTTCCTCACTGTAGACTTCCATCATGTTTTTTCACATTGTTGCTACAGCGGTCTTTAAAAATATCTCTTTATCCGTATCATTTCAGCATAGAGACTTGTTCTGCCATTCTGTGTTCCAGCTGATAAATTCCTAATTGCTTACTTTGACCTTCAAGCTGTCCACATCTTATTTCTTAAAATCTTTTCCCATGATTTTCCAAAACAGGCACTAGGCTGTGGCCTGTGTTACTTGATCCCATTTGCATTTTTGAACCAGGTGCTTCTTAGCTTAGAGTGTCTTCCAACACATTAACTTTTTTTCTATTGTTTCACTAACTATTGTACACCATAATTCCTGTATTCTGAAAAGTTAGGATTTAAGTACTACCTGCTCACCTATATTCTGTTTCCAGGTAGGGAGGAAGCACAGAAAAAGGAAAGATTACATGTCGGTCTTCATTCAAAATACTTGTATTTAGGTTTTTTCTTTTGTACAAGCCAGAACAATAAAATTAGTACTGTATATCACTTTTTAAGTATCTTTTAGGTGGCTGTACAGATATCCATATCTTTATTATTTATTACAGATGGTGGAATCATTTCTCTATTTCTCTACATTTTTCGTATCATAAGTAGAACACCTAAACCCCCAAATGAAAGAAGTACTGTGCTTACTGTTTCACCCCCTCCATCCAACAGTGCTTAGTGCATAATATCACTGGTAGTTAGTACATGTTTGTTGTATGAGTTAATGAAGACTAGATTTAGGAATATTTATATTTTGACTCAGTAAGATTAGAGCATTTGTTATATTGTAAGCAAATTAAAAGTTGTAGCCTCCATAAGAATTATTTGTATAATTTTTCTCTGAAACTCTTTTATGGGAGTTTGTGTTTTGGGATTGGCTTTGACTGTCTGTTGCTGTATTACAAATCACTCCAAAACTTAGTATCTTAAAATAATAACTATTTTTATTTGCTCAAAATTTCACAATCTGTGCTGAGCTCAGCTGACCATTTCTTCTCCTCTTAACAGAGGTCACTGGCATGGCACTGAGCTGACAGGCAGACTGGGGTGGGCTTCTCCCTCTTTCCATGTAGTCTCAGAGCCTTTCTCTGTGTATCCCATCCATGTTGGTGGCAAGATTTCTTGCATGGTGATGCAGTGCTCTCCGGAGTACAAAAGTGGAAGCTGCCAGGTCTTTCGATCACCGAGGTTCCACACTAGCAACAGCAGATCTTCTGCCACTGCCTATTATCTCAAGCAAGTCACCCATCCCACCCACATTACAAAGGAAGACTGTATATATGGCATGTGCACTGAGAACCCTGGTTTGTTGAGGGCCTTGGGTGACTTTCTCACCTGTGTTTATTTGCCAGTATTGATTTAGCTGAGCATGTGGACAGGGTTAGGAGGAACACTTTGTGTGTCAGTAATCAACTAGCACTCTTACATGTGAGTTAAACCGACCTGTTTTAACTGTTGCTGCACGTCTTCCTTTATGGTGTTCATATTTTGGCAAATAATCCTTTTTATTAGGGATGCTGTGCAAGATTTTCTTCATGAAATATATTTTTTACCTGATCATCCAGAATTAAAAAAGATAAAAGCAGTTCTCCAGGAATACAGAAAGGTACTTACTTTTCAATTTATAGCTTGAAAGATGTCAGATACAAAATTGTTCCAGACTTTGCCTAGAGAATCATATGGAGGGGTAATCGGATAACTCATTCCTGTGACTAGATAATACTACCAGGAATCCATGCCTTTGGGGGAATCTTTAGCATTTAGATGCTGCAGAGTTTCTGTATGCCCTGAGAGAGGACAGAAAAGATGGGATAATTCTAGTTTTGTGCGACAAATCATGACATAAATGTGAGGTCTAACTGGTTTCTGAGCTGTAGAGGGGGAATAATATGTAGTTCTGGCATCTTGAAGTCTGCAAACTCACTGAAATTATGAAAATATTAGTGGTGATTTCATAGCATTTCAAGGCAGAAAGTGGGGTGCTGTAACTAGTACAAGGAAAAAAGTAGAGTTATCTAGCCAGACCTGGCTCGAGGCTATTGTGGAGGCCTCGGAAAGTTACAAGAAACTTGTACTTCTTATCAGTAAGCATTTCAGATAAATACATTTTTATTTAGTTGGAATAAAATCTTCCTCTTAGTCTAAAGATGTTTGAACAAAATCCTTTCCCCTGAAAATTACTAACAATGACCTATACTTTGCAAAAAAAAAGGAAAAGGAAAAGATGAAAATTTCATCATTTTTACAGCTAATTTTATTAGAGTATAGTGTAGCTACTTTATTGGTAACTCTATAGGAAATTCAGGCCTTCAGAAATGACTGTTAGTTAATTAGTAAGGTATTTTCTCTGTGCTCTTATGTAGGAGACCTCTGAAAGTACTGATCTTCAAACAACTCTTCAGCTATCCATGAAAGCGATTCAGCACGAAAATGTAGATGTTCGTATTCATGCTCTTACAAGCTTGAAGGAAACCTTGTATAAAAATCAGGTATGCTAAAGATGATATAATTAAAAAGCCATCACAGAGAAAGCTTGGGGGGTTAAAGAAAAGATAACAGACAGGCGTCTTTGTTTGACACTCAGTAGATTCAATGGAAGGACTAATTTTTTATTTACGTAGATTATCAGATCTGTCTGAAAATCCATGAGGTGCCTGCTGTCTAAACCCCAAAGGTTTGCAGAGTTTGTGGTGGTTTTGAAGAGTCATGATTTCATGGCTATGTTTTAGGTTACTGCATCTTCCTAAGTAAAGATTTGTGTGTTTTATTTATATGTGAGTCTTACTGGTTTAATTTCCCCTAGATATCTGTCATGCAAATACCAGCAATTTTACCATTTTACATTTGGACTGAACTGGTCATTTTAATGAAGTTCAATTAGTAAGTTTACTTTCTGAAGAAACCAGTGGAGTTTATTTTTTCCTTGGCAGCATAATGTAGGTTATTTTTGACCTTTGTGACAGTGGAAACTTATTTAAAATACTAGATCACTATCAATGTCCAAATCAGAAAAATGTCTTTAAGTTGTGCTGATCAAGAACACATGGTAAATCGTGAGCGCCCGAGACCCCCTCATGACTCTGGATTATAAAACTGAGTTAATGTTTTCTATTGTAGAAGCAAGCTTGTACTTAGGGCAACAGACATGCTTGATGGTATTGAATACATGGTTTCTGGGGTAGTGAGTGAACTTATAACTACTGGGGGTAAGTGGCCAAGGTGAAGATGCCTCATCAACTTTGAGGGCCCTTGGATCTCCTCCAGCTTAGATATATCTACATTGTTGGTGTGTTACAGTCTCCATCCCTCCCTGAATTGAAATGAAACTACCCTATGCTTGTCCGTCCCTGTGCCACATCTCTATCTGGGTTCCAGTTGAGTTAAAGGGCTGCAAGCCTTCTAATTTGATACAGAAACTTACATAAAACAACGGTATCTCCTTTGGCTTAGAGGTTTTCTAGTTTAGTTTATTTGCAAGCAGAGGACATGGTCATGGTCCACTGGAAGGAGACTTAATCCTTCTGCCTGTAAATTAATAAATCTGAGGACTCAAGGTAATTCCTTATACTCGGGAAAGCCACAGCTGTGTCACAAAGGATAAATCACATCTGGTAATTCCCTGACAAGTGTTACTTGAGTGTAAAGTCTCAATGTGAATAGATTACCGTAACAAAACAAGGTACTTGTTTCCTCCTGCAAGGAAATGTACTTGCAGGAGTCTTAGATCAGACTGAGTAGTCCATATAAGATAAAGGGCTGTAGATTGTTAGAGGTTTTTTTCTTTTATGTAAGAATTAATTTAGTTCAGCATCCATATCTACTTGGTTAGACTTACTGTTGATTTGTAAGGAGAACAACAAAAATAAAAGCAAGGAGAGTTTAGAAGAAGTATAAGGAGGTAAGTAAAAACAAGAACCCAGAGAAACATGTCTTCCCAGGAACACGAAGCAGATGGATACCAGCCCAGAACACCTGGGAACAAAGAGAGACAGAAATGAGTTCTTCCCCAGCTGTTTGGAAAGAATTAATGTCAAAGTTACAGATAGTTGGATTAAGCTATAGAACAGTGCAGTCCAAAGGTATTATCCCTGAGGACGAAAATGTCTTTTATCTTCAGTGACAGTAGCTACTAGCCAAATACGGCTCTCTTGAGCACTTGAAATATGTGACTGAGGAACAGAATTTTAGATTTTACTTAATTTTGCTTAAGTTAATTGGCCACATGTACATAGTAGCAACTATATTGAACAGGGTAGCTGTCTATACCCACAGAAATACCAGAGCATGAAACTGACATAAGATAACAGGGTTAGAAGTCAAAGAAACTTTTGTGTGTGTGTGTGTGTGTGTGTGTGTGTGTGTGTATACTATTAGTGTCTATTAGAAGCAATGCAAAAGATACTGTTTTATAAGTTCAAATCTTAGCCACAGGGAGAAGAAAAGATACTTTGAATAGACTTGAAGTTGAGATGTAACTGATACCTGCTTCTTATTTTTAAGGAGTACACAGTCTTGAAGAAATAAGGAACTGCTAAGTTCAGTGGGTGGCAGAAAGACATTTATGTCAAAAAACCAGGCTAGGGGTCAAATTAAGAAACCACATTCAGGAGATAGAGATGAGGAGAATCAAGTTTCGAAGCCTGGGCAAATAGTTCCGTGAGAACCTATCTTGAAAAAAACCAACCACAAAAGAGGGCTGGTGGAGTGGCTCAAGGTGAAAGCCCTGAGTTCAATCAAGCCCCAGTACTGACAAAAAAAAAGGAAGAAAGAAACCACATAATCTGTTTGTGAAAGCTAATGCTATTCAGGTGGGGGAATCCCTTTGATGAAGTCCCAAAAGGATAAGGTATTTGTAAGAAGCCAAATAAATTTTAATGGCAATGCAAAATTCTAATAAGTCATGTTTACTAATGATTACAAAGCAAGGAAGAGTTTATTGAAAATAAAACTGCAAGAGATTTCCAGGTTGTGCTAGGATAGCGATGGCTTCCTAAGTCTGAACCTCTACATAGTGCCCTCCCAACTCTGTAAAGAGCAACAGGACAGCACGTAAAACTAGAAATAGCTCAGTATAACTAGGGGACAGAGAATACTGTGACTGTCAGGTTGTCTGGAACTAGGCAGAGCTGTCTCTGGAGCTCATGTCACAAGCTTGTATTGACAGAACAGTCAGAGTCTCAGGAAACTGTATAATAAGAAGAAAGTTGGAAAATAGGAACTAAAAATGATGGTGCAAAGATAAAATCACCAACAGAAAGAGTCAGTATAATAGTAAGTATAAAAATACTGAAAAAGATTGAAGTATGATGTATCAGAGTATTGGATACAGGTGAGTAATTTGGGAGTGTACAGACCCTAGGATTATAGACTGACAGTCACTCACTGGGGAGAAGTGAAAGAATAGGAAGGGGTAGACACTATTGAGTCTTTGTTATAAACAGGAAGAAGAAAGGAATGGGAAGAATTTTAAAGGTCCTACAGAAATTAAACTTGCTGAATTAAAGATTTTACCAAACCCCTTCCACACTACCATAAAAAAGGTTTATTAATGAAAGTGATATAGGTTCTCATTGAAGTGCAAATCTTGAAGGCATTACAAAATGCTTACAGTTTCAGCACACGTCTGTTAGAAGGGCTCAGAATGTGAGCAGAAATAACGCACGTGCATACGTGGCACGGTGAGACAAAACAAAAATAGTTTTTTAGTTCATGACCGTTCCCTCCAAAACCTAGCCAAAAAAGGGAAAAAAGCTGAATTTAGCACAATAACCTGAGTTAAGTATTTCAAATAAGTAGTTGCAAGCATGAAAAAAATTACAAGATTTGAAACGAAGATGACTGAGCTCTGAAGACTGAGTTAGAGGAGTGCAGAAAAGAACGTCACTACAGATTCAGTAAGGGGACTTGAATCAAGGTGTTAAAAACACGAACAAGTGAAATAAACAGTAAAAAAAAAAAAAAAGCTTGTTGGTAAAGAATGACTGGCAAAGATTTCACACACAGCTAGTCTCTGTGAAGAAGAGTAATAAAAGAATAGCATTAAGATTTAAATTTACTCCAAGAAAGCTTTCTGGAAGTGCATATCAAAAGAACCTATTACGTACTATAGAAAATTAACTCTGAAATAGTCTGTTCTGAGTCATATGCTACACTTTAATAATAATAAAAAAAATCTTCAAGACTTCCAGGCAACAGATAATCTTTTTAATTGATTTGTAAGGGCAAGAAAACTGGCTTGGTATTAGGATTGTCAACAGCAGTGCACGGAGTGGACCCAGCCTAGAGGACAGTGACATTTTCCAAAACGTAAAGGCCATAAGTATGAGTCAAGTGTTACTCAAACCAGATGTGCCAGGGTAGGAACCACTCAGGAAGCTAAAGCAGGAGGATTGCAAGTTCAAGGCCAAACACAGTTTTAAACATAAGAGAATGGAAGGAATGTGGGTTCACTAGTGAGCCCTTCCTAAAACACATAGTTGAGAGTGAGCTGCTTTCAGTCGAGAGGACAGCAAAGACTTTGTAAAAAGGACTCACCGATGGTTACTGTTGATATATTTAACTGTAGATCTAAGACTAAAACAGTGGGGCAAGGGAAGGAGAAATCTATGCAAAGTTACACATTCTAATCCAGCAAAAATAATACAAATTTTTCAATGAGAGAAGAAGAAATACTAGGGCTTATATAAAATAAGCTTTGTAATTGTTGCACAAGCAGTAATGAGCCAAAAGTATACCATTGAAAACTGCTGACTAGTTCTAGAAGGGTTGTAAGAAGAGATGGAAGGTGGACAGTATAAATTAGACTAAAAGATACCTCTAGAACAAAAATACAAACTTTCCCCCTTACCTAACTAAGTTATTTTAAAAAACAAATGAAACAGACTAGAGGGGAAAACACAGTACACACAGTAGCATAACAAATACCTGGCAGAATTAAAGCCATGTGCATCAGTTATAGTAATAAATACCGAAGACCTAAAAAGAAAAATTTACAAATTGACTTACAACACAAAAATCAACTCTGTCACATGCAAGACACACACCTAAGCAAAGTGATTTAGAAACTCGAAAAGTGAAATGATAAGCAAAGTTACACGAGAAAAGTAGAAAGTAGAACAAGGCAGGCATTCTTACTCTGCCATTGGAATCCAATGCATGGTCAGTACAAATGAAAGTAAGTTTTTAAACAAAAAGTCCCTACAGCAAAATAAGCATAGGAAACCCCACTGATGGGCTTACGGCAGCACCACAGACCTCAGACTCCACAGCCGCTGTTGTTACAACAGACACACTAATGGATCGAAGGTCCAGAGTTAGACCTAAGTACATATGGACATTTAGTTCATGACAGTAGTAACATTTCAAGTAATTGGGGCAGGACTGGCCTAGCCATAGGCATGGCCCTGTGTGTAATCCCCAGTATGGCAAATCAATTAAGCAATCAAATCAAGTAATGGGGGCTACCTTTTTCCTATCACTTCCCTAGCCATTCAGACAATGATAGAACTGCACATATATTACAAAGGCTTTTCTGAATAGATACATTGAGCGCTTTTTTAAAAATTCTGGAATTTAATATTTTTGGCTGAAAAAAACCTAGTTTAACCTAGAAGTTCAATAACGTAAAACTGTTTTTGAGCATTTAGGAAATAGATATATTTTTTAACTTCCCATTCATTTAGTGTTTCAGAATATGTATTACTGTAAATATGACCTACATTTTTCTTTGCCAAGTGAAGTATCTTTTTCCTTATTTTCTAGTTTAGTCAGTGAATAAATGTGTATAATTTTTTCTTTTTCTTTTTTTTCCTCTATCCCATGTCTTCCCGTTTACCATACAAACCAGGCACAGGGCCTGGCCTGAGGTATCCATGGGGTAGGTTTCTCTCCTTTTTCTGTACAGTCAGTGTAAGAACACAGCCTGTGGTTACAAATTATACCAAAAAGTAAAATTTTTACCTGAGTATTTTTACTGGCTACTAGTTCTGTTTTCAAGGTATTTATGCCTAAAGTAACCTGAAATGTTATTTAAGAAATCAGCTATTGAAGATGCTATATGAGATCAAATTTTTTTTATTTTTCTTTTGAAAAATAATTTGAATCAACGTCCTAACATGAAGTTTGAGATGCTTATAAATGTATTACCTACCTGGAAAAAATACAGATGAAATATTTCATACAAATACAGTGTCTAAGTCCGTGATTCGAGAGTATTCTCTTCAGACTTAACGTTTTATTCATTATAACATCCTCAGGAAATAGATTAAAAAGATTTTTTGAGCCAGCCTATTTTTCGTTAAGGCTACCTCTTCCTTTGTCTTCTTCCCTCTCCCCTGAACCTTTTCCCTGGTTTTCTTCCTCCTTTTCTCTAGTTTTTATAGACTTTTCAATCCCTTTTTCCTAATAGTTGTTCCTTTTTGATGTACTGAAATGCATGCCACCAATCTTAGAGTTCTTCGTTTCTTTTTCATCTTCATTGCTTCTTCAGTGTGTAAATGTATTTATTATAATTATTTGTTTACATGTGTGCTCTATTAGAGTGAGCTCACTGGGCTAAGACTGTGTCATACTCATTTTTACCTGCTGATATGGGATAGTAACTGTTTAATAAACCAATAATTAAGATTTTCAAACACTCTACTGTACAGAACGTATTGTGAGTCATATTAGTGAACTCATTGAAATTGAAAAGATTACAGATAAAGGAATTTTATTTTTTGTCAGTATTTTTTCCTTACTATTTTAAACTTTCTAGTTTAGGAAATATACAGATTTGTAGACGTTATATATGAGTTTTCTTTATACTTTTATTTTAGGACAAACTGATCAAATATGCAACTGATAGTGAAACAGTAGAACCTGTTATCTCACAGTTGGTGACTGTGCTTTTGAAAGGTTGTCAAGATGCAAACTCCCAAGCTCGTCTACTCTGTGGAGAATGTTTAGGGGAGCTGGGGGCGATAGATCCAGGTCGATTAGATTTCTCAACAACTGAAACCCAAGGAAAAGATTTTACATTTGTGGTAAGTAATATTACTTTGGAATGGCAAGATTTCTCTGTCATTGAGGTTATATATTCCATTTATAAAGAACTATTCAAAGGCCAAGTGTGGTAGTGCATGCCTGTAATTCAGCTACTTGGGAGGTGGAGACAGGAGGAGCAGTCCTAGTCCTAGTTTGGGTAAAGTTAGCAGGAGACCCTGTCCTCACAACAAACTAAAAGCAAGTAGAGAGCTGGGACATGACTCAGTGGTAGAGCTAACAAGTGTGACACTCTGAGTTCAATCCCCAGTACTGCAAAAACCAAAAACCTATTCAAGTGCTCTTTAGTAACAACTTAATCTAAATCAGAAAATTTAGATAACTTCTAAGTTTATTTCTTAGTACTATCATGGAAGCCTTTGACAGAAAGCAGTAATGTTTGAGCCCAAACTAGTGTGTTGTGCTCTTGCAATAAAGCTTCCTAATCTAGTTACAATTGTACATAAAGCCTAATTAATTATTTAAAGATTACTCTTTAAACATTATTGCTAGTGTTTCCATGAAACTATTTTCCCAGGGTATTCTAATAATATGTGAATTAAAAAGTTTTTGTAGTCAAATGAATTTGGGAAATCCATGTGGAAAAAAAAAAGTTAAATGGAATTTTTTTTTTCTTTTTGTGGGGCTGGGGATCACACCCAGAGTCTCAATCCCAGGGCCTCCCACCTGCTAGGGAAGTGCTCGCTGTACCCCTAAGCTACATACACCCCAACCTCCTAAATGGAATCTTAATGTGTCAGCGTACCTTGTGAATGTCCAAATGGAGAACGTGTTGAAATTCTTCATTTGTCAGGAGAGGCTTAGGCTCCTCAGAATGCAGTTTTCCTAGGAGGTGCTGTATATGTAATTGTTTTTTAACAGTTAAAAAGCAAACAATGCAAATTGTTAGCACTATTCAAAAGTCGAGTAATTCTTACACACTTTCAAAACGCATAAAAAGAGTTTGATTTTGGCTGACTAGCTGTACATAGATCTTTCAGCCATGGAACTAACTTACTTCGAGCCTCACCATCTTTCCTTTTTCTAAGTTAAATTCACCGGGGGGAAGGACAATGTGCAACTTAAGAAAATTTATACACGAATTATCATTTTTTTTTTCTTGTTTTTATTGAGACTGGGGTAGAAGATTTAAGCTTTGCCTATGGGTTATTGATGGAGCTAACAAGAGCTTACCTTGCATATGCTGATAACAGCCGAGCTCAAGATTCAGCTGCATATGCTATCCAGGTAAGAGAGCTCGCATGGAGTGGTCATTTCTGACCTCACATTATTCAGTTCTAGCAAGAAAGTTGTAAATTCTATACTTGTGAAACACTTAACTATTATTTTCATTATCAAAGTAATATAAACTCCTTTAGAGAGTATGTATTATAAAAATTTTGTTTTAACAGTATGACAGATGAGAAGTGTATCTTTTAATTCACATTTGTTTAGTTATGAGAGTTGTAATTTTGGGGGTTTTGTCGGTTTGTTCTAGTAATCTTTTCCATCTTTTTTCTTGGTGTTGGTTGATTATTTTTGTTCATAAATTAACTCTATCTATTGTACTTGCAATATTTTTCTAATTTGTCTTTCTTCGCCCTTCATCATGTTATATTTCCCTTGAAAATTTCTGTTTCATTAGACATTCAGGTCTGGTACTTATGATGGAAGGTCTAGTTACAGATAAAAAATTAGACATTTTCATTGTAGAAAATGAGATAATCAAGGAGTAAGTACAGTTAAAAGATTCCAGCAATTGCATCATGGTAGCACTTGCCAGCATGGGGGTTCCAGCTGCTGAGGACACTAAGGAGGAGAATCACTTGAGCTCAGGAGTTCAAAGCCAGCCTGGACAGCTTATAGTGAGATCCTGTCTCAAAAACAAATAAACAAAACAAGAGAGTCTACTAATTAGGCCCTGGATAATGAGAAATCAGAGAAATAAGAATGGAACAAGATTAATGAGAAAGTGCTGCCAATGAGGTAGGAGAATGAAGAACGTTCTAGAAGACATGAGAGTGTTTCAGGAAATATGACGCTCTCTGTTGTTCAAATGCTGGGTGCAGGTGTAATAGTTTGAGAATTGAGAACTGCCTGTTGTCTGTGTAGTAAAATGGAGGTCATGGGTGACCTTTGGAAGATCATTTTCACTTCTATTTTCTCCAGGAAATAAGAAGGAAGGCCTATAGCTGTAAGCACATTAGGGTTTTTAAGAGTGTTAATAGTCCTGAAACCAGAGAACTGCTGATCAAGTAAGTCTAGTATTAGAAGTCAGAGGGACTTCTTTTAAAGAATCTTTGCCATACATCAGAAAAAACTGAATTCAAATAAAGTTTTAATAACATTTTAGTTAAATGAAAAGTGGAGTTTGGGTACTTCTTTGTTTGAGCTCTTTATATATTTTCTTAATTTTTGTGGGGAGCCAACAGGTGTATCGAATAAGCTGCGGGTTTGAGTTTTGCATAGCCCCAAACCGCAGAAGGGAGCAAGCATAGTTATGCCCAGTAATTTGCAAGGTTGAATTGGCACAGCCTCAACTGCAGAAGTGGGCAAGATGCAGTACAGCTGTTTTTCCTTTAATGTTACATTCATAGAGAAGCTGTCAGTTTCCTCCTTTTCCTGAGGATCATGGTGTCACACCCCCTCCCCCGAGGCCTGCCTCTCCACCTTGTGTTGCCACGAGGTGTATACAATAAACTCTCTGGAGGTGGAGGTGGTTACTGTGTCTCCATCAGAGCACCCAGCCTGCCTGGCCCCAGCTTTATGCATGTTTAGTCTTCCATCTGTTGTCTTTTCTGCATCTCCTGTTGCCCTCAGTTAGGTTTATAGGACAAGCTTGTGCAGGACACAAGAAGTTTTATTAAAAATATTAAGTGCAAAGTACATATTTTGCTAGATAGTGCTTATATTTAATAAATGTCAGAAAAACATCTATTTATTACACATAGCCTTTTTCAAAGGAATAAGAAAGACTCATAGTTGATATACCGTAATGGTTTAAAGAATGAGAGACAGATTTTTTTTTTTTCTACTACATCTATAAAGTCCCATTTTTTTTCCTCCAAGGAAAACAAAAGATAACCATTCAGTCTCTGGGCTTCAATAGTAAGTAAATTGGGTTTTTGACATTTTTCATCCCATTTTCAGAATTTTAAGCTCCGTATTTTTCCCCCTGGACTTGGGGGTTTAAAGGCTGTGCCACTTGAGCCACACCTCCACTCCTTTTGCTCTGGCTGTTTTGGAGTTAGAGTCTCCCAAACTATTTGCCCAGACTGGCTTTGAACTCCGATCCCTCTGATCTCAGCCTCTCAAGTGGCTAGGATTACGGCCTGAGCCACTAGCACCCAGCTAAGCTCAGTGTTTTAGATCTAGAATTTGAGATTTCTTGGATTTTTGTACTGCTTGGGATTTATAGTTGCTTTCATTATAATTCAGAACAGATCAAACGCTAAGGCTTGGCTCTGGGGTTGGCGCTAAGCGGTAGACACATGCTCAGCATGTATGAGGATCTGGGGTCATTCCCTAGCACCAAGAGAAAAATTCCGAGGATTATAATTTTACAAATATAAAACGTTCCTGTTGTTTCCCGAAAGTAGCTCTTAGTCTTGTATTTCATACATAATATCCCTTAAGCTGGCTGCATGTCCAAGTACTGCCATAGTTTTGGAACCCTGAGTAAGTTACCTAAATGGTTCAAGACATTGAAATAAAGGTCCTGAGGAGGCTCAGAGCTCTGAAGCAAGTCTAAATTCTCTTTCTTTTTCCGTGTTTTCATAGCAATAATCTGTAGAACACTGATTAATATAAAATTTTGATCTGCTTCGCTGTGGGCTATGTGAACTATGTGTTTGCAGGAATTACTTTCCATTTATGACTGTAGAGAGATGCAGATGAGCGGCCGAGGTCACCAGTTGTGGAAGAGATTTCCTGAGCACGTTCGAGAAATACTAGAGCCTCATCTAAATACTAGGTATGCAGGGTAGACTCATTTAAGCTGTTTTAAAAATGACTTTTCGCTTTATAAAAATTGGTAGTACTTTTCATACAGTTTTTTTAACATAAAAAGTATTTTTAACATGTTCTTATGTACTTTCCACTGGTTTTGTTTGCTTCTATGCCTGTTAAAATGAGAGGTATAGTCTAGTAATTTAGCTAAATTCTGTAACGTTAACACTGATTCATTAAGGTTAAAAGAATCAATTTTTTTTTAGTTCAGCTGTCAGTAGTACTTTGAAAGAATCTACTTAAAATCAAGTAAGAGTTGATACTTATGACAAGTTTTAGATAGAGCAACTTAAGTGTTGAGAACACAGTTAGAGATTTCTGTCCCTCCCAGTTTCTCCTCAGGAATATATTTTCTACCACTGTTTTTAAAAAAAGTATTTTCTAATGTTTCTTCAACTTAAGTAAGTTTGCTAAGACTGATTACAGTCCATAAAATTATAAATTGTTTGTAGTTAGAAACTGTAATTTTAGGTACTCTAGTTCTCACAATTATTGCATCTATGAACTTGAATAAATTACTTCTTGGCTTTACTTCTTTTGCCTGGGCTGGCCTCAAACCTTGATCCTCCCAATCTGTGCATCCCATATGCTTGAGCCGTTGCACCCTCACTTCTTTATTCTGTATTTTATATAGTACCTTTAGATCATTAGATTTTCTCTGATCTACTACAAAGTAGGTCTTTGGAGTCCAGCAGACCAGGGTTGGAATTTTAGCTCTGAATTTGCCAGCCATAATTATATATAACATTATACAAATGTTATATAAATTATATAACATTTTCAACTTTCAGTTTTTGTTGTTGTTTTCTTTCTTGAGATGGGGTCTTACTGTGTAACCCAGGCTGACTTGGATTTCAAGATCTTTCTATATCTGCCTCCTGAGTGCTGGGATTATAGCTGTATACCACTAGGCCTGGCTTTAATTTTTCTACTTTGAAAATATGGATGATTTTACTCATCTCATCTGATCATTATTAAGAATAAAGGCCTTTAACTTCAGAGTACTTAGCAGAGTGCCTGACATTTAGCTGATACTCAATAATAAATGCATATTCAATCTCAGCCTGTGGAAGAAATTCCTTCATTTTTAGGGAGAGTTTGTAGAGTGGTGGTTGCCTATTTCATAAGAAACAGAAGCCAGCATTTCTGCTTTCTTGTTATTCTTTCATCACAAAGAATATTAAGAAGAACAATCTCAGGAAAGCATTGAGAATTCTTATTACCTGTTACTTTCCTGAGAGAGTAGAGGAACCTCCGCTACATTCCTCACCGTCGAAGTTAGATTATCTACCCGGGATCTGCTCATTGAAATTACTGCCTCATAAAAATAAGAAGTTAATGGAGGGCACTTTCGAAAGAGTTGACCTCCCTTCATATGAGATGGTAAAATGCCAGCTTAGCCAGCGGATCCATGTGATGACTTAGATTAGCTGATGTTTACTCTGTAGGCTGAGGCAGTAGGAATTCCCTACAGGCACATCCGTCTTCACTGCCCAGAAGTTATGCTGTGTATTCTCCATGCATCCCCTAAGCCTGTGCTGCAGGATGCCCATATTTGGAAGATTTAATTCATAGAACAAGATCGATCAACAACAGTTGAAAATTTCTACAGAAATAGTATAAGGAGAAAACTGGCTTATGCCTCAGCATGAGTAGTCTTCTAACTAAGGTCACAGTGGAACTTGATAAAATCACCACAAGACTTACATTCATGATTATTTAAAATAGACACTTAAATATTAGAGACTTTTTCAGCTTTCAGAAACTTGTTCTACAGGGAATATTTAGTGTTTGCTAAAGACTGCCTGTGGGCATTTAGTGTGCTTACCATTTCCTGAACTCACACTAATAATTCAAGGAACCCAGTTCCCTCAAAAAAACATCCTACAGACCTGGAGTTAGTTGTAAGATGAGCACTGTTTGAATGTGTTTAATTAAATGCTGATGCAAAGGAACAAAAGGAAAGGGGATAGTGAACTAATGAAACAGTAGGAGCCCTGAGGAGCACAGAGTGGGGATTTGAGGGGAGATAAAATAACAGTGGAAACCACCCACATCCACAGATTTCACTGTGAGAAGCAGTGATTTCTTTTTCCTCTGTGAAGTAGGGCATCATGGAAATGAGACTGCTGGCTGGAAGTGGCAGTGAAGTATATTTACAGGTAATTTGAGGAGAGCTCTGGTAATTGAGAGGAGGAGCAAGTCATTGAGATGTTTTGCAATTGATTTAGTGCTCCAGCCAGGATAATAATCACCTTGAGGCACAGAGAACACTGCCCAGTGTGACAAATTTGTGAGTGGGTTTGGTCATTAGTGCGCTTGTTAGATGTCCTAATTGGAAACAGTACAGTTGGTCTAGGTGGTTTGAACGTCAAAGGATCAGACATCAAGAATGCAGTTGGAAGGGTCTGAGGAATAGGAGGGGACAGTCAAATCCTTAGACATATTTGGGGCTGTGTAAGAGTGGCCTCCCACCCCATGTTAAAGGATAGTAGAAAAGTATTGTCTATAACCAGATTTCAGTAAAAGCAAGGCAATACATGGTAGTCAGTGAAGGAGCTGGTATAATTTCTTCTACTTTCTTTACAAATTTCTAAACCAATGAATATATATGTTATTTTTTTAATAAACAAATTTTCAAAATTACAGATATAAGAGTTCTCAGAAGTCAACAGATTGGTCCGGAGTAAAGAAGCCAATTTACCTAAGTAAATTAGGTAATAACTTTGCAGAATGGTCAGCGTCTTGGGCAGGCTATCTTATAACAAAGGTAAGACAACTCTTGTCAGAATTTGTTAGCCAAACAAATTCTAAAGGAAACCAGAACATCCATCTGAATGCATGGTACATGCAATGGGAATTAAAACATTTATACTAAGAATGATAGAAATTTTTTTCTTGCAGTGCTAGGGATAGAGTACTAGGCAAGTACTGTATCACTGAGCTCTGTCCCCAGCCCAATGACAGAAATTTTTGAAGAAAACATTTACCAATAGAGAGTAACAATTTCTCCGTGGATACTGTTGATAGTTTCTGGATGAAAAGTGAATTGTTTTATCAAATAAATTACCATGGAATTAATATAATTGTAGAATGTCAATTACATTGTGTCTGCACATAACATTGTAGAATATTACTGTTTAAAAGGATGTGAGGGCTGGTGGAGTGGCTTGAGTAGAGCAACTGCCTAGCAAGCATGAGGCCCTGAGCTCAATCCCAGTATGGAAGAAGGGCGAATGCCATGTCAGTTTTTACTTAATAAAGGTTTTTTTATGTAATAATAAGATACATTGTCCTTTAGTGATACTTTTGAAAGGAGATACTTCATCTGAACTTTCTCTAAAATAAAAATATTTAAAAATGAAATTTCATGGAAAACAAAGGCATATTTCATGTTTTCCTAGTGTAAAATTTGTATGTACCTGATGGAAAGATATAGCGTATTTAAGATTTACAACTTTTGTTTTAAATTCACATTTCTGTCAATAGTACTTTAAAATATCATTGATCAGAATATTAAATGGTAATTTCAGACAGTTCACTCATATTTCATGAACATGCTGAAAATATGTATCAATGTAGAATACTGTTGAATTACCTACCAGCTCTAAATATTTTATTTAGTTTTTATCATTGTTGTTTTTAGTCAAGGTTTTTTATTTGAAGAAAAACATCTTTAAAATGTTTTAAGAGTCAGTAGTGTTGGTGAATTGAAGATCAGGTCTTACCAATAAAATTTGACTTTAAATTGACAAAAATTGTATGTATTTAAGATGTACAACATGTATTAAAATATTTATTCCCAAGTAATGTATTTCTCTATTTCTTTTAATTTTTTTTTCTATACTGGCTCCTCATTATTTCTTTCTTAAAATATAGATCTCATCCTCAATGTGCTGGCCCAATGTATCATTTCTAGTTACTTAATTAAAGGAATTAGAAGCTAAGTTTAATGTTGGCTAAGTAATACATAGTTAGGAAATTAACCTGTAACAAAACATGACACATTGGAACCAACTGTAAGGAGGTGAGACCATTGTGCTGAGGTCATTCTGCATAGCTTGTAGGGTCTCAATAGTCAGGAATTTGGGACTAGTTAGAAGGATCAGGGAGGTGGCAATCTGAAATCCTCCTTGCTTGAAATCCCCCTCTTCCCTGCTCTGCTGTGATAAATCGTCTCTTATGCTGTTTTAACATTCAGTCAGTAACTGAAACAAGTGAAACCACTCATTCTCCCTCAATCTTGAGTTTACAGGTTCGGCATGATCTTGCTAGTAAAATCTTCACGTGCTGTAGCATAATGATGAAGCATGACTTCAAGGTGACCATCTACCTTCTTCCACATATTCTCGTGTATGTCTTGTTGGGGTGTACTCAGGAAGATCGGCAAGAGGTGAGAATTATATTTCATTTAACTTCTAAACACCCTGCAATTCTGAACATGTAACCTTAGGTTCTCCTATGTGATGAGTATTAGAAAGGCTACAGAATAGTAGGTCATATAGACCTATGTTTGATGATGTACATTCATCACCTGACTAAAAATATATACAATCACTTTAAAATTTTCATTTAACAAAGAATTAGGCAATGTGCAGTATAGGAAATTAGTAGGTATGTATATGCATAGAATATGTTGCAATGGAAACATTAGAAACTTGCTAGTAGCTTTTCCATGGGAACAGGACTTTGGGTTAGGATAGGGAAAGAGAAATATTCTATAATTTTATAGTTTGATTCTTAACCACATATATATGGCACTGTTCTCTTTTTTGAAAGGTTATTGTTGTAGCTGAAGTAGCACATTGCTATATTTCTAAAGTCAAAATCCAAGTTCTATAAATAAATCAACATGATCCTTTGATTACTGTTCCTGACTTTCTATCACCAGAGGTCATGGCTGTTACTAGTATGGCTTAGATTTCTTCAAGTTTTTTTTTTTCTTAAACGGAAATTAGTTTAATTTTGCTTTGGGTTTTTGTTTTGTTTTCTTGGTATCCTTTTGTAGGTACTGCTCCATAACTTGCTTTAAAAAAAAAAAAACTCGCCTATAGAAAGCCATCTTTTTTAAACTACTGCCTTACACAGTCCTTCGTTATGTGGTTGTTCCCTAGTTTAGTGATTAGAGTGTGAGCATCTGGGTCCTTCAAGTTAATCTGTAGAAGCTCTGTGTGTATTCTGGATCCCAGTCATGTTTTGAAAAATCTTTCCCAATTAGTAATTTTCCTTCAGATACTTGTTTATGCATTTTACCAGGCAGAAGTTTTAAGTATAAATGCCAAATTTATAACTCTTTTTTGGATGTTGAATTTGAAGCCTTTTATGTGATGCTTTCCCTCATTCAATGTAGGAGCATATTTGCTTGCTTCTTAAAAACGTTAACTGACACATGATAGTTGTACATATTCCTGAGGTAGTAGGGCTGTCTCACCACATATGCATATGTGCGTAGTGTTCAATCGCAGTGAACCTATGTCTCCTCAAGCATTTGCCATTTCTTAATGGTAAAAATGTTGAAAACCCTTTATTCTAGCTTTTAAAAAATATATAGTACGTTATCACTATCTGTACACTTAGTCTTAATTACTCTGAAATTAATTTTACAGATGGCATGAGGTATTCTTAAGGATTTTTACTATTAGTTAACCAGTAGTCTTACTATCTTTATTGAATAATACAGAAGTTTTAATATTTATTTTTGTATTTTCTTTAGTCTGTAACTTTTTCTTTTTATTCTGTTGGTTCAATTATAGATAAGAAATATTGTAGCGTATTGTGTTGTTTTCTTTTGAAAATTGTGCCTTAAGGGCTGGCAGAGTGGCTCAAGTGATAAGGCACCTGCCTAGCAAGCATGAGGCCCTGAGTTCAAACCACAGTACCATGAAAAAGAAGAAAGAAAATTGTTGTGTTAAAGCGATTAGTCTTTTACGTGAGGTAATAATAAGGTGATATTATTAATCATGAAATGAGTTCCCTAGGTTTATGCAGAGATCATGGCAGTGCTGAAGCACGATGACCAGTGCACCGTGGGTGCCCAGGACAGCGCATCTGATCTGTGCCAGCTGAGTACACAGACCGTCTTCTCCATGCTCGACCATCTCACGCAATGGGCAAGGCACAAATTCCAAGCAATGAATGCCGAGAAGCTTCCTCAGAGCAAATCCAACAGAGATAAGGTCAGCTCAACGGGTGAGTTAGAACTTTTTTTTTCTTCTTTTAGTTCTTCTTTTAATTCTTCTTTAGCAACATTCTGTATCAATTGTACAGTTTAAGCATTGCTTCTAAAAGACTTGTTTTTAATCTGTAATCCCAGCTACTTGGGAGGCAGATATCTCATTTCTAGACTAGCTCAACAAAAGTTGTCTGTACTCCCATCTCAAGACTAATTAGTTGGGCATTGTGGCAGGAGCCTGTTGTTGTCTCAGCTGCAGGGGAGGCTCTAGGTCCAGGCTGGCCCCCAGGCAAAAACACAAGGCCCTATCTCAAAATATATATATATATACATAGATAGATAGGTAGATAAATTGATAGATAGATAGATAACCTAAAGCAAAATAAAAAGGCTGGAGTTGTGACTCAAATGTCAAAATGCCTGCTTAGCACATGGGAGGCCCTGAATTCAAATCCTAACACTGCCAAAAAGAGTAATAAGAAAACAGCTTGTTTTCGTGCTTTTTTCAAGTGGATAGTAGATGTTTTTCACTGAGAAAAAGCAGTGGATTTATAGCTAAAGACCCCTATTTTAGGGCTGGGGTGTAGCTTATTGGTAGAATGTTGCCTAGCATGTATGAGGCCCTGAATTTGATCCCCAGCACCACAGAATTAAAAACAACAACAAAAACTCCCTTAAGTTTTTACTCTTGCTTTCTTGAATAAAGCACGTATCTAATTTTTCTTTGTATAAAATGGTATATCTCCCTTGGAAGATAAGATGAGCTGTGTCTATCTAAATAATATAAATGATGACGTGTGCAATGCGGTGCCGATGTCATTAACCCACTTCTACCCTCATGATTGATTAATTTACCCCTTGTTCCCTGAATGCATTGTGATTGTGTGTCTTATTCACATTTAAGTTTTAAATTTCAAAAATTTTAGTTTCATTTAGTTCATGGTCCAGAGAAAGCTATTTTTATTTCTTTTCCCTCCTTTGGCAGTGTTTGTGTCCTGCTGTGACAATTTTGCGCCATCTTTTCTTGTGATACTACAACTCCACCAACATGACTAAAGGAAGAGTGTTAGCAGAGTTAAATGAATCTTGTTAGAGTTAACCCCCTCATGTCTTCCGAGCTTTCTGTTGTTCTTGCAGTTGAGTGGATGCTTACAATCCTGCTGCTACTTTCCACCTCACATGTTCTTGTGGATATCACATTTTTCCCAGTAGACTTTGGGGCCAGTTGAAAAACTTGTCAATCTAATAACCATAAAAGAGGGCTTCACTTATAAAATTCGCAATTTCTGGACATTTTCCTGTTGTTCAGGTAGCTTCTAAGCACAAGACTTTATTTTTTCTAAACTTCTCTGTACTTGCAATAATTATCTATGTGGGGGTATGTTTTTCTCTGGAATATGCCTAGGAATGTATTTCTCATTAATTAACAATTAAGTTCCTATTTCTGATAGGAAATGATACTATAAAATCAAGCACTAACTTTGTTATCACCATTTTCACTCATACTGCAGCTAAAAGTCTACCTTTTAAGAATAGCATTTGGATCATTTTGTATAACATATACCTACATATGCAAAGCCCTAGGTTCGATCTCTAGCACCACCAGAAAAAAAAGTAAACTTTAAAATAAAATGGCTATTTCCTTAATTCTGCCCTTTGTCTACTAAAGAGTTATATCTGTCAGTATTTTATAGTCATCAATAATAAATAAGTAATTTTGTATCCTTTATATCATCTTTGTATCCTTTTAACACTTAGTAATAGTTTTACATTTAATCCTTACAGCAACAATGTAAGGGAGGCAAGACAGGTCTTAGCATTCCTTTTTTTTCCTTTTTGAGCCACTCCACCACCCCTTTTTTATGATGGTTTTTTCTGAGATAGGGTCTCGTGAACTATTTGCCTGGGCTGGCCTCTAAACTCTATCCTCATGATCTCTGCCTCCTGAGTAGCAAGGATTACAGGTGTGAGCCACTGGTGCCCAGCTACATTTCCCTTTTATAGATGAGAAACAGAGGCTTAGTAAGTTAATCAACGGTCCAAAGTCAGTCAAGGACTAATGGTGGACTCGTAGTCTGACCCTCTGAGTTAACATCCTACTTAAGTTAGCCTCATGCATTTAGGTTAATTTATTTGGTGAAATAAATGGAAGTTAAATATTTACACTAAATCTTTTAATATTTCATCTTTTAAGTCTGATTACTCTTTTTTTTTTTTTTTTATAACCCAGTGTCAAGTGCAGGTTTAGAAGACTATCAGAGTGTAACTCGGTTCCTTGACCTCATACCTCAGGATACCCTGGCAGTAGCTTCCTTTCGCTCCAAAGCATACACACGAGCTGTAATGCACTTTGAGTCATTTATTACAGAGAAGAAGCAAAATATTCAAGAGCATCTTGGATTTTTACAGGTTTGAATTTAGTAATGAATATCGATTTGACAATCTTTTGTGGCGCTACTTTTCATTTTATTGGGCGTTCTAGAAGCTGGGTTAGACACTGGATATTTCTAGCACTTTAGGTGCTTACACATGGGGGAGGAGTAAACAATTTGGTATAATATCTTAAGTACAGTGGTGCAGATTTACCCTGAGGAGGATTCTTTTTTTTTATTCCTTTTATTTTATCATTTTTACATTTACTCGTATGTGTATACATTGTTTGTGCCCCCTCACCCTCACCCATTCCCTATTCTCCCCCTACTTCCAGGCAGAACCTGTTCCTCCCTCTTCTCCAATTTTGTTGAAGAGAAAATATAGGAGATAATAAGAAAGACATAGTGGTTTTGCTAGTTTGAGATAAAGATAGCTATACAGAGAGATTCCTAGCATTGCTTCCATGCATTTGTGTATTGCAATCCACATTTGCCCGTGACCTGCATGGGTATGCTGCATGAACCTGACTAAGAGCAGCAGGGAATGAGAAATAAGACACACACAAACATACAGACATAAAACATAAAACAGAACACTGGAATTGGGAGGACTGCATGTTCCTGATGGGAAACATGAACGCCTACCTAAGCCAGAGTATTTATTTTATTAGGTCAGTACAAGAAAAAGACTCAGGTAAAAATCAAGCTTTAACAATTCTTGATGCAAGGTGAAAGGATTGAGGTTTGGTGGGCTAATTTTCCTAAGACTTATGAAGCTTAATTACAACACATTAGTTCTGGAATCATCAAGGCTCCCAGGACACCTTATCTAAGGTATTGATTAATCTGACATCAGGGTGTTTCCTAACAGTTCTGGTACTTTATCTAGTTTTGCATAAGGGGCTGGCATGCAGACACAGCAGGTTGTATTCTTCAAGGAGATGTGAGAACAAAGGTCAAGACACCAGGTACTGGGGAAATTATGGTAGAAGAGGCTGTGCAAACTTCTACCATGGAAAGGCTGTGCAAACTCCTATATGGAGAGGCTGTGCAACTCCATTATATCCCAGTCCAGGGTTCATGCCTGGTCTCCAACAACAGTGTTCATCTCTACCAGATCTCTTCACTACTTTCCATAGTGGCCTCTACCAGTTTAAGATTGCTATGTTTACTCTGCAGTGAGCACGTCAACCACATTCAAGTTTCAGATTTCCTCTCCTTTCCCTTTTTCTCCTGTGCGCATTCTCCCCGCAGTGTGTGACCCACGTCCAATAGTGTTACCGTGTTTGTTTAGGTGTGAAGTCCGCATATGGTAACTCTGCTTGGTAACTCCGCTTAATGATGTTCTCCAGTACCATCCATTTACTTGCGAATGACAAGATTTCATTCTTTGTGGCTGCATAAAATTCCATTGTGTATAAACACCACATTTTCTTTTTTTTTGTTCATATGTGCATACAATGCTTGGGTCATTTCTCCCCCCTTCCCCCACCCCCTCCCTTACCACCCACTCCGCCCCTCCCTCTCCCCCCCACCCCCTGGATACCCGGCAGAAACTATTTTGCCCTTATCTCTAATTTTGTTGTAGAGAGAGTATAAGCAATAATAGGAAGGAACAAGGGTTTTTGCTGGTTGAGATAAGGATAGCTATACAGGGCATTGACTCGCATTGATTTCCTGTGCGTGGGTGTTACCTTCTAGGTTAATTCTTTTTGATCTTACCTTTTCTCTAGTTCCTGGTCCCCTTCTCCTTCGGCCTCAGTTGCTTTTAAGGTATCTGCTTTAGTTTCTCCGCGTTGAGGGCAACAAATGCTATCTAGTTTTTCAGGTGTCTTACCTATCCTCACCCCTCCCTTGTGTGCTCTTGCTTTTATCTTGTGATCAAAGTCCAGTCACCTTGTTGTGTTTGCCCTTGATCTAATGTCCGCATATGAGGGAGAACATACGATTTTTAACACCACATTTTCTTAATCCATTCGTCAGTGGTGGGGGCACTTTGGCTGTTTCCATAACTTGGCTACTGTGAATAGTGCTGCAATAAACATGGGTGTGCTGGTGCCTCTGGAGTAACCTGTGTTGCATTCCTTTGGGTATATCCCTAGGAGTGGGATTGCTGGATCATATGGCAGATCTGTTTAGTTTTTTAAGAAGCCTTCATATTGTTTTCCAAAGTGGTTGTACTAGCTTACATTCCTACCAGCAAAATGTTAGGGTTCCTTTTTCCCGTATCCCTGAGGAGGATTCTTATCTCACACTCTGTGGAGTGGGTGGGAGATGGGAGTGGGCAAGCCAAGGGTCCGGGTAGCTTCTTGGAGGCGGTACCTTGGATAATGAGTCAGCGGAGCGTCTGCATGTAGTTGGTACAGAGTGTGGTCTACCAAACAGCGAAGGGTCGGTTTTGGAGTGGCATAGGAAAGATCACAAATTGTAGGGGCTTTCTCAGTTGTCCAAACTTCTTAGAGCATGTGAACTAGGGAGGTTTTCTGGTCTCAGTGGTATTTTAGCTGAATGCCTATGAATCATGGAGTTAGAATTTGAAAGGGCTGTGATTCTGTACATTACTCTTCTTCCTTTGAGAGGTGAGAGCCTGATTTTGGGGGTGAATGAGTTGAGAATGTACTGGTTATGAGATGTCAGGTGGGAGAATACTGTGACTCTAGGGAAGAAAAGAAAGTAAAGGAAGGTGGGGCTAGGACAGATTGCCACCTGGAAAATAAGATTGGGGTATAGCTCAATAGTAGAGTGTTTGCCCAGTGTTTGCAACACCCCAAGATAGATCTCCAACACTGTGGGAAGAAAAAAACACAAATATGATGTGCTGGTGTGCACACCTGTAATCTCAGCACTCAGGAGGCTGAGGCAAGAGGATCACAAGTTCCAGGCCAGCCTGAGCTACATGACAAGTTTAAGGCCAGCCTAGGCTACTTACTGAGCCCCTGACTCAAAACAAACAAATAACAATAACAAAAAACTCTGGAAAATTCATAGCTTGTAGTCTTACGATGGATTTTAGCCCCTTGCCGTCTCTGGGTTCCTCCTTGTCTACCTGTGTGTTATAAGGTTATCCATCGCCCTTGTTTCTCTCTCCTTGTTTTGTGCTCACGTTGAGAACCTCCAACCCTGTGCTAACTCACCTGTCTAACCCTCAGTGTCTGATGGAAGCTGCTGACAATGCTGGGGGATGTGACACAGTGGGCTTGTTCCACTTTTAAGTGACATCATGCTCTCAAGATGTCACTTACACTGCAGGACTTCATTCCTTCTGTGTTTCTCTGCTAAGCAAGGAGACAGCTTGATGCCTTCTCTTCACCTGCTTCTGCCTCAGCCTCAACTGAAGATCTTGCTTCATCCTTCATCAGGAAATCAGGGGCAAATATTTACGAAAGTTGCATGTGTCCTGTCTCGCTTCTGTTATGTCTAAGGAAGGAAACCCTTCCAGTCAAAACTCAGTCCTTCAACTATGTTTTAATTTCAATGATTTCATTCCTCCAAATATTCCTTTCCTCTCTAGTATCATTAAAATCTCCTATCTTTATGTTTAAAATAATTCCTTTGATTTTACCTTCTCTTGAGCTATGTTCCATCTCGCTTATTCTCTTAGCCAGTTCTAGAAAGAATCTCTGTACTCCCTATGATACCTTGTTTCCCATTTACTGCTTGCTTTGTTTAACTTCACTTTCTCTTTCTTCTTGGTGCTATTCTTGCTAAAAAAAAAAAAAAAATCAGTGGCCTCCAGGTTGCCACATGCAAAGGACGCTTTCTACTTTTCCTCAACATGGCAGTGTCAGTCCACCATTCCTTCTCATTAAGGCTTTTGCCTTTCTCCCTGCCTGGTGGAGGTTTTGTTCCCCAGGTTTTCTAGTAGCTCTGGGTTGTCCTTCCAGGCTCTTTGCTAGTGCTTCCTTGTCTCAGTGTAGAAATTCTATCTCCATCCTTCTCTGTTCATTTCCTAGATCTTTGTGTTTAAACTACTTCCCAGATATCTGTCTTTAGTCTGAATATTCCCCTTTTAGCCTAACTTACTGATATTTTTTAGGTGGTTTTTCTTTTTTTTTCAGTACTGGGGTTTGAACTCAGGGCCTCACAGTTGCTAGGCAGACGCTCTACCTCTTGAGCCATATTGCCAGCCTATTTTGCATTAGTTTATTTTTCAGGAAGGGTCTTATATTTTTGTCCAGCCCAGCCTTGGACAGCAGTCCTCCTAACTATTCCTCATATATAGCTGAAATTACAACCATGAACCACCATGTTCAGCTTGTTTGTTGAGGGAGAGGGTCTCACTAACTTTTTGTCTGGGCTGGTCTCGAACTATGACCTTCCTGATTTTTGCCTTCCACCTAGCTGGGGTTACACACATCATCCACTGTGCCCAAACTCAGATTACTGATGTTTTTAATTTGTGAAGGCATTTTGGCACCGGTATATTAAATGTTTGTTTGAAATTGTTAAACATTTGATTCAAAGACAGTTTCAGTACCTTAAGGCTCTTTAAAGCCCTCGCTTCTCTGTGAAAAATTAGCCCTGATGCAGTTTTGAATTTCGATGGAACTATAGCGCTGAGCTAACAGAAATTGGGAAGTCATTTGTAATTTTATTGTGAATTAGCGATGAAACAAATATTATTGAGGAAAGATTTCTTGCATGGTTTAGTTTTATTTCCTGTTGTGTTTTTTCCCTCATTTGATTATTTTTAATGGTTGGAAAAGAAATTGTATGCTGCTATGCATGAGCCAGATGGAGTGGCCGGTGTCAGCGCCATCCGGAAGGCAGAGCCATCTCTGAAGGAGCAGATCCTGGAGCACGAGAGCATCGGCCTGCTGCGTGACGCTACCGCCTGCTATGACAGGGCCATTCAGCTCGAGCCGGACCAGGTGATGCAGGAGTCACAGGGTGCCTTGACTGACTTACTGATGGTGCTGGACAATCTTAAAATTCCCATCCCCAGGCCCTTAGAAATCCCCAGATCAGTGAGAGATCCTGGAGTATGCTTATTTTAAATATGCATTTAATAACTAAAATTTGGGTAGTTTTAGTTTGCTATTAAAAGAATAAGGTGTCAGGGCTGGATAGTACTTGCCTAGCATGTGTGAGGCCCTGGCTACAATCCCTGATACCAAAAGAAAAAGTATAGAAGCCGTGCACACTCACACCCACCTGCCAGTCTCTGAGATAGTCCATTAAAATCACTGAGCCAAAGGGGGCAATTGTTTACTGGGCTGGGTAGGGGCTCGGATCATCGACTTATAGCCTAGCCTTAGATTCCCTCTCACCTTGAGGCTTTGCCTTAGAGCAGATTTGACATGGTTATTTCCTCAGAGGCTCACTATGTCATGTCTTCATTTTTCACAGTCTTGCTTTCAGTTTTCAAGAATATTCTGTAATCCTCCTTAACTGTGTAGTTACTGAAGATCAAAATCTGTATGAATAGCATTATAACCTTTAAGTTTGATTCTTACATGAGAAATACAACAAAGTATCTTTAAGCAAAATAGTAAATGGATACTTTTATATTCTTTAATATTTGATCTGAACCAAAAATTAGGACAAATCTGGAAAAATATAATAAATTCAGTGTAAGCATTTTTTTTAGGTTGTCTACATTGTTCTCTGTAACTTTCAGTATTTTTGGGCTTGGTAGGAGGTATTGCCATGTAGCTGAGTGAGTCAGTTTTTAACTGATAAGGCAAATGTGTCGTTAATAAATATTAGTTAAACTGTTCTTGGTTCCCAAAATATATTTGGAATGATAATTCTATCTTGAATGTGTTTAAATTTCTAGATCATCCATTACCATGGTGTAGTGAAGTCCATGTTAGGTCTTGGTCAGCTCTCTACTGTAATCACTCAGGTGAATGGAGTGCATGCCAACAGGTAATATTTTATAAAAGAATGATTGTTCTTTCTCTATTCTGATTGAATGGGAAATCTTTGATTTGTGAATTGGACAGCTTAGTGTTTACTAAAGTAAAGTAGTGAAATGCCTCATAGGCTGGGCACCGGTGGCTCACACCTATAGTCCTAGCTACTCAGGAGGCAGAGATCAGGATGATTGAGGTTCAAAGCTAGCCTGTGCAAATAGTTCGAGAGACCATATCTCAAAAAGCCCTTCACAAAAATAGGGCTGGTGGAGTGACTCAAGGTGAAGGCTCTGAGTTCAAACCCCAGTACTGCAAAAATAATAATAATAATAATAATAATGTCTTATATGCTTTCATGCTGTTGGAAATAAGCACCTAATTTTTTTTTCTGTTTTCATAAGTCACTCTGCCACTTAATCACTTATTCTGCAGTCATCCTTGAATTAGATTTTTCTTAGAGATAGGAAACTTCCAGAGTCCATCTGCCACTGGTGTGACTTACGTGGGCACTTCCTGGCTTCAGAGCTCTGCCTTGGTATCAGCACTAGTTGCTTTCTGTGCTGGAGGCTCAGGAGGGGACTTTGTGACTGAGTTATGGAAACCGCTATTTAATTGTGTGGGTTAATTATGTAAAAAAACAGTGCTTTATTCATGGCAAAAATTAAGTCTAGATAGTTCCTCAAGTTTTTCCTCCTCTTCAACCTGCTTTCTGTAATAGCAAAAACTTTGTTGTTTAATATATTCTAGATCCCCAAATGACTATTCTGGGCAGTGAGATTGGTCAACAGGGAATGGGATCTTAGTGAATCAGAGAACACACAGACCACTGGGTTTGTTTGTTTGTTAGTAAAGAGTGATTTAACAGGCAAGCAAAGATAAAACTCAAGGTGTGAGTGAGCATCAGTGGCCTAAGCAGGGACCATATGTCAGGTGAGAGGGGCATGGAAGCTGGCAGGTTTTGAAGTTTTATCCAGTAGGAGGGGATCGATGAATAGCATGAAACTTAGGGTCCTCCCTTTGTGGACCCGCCCAGATGACTTGACCACTGAGCAGAGGCTGCCTTGGTGTGGGAGGCATGCACCTTCATTTGATCTGCCTTCCTGTGTTAGCCTTGATGTAGGGAGTGGGTTCCATAAGGATACAAAGACATTATCTTTACGGCCCAGGATTGCACCATTATGTTAATTGTTGATTCAAGTGTTAAGTCTGGGGATTTTAGAATGGAATTTTGTTACTCCGGGCATTTCTTCATTCGTGCTCGTGCTTACCTGTGTGCCTGCAGTGACATTCCCCTTCAAGAGCTTCAGACCCTGAATTCGTTCAGGAATATGGACTACTTCCTAATGACCAGGGGCAGTGGGAGTGCTTAGGGACCAGAGTCCTCTGCGTCAGGACTCAGGGAACTTGATTGATTAGGCTCAGGCAGAGATGGCTGCTGAGAATGTGGTCTTTTCATTGCTGGACCAGCAGGACCATAGTTGTTAGGAAATGAAGCAGCCATCATATCCCAGGGTAAAAAGGTGTTCTGTAGCCTCTTGTCTCAAGATTATCCATTAGTCCTATGGTTTCAGGAACCCAGGTGACCCAAGAGCACAATGGCTTAGAGCAAAGGAGGCAGATGCAAAATAGAGGCAGAGCATTTGCAAGCCCATGTGAAGTCACGGCTTTTTAGCAAAAGCAGCTTTAAGTACCTGTTGTGTTCACTCTTGAGGGAATTAGGGTGTCTCCAGTCTACCTTTGTAGTTTTCCTGGCTGAGGATTAATTAGGACAGAAGGAGATTAGTTGTAATATCTGAAATATACAAGTGACAGGAGCCCATTTTAAACCATTATAAAGAATATACAAGGGAATCAAAGCTAGAAGATACCGGTTCACCAGAAGGGCCTGGAACTGTTTTAGTGTCTGTCTCCATAATGTCTACACTTCAACTACTTTTGGAAGGGTTGACACAAGTGACTCCATTTTTGTACTTTGTTTTGAAACAGGGTCTCACTGTGTAGCCCAGGCTGACCTCAAACTCATAATTCTCCTGTTTCAGCCTCCCAAGTGTGGGATTGTAGGCAGGTGCACCATGGCTAGCTTGGCTCCATTTGGATTTTGACAGTGTGCCCCTTGTCTCCAAACTACTCTCTAAACCGTCTCTGAATTTTAATTGTCCCTCATCATCAGGATGAGATTTCCTGCTTGATCTGATTTGATCCTGTGCATTGGGGAGAAGTGGCAGACAGGTGAGAATTGAAGCCAATGACCCTTCTTGGCCACATTTGAACAATTGAGTAGTTTAGGAGTAGTGCTTAGGCTGGGCTTACCTGAGATCCATTCTTAAGTTTAGTTCTGCCTGGCTGTCCTATAGAAGATATCTCAAAACAGTCCTTAGGCTGCTTTGTTACAAGTTGTACCTCTGTAGAAGTGTACCTCAACACACAAGAGTCAAAAAGTTTTAAAGATACAAAAAGCCAACAAGAGCAGACACTTGAAGAGAACTAACTTGTTTGACAGATAAGTACTTGTAAGAGTTACCCTATATGAGCCCTCCTGCAAATGCTCCAGAGAAGGAAGCAAATTTTAGAATCTTTGGCGCAGTAGGATAACAGGTATACAGCTCTGGCCAAACCACAGGAGGTGGTGAAGGACTAAGAGCTGGAAGAACAACTAGAGTAGAAACTAGTTTATGCGTAAAGCCACAATGCTTGGATGCATATGGGATTTCTAACCATTTCCCCAAGCGTCTACAGAGCAGATGCAATTGCAGGACGCTGGGCTTAGTAAGGACTCATTGGCAGGTCAGGACATCCCGTCTCCCAGCATACAGTGGGGAGTGCTGCAGAAAAAAGCAAGACGTTTTATTTAGGAACTTGGAAGTAGAATTTCTTCCAGGGGTGAGTCCTGAGGTATGGCAGGATGGTTTCTTATTTCTGAAAGAGAGGAAGACGACATTTAACCTGCCATGAAGGACTTAAGGGTGTTCCCTCAGAGGCTGCCTCCACGTGAACCTGCGTATGGGAAAAGCATCCTTCTCTTGCACAGTCAGACCACTGTTTCCAGTTAGACCACTTTGAAGCCAGCCTCTTCAAAGTAGTTTCTGTAAGTTCTGAGATTCATCAGGACTACCATCCTGCAATGCCTGAGAGCAGAGAAGTTCACTGTTGGTCAGATGATATCACCACGGTGGAGTTCATGAGTGAATGAAAGCAGCTTTGAAGAAGTAAGGGAAAGATGTTTATGTTTTAGATGTGTTTTTGCAAACAAGTTGAGAGACCTCATAAACACAGGGATTGCCGGAATTTGGGGAAGTTTGTCATAACTCCACTTGGGGTGTCTAGTTTACTTATAACACATACCGCATAATTAGACACCCCTCTTTTGTCTTTAGGTCTGGGTTACATCCCAGTCTTTGGGCTGTGAAAAGGCACTGGTCAGTATTCAATCAAAGGATACTGCGTCATGGCAAAGCAAAATGGCTATTGATGGAACATGTTTTCCTTGGGGAGAATGTATTTGCATTTAACAAGCATTTCCCAGGAAATATTAATTGTGCTTGACCAATAAATAATGTTTGTTTTTCACTACTGGAGATTAAATCTGGCCTTGCATATGCTAGGCAAGTGTTCTAGCCATCCACACCCCCAACTTCACATAATTCCTTTTCTCTTTTGGCAAGGCTTCAGGCTTGCTAGGCGGGTATTCTATTGCTTGAGCCACACCTCCAGCCCTTTTGCTCTGGTCATTTTGGAAATAGGGTCTTGCTTTTTACCTAGGCCAGCCTGGACCTCAATCCTCCTATTTTACATTTCCCAAGGTAGTTGTGATGACAGGTGTGTTTCACCATGCCCAACTTTTTTTACTGAAATGGGATGTCATGGGTCTGCAACCACGATCTTCCCCATCTCACCCTCCCACATAGATTGGAATGACAGGTATGTGCCACTGTACCCAGCTATGAGTTAAGAGGGGAATCTCACGAACTTATCTGCCTGGCCTGGCCTCAAACTACAATCCTCCCAATCTTAGCCTCCCAAGAAGCTAGGACTACAGGCATAAACCACCAACACCTGGTTTGCATAATTCTTTTTATTGTACTTGTTACATGATTAAGTTCTCTTACCGATCCTTATTGCTTGGAATGACACATCCCCTCTGGATAGCAAATGCTGCAACAGTACTCATCCTGGAATTTTTATATTTTGGTGTCTGATGGGAAGCTTCAAAGTTAGACTTTTGGAATTTACATTTCTGTTGTATTTCTTTCAGTGTTGTTCTAAATCAATTTTGATGGTGTTCATATTTAGAAATTATATTTGATATTTTTAGACTTGTCTGAAAACAAAAATTTATTAGGTTGTTTTTCATGTTTTCTTTGTGTTTTTACTACAGAGAGCCAAAGGAGACTTTTTTAAACTGCACTGGGGTTTGAACTCAAGGTTTCATGCTTGCTAGGCAGGCACTCTAGCCTCACCCAAGCCCTCACAAAGAAGACTTTTAAAGATACTGATCCCAGCCTCTCTGAGTCTTTTTGTTGTTGTTGTTTTTAATAATGTGGATTTATATTTGCTATATGCAATGTTATTCAATAATTAAAGAAAAAAAATGTTTCTACCTCAGGATCTAGCATATAGCAGGCATTCAAATGATGTTATTGGTTAAAAAAACAGAGAGAGACATGAGAAAAGTCTAGTCGCTTCTGTGCAGTCATGATTCAAAATATCACTGTTCACCCTCATGTCATCTGAGTAGACTCCTTAGAAAAAAATAACTGAATAGCTGGGCATAGTCCAGCTTGTAGTCCCAGCTACTCAGGAGACTGCAGCAAGAGGATCACATCTACCTGAGAGTTCATGGCCAGCCTGGAAGGGAGGGGGAAAAAAAAAAACCCTATATCACACTGGTTTCGCAAACCCACAATTTAAAGTAACTGAGAATAGTTTATAAATAAGTATATATTGTAAGCAGCTAATATTCTATATTTTATATTTTGTTATGCCATTGACACATCACTTGTAACTTTGTTATCCCCTTGGTGTTGACTATCCTATACTGCCCCTAACTCACACCAGATTCCTAAATTATCAGTTTCTTATCTCTGAATTCATGTATTTCAGTTGGTTCTGTCTTTTCCATGTTCTTTAAGATAAGTGTGCAGATAATTTTACAAATGGCTGTGTTATTGAGGAATTAACTCTCTTTTAACATGCAGCACAAGTTAATTTATCAAGGAATGTCATTTCAAAATGACTCCATCAGAAATAATTAATGGGATATGTAGCGAGACCCTGTCTCAAAGAACCAAAAAAATAAAAAAAGAAGAAGAATTAATGGGAAAATATTTTTATGAAATGGAAAGATGAAAATTTTCTGGTTTTTTCTAGATAGAGATAATTGTTTTAGGTATAATTATAAAATACAATATAACACAAATAGGTAGAGTAAGAAAAGTAAATACAATATTCAGAATCTCTAAACCTCCAACTACCTTCTAAACACCATCTTACTGAAAGTGGTTCTTTTAACAGGTCTGAGTGGACGGACGAGTTGAACACATACCGAGTGGAAGCCGCCTGGAAACTGTCACAGTGGATTTGGTGGACAAGTATCTGGCAGCAGGTGCGGGGACAGTTCCTTCTCAACGTGAGCAGTGCTCACTGCCCGAGGTGTTTAGATGGAAGGAGTTCGGCAAAGCTTTCTGAAACCTGTTCCATACTTCCACTGACCAGGTTTTCTCTAGTGGAGGTAGGCAAGTTGCTGGACCCATCTACGATGCCATCTTTTGCCTCTTGGTTTGTTTTTCAGATGGGAAGTCTACGACGTGGAGTGTCAGACTAGGACAGTTATTGTTATGCGCCAAAAAAAGTGACATCACAGCTTTCTATGACACACTGAAACTAGTGAGAGCAGAGCAAATTGTGCCTCTTTCTGCTGCAAGCTTTGAAAGGGGCTCCTACCAGCGAGGATATGAGTACATTGTGAGGTATGGCCCATTTTGATGCTCCTACTCTATAAGTGTCACCTGACAGCATTGGAATTTTCATGTGTAAATAATTCTGATGTTTGGTATATGTTTACCTTTACTTATTCTTTTTACCTCAAGATCACCTTGTAGTTTTTAAAACATATTGTAATATACATCCTTTAAATTGGAAAGGCAATGATGACACTAACAAATACAGAAAAAGATATTTGTGCTCTTGTAATGTCATAGTTTACTTTCTATGTCACTAGCCTTAATAATCTATACATCTGCGGTGTCTGCCACACTGCTGCGTGGCAGTCACTGGCTCTCTTTCCCTCCAAATCCACGAGCACATTTGATTTTCCGATATAGGCATTCACTTTTAGTGGTAAAGAAAATCATAGAAAACATTTTAGTTAGTTCACCTAGTTAATTCGCTCACCTGTGGATAATGATAAAATAAGTTCTGTAATTGAACTGTGATAAACTTAAAATATAATTATACAACTTTTTAAGTTAAATACTCCACTATATTTTGTGCCAGCCCTTCAGTAACATCTTAATGAAACCAGAAATTAAACGACTGAGTTTAATTCCATTCTGTAGCTACTCACTTGTATCCTTACGCCGTGAAAACTGAGTCCTGGATACTAAACATCATACAAGGCGAGAAGAGTTAGTGTGACTGTTAGAAAATTAAACTACATTCATTTCACGGTCCTTAGAGCAGCACCAGTAAAATGCAAATATTTCATGTCGATGTATACTGAATTCATATTGTCTTTTCAAGTAGGTAGTAAATTTTGATATTTTTACATTTGAATTTAGTTTTATATACCCTTCTTCAATTTAACTCAAAGAATTTGGGAATCACAACAAAGCACTAATTATTTTCAACTAGCATAAATTGGTATTTACACTCAATTTGAAATCAAAGATATAAGCTGTTTATAAGCAAGACTACACATCAAAGTTCTCTCAAAGAAAACCACCACATTTTCCATTCTTCATAGCTAATTAAAATGCATGCTTTATGCATGAGATTAATTAAGACTGAATATGACCACCATTTTAACATAGGTTGTGTTCTTCTTCAGATTGCACATGTTGTGTGAGTTGGAGCATAGCATTAAGCCACTTTTTCACCAGTCTCCAGGCAACACTTGTCAAGAAGACTCTCTAAACTGGGGAGCGCGGCTAGAAATGACCCAGAACTCCTATAGAGCCAAGGAGCCCATCCTGGCCCTCCGGAGGGCTTTGTTAAGCCTCAACAAAAGGTTTTTCACACTACTTTTTTTATTTAATGGCAATTATCTTGGATTTAGTATTATGCTTTGAAAGTATTGGGGTGTATTTTTATTTTCTATTGAATCTGCATTTTTCTGTTTTCAGTCCTTAACAATATACTGTATAGTTGAGACAAACCTAGAACATAAGAATAAATTTTATATACCATGCATCTTTTATTTTAAATGTAAAAAAGCATCTTGCTGGAGGGATGGCTTTAGATGTAGAGCACCTGCCTGGCAAAGACAAAGCCCTGAGTTCAAAGCCTAGTACTGTAGGGAAAAAAGCTTATCTTGGGGAGGTAGTAATGTAAGTCAAGAGTAAAGTCTTGGGCTGGGGATGTAGCTCAGTGGTAGAACACTTGTCTAGCATATGTTAGGCTCTGGGTTTGATCCCCAGCACCACAAAAAAAAGAAAGAATAAAACAGTCATAAACTTGTAAGAAATAAAAAATGAAGCCTCACCATAAGAAAATTACAGTCTGTTTTTTTAACAAAATTAGTCATTGACCCCTTTGAAATAGTAAGTTGAGAAGCTTTTGTTTTGGGAAGAGAGGCCTCAGTTAGGTTATTGATTGGGTACACTTCCAAATGCTCTTTTTCTCTAATATTTTGCCATCTTCCTTTAGACCCGATTACAATGAAATGGTTGGAGAATGTTGGCTACAGAGTGCCAGAGTGGCTCGAAAGGCTGGTCACCACCAGACAGCCTACAACGCTCTCCTTAATGCGGGAGAGTCGCAACTTGCCGAGCTGTGTGTGGAACGGGCAAAGTGGCTCTGGTCCAAGGTAATGACCAAGGGACTGCCATCAGATACATGTTCTGCTGGGAATCACGTACTTCCTGCAGAGGCCAACTAAGAGCCCTCGTCCATGGTTATCTACCACAGTCTGGGAGAAACTGCTCCTTCTGTTGCTTTCTACATCCAGGCTAAATAAAGATTTAGCTCCTCAACTTTACAAAACCTTCTTCTTTCCAGTGTTCTAACTCTTGCATTTATGATTTGCAGCCTTTCACAATGTTAACAGCTTTCTTTAGGGCCTCACAACTCTTAGTGTATATTACTGCAGTCTGATCTTCCCAGAATGCTCACTGAAACACATTGCTTTGTTTTTTTTGTTTTGTTTTGTTGTTTTGTTTTTTTATTGTTTTATTATACATATGTGCATACAAGGCTTGGGTCATTTCTCCCCCTGCCCCCACCCCCTCCCTTACCACCCACTCCGCCCCCTCCTTCTCCCCCCCACCCCCTCGATACCGGGCAGAAACTATTTTGCCCTTATCTTCTAACTTTGTTGTAGAGAGAGTAGAAGCAATAATAGGAAGGAACAAGGGTTTCTGCTGGTTGAGATAAGGATAGCTATACAGGGCATTGACTCACATTGATTTCCTGTGCATGGGTGTTACCTTCTAGGTTAATTCTTTTTGATCTCACCTTTTCTCTAGTACCTGGTCCCCTTTTCCTATTGGCCTCAGTTGCTTTTAAGGTATCTGCTTTAGTTTCTCTGCGTTGAGGGCAACAAATGCTAGCTAAGTTTTTTAGGTGTCTTACCTATCCTCACCCCTCCCTTGTGTGCTCTCGCTTTTATCATGTGCTCAAAGAACACATTGCTTTGTGAAAATTAAGACTCCTTCCAAGTATTCTTCATACCTTTAGGAATAGGGCGGGACTCTGGGAAGTACACAAGGCCTGTTCTAATCAAGTGCTCTTACCTCTTCAGCTTTTGTGTTTATCTCACAATTGCTTTAGCTTCAGCTAAGACTAGACTACAGATGCTTAACTTAGGGTTGAATCATATCCCAGTAAACCCACCATAAGCTGAAAAGATTAAGACCGAACACCATAACTCAGCAACGCAGTATAAAATGTCCCCCTCTTGTTTTTGGTGTTGCTTTCCATGGTGTCAATTACCTGAGGTCAACATCTGTCTGGAAATATTAAATAGACAATCACAGAAATAAAAATTTGCAAGCTCCAAGTAACTTTTATTGCAGTATATTTTTATAATTGTTCTCTGTTATTATTATTGTTAATCATTGACTTCGTCTTATTTATGAGTTAGCTTTTACCGTGGGTATGCACGTGTAGAAAAATACCTGGGGTATACAGCATTTGATGGTCCACAGTTTCAAGCGTCCATGGGGCCTTGAAACACACTCCCTGCAGAGGAGGGGCTGCACACATTGTCTACTAGCAACCGTTTACCCTCACGATCACATGGGGACTGGGAAATAGCTTGCTGCCACTGCCCTACATCACAAGGAAGGATCGTATGCCAACTGAAAAGATCAAAATTCAAAGAAAGTTTTCTGTTCAATGCTTTTATACCATCGAAAAGTCAGAAAAATTGTAAGTGGAAACCCTCAAAAGTCAGAGGCTATGTGTGCTTTCTTTTCTCCCAACAAAAATTATTGCTGCTTCTCCTAGAATGTCCCTCACTAAATTCTCTGCCAGAAAAATTTCTGTTCCGTAAATGTAATTCCTATTTCCCGCTGTTAACTTCTCTTGCTGTGCTCTCCTGTGTTTTCCTGTCTTCAGGAAGATCTAGGAGACTCCTGTGTCCATCTTCTGCAATACCCATGCATTCTGTGTTACAGCACTTAGCACAGCAGGATATCATTTTACATTGTTGGTTTCCTCACTTCTTACGAACTTTGTGTTGTTTGGATTTTTTCAGACAGTCTCACTATATAACCCAGGCTGGCTTCAAACGTGCAATCCTCCTGGCTCCACTTCCCAAATGCTGGGATTGCAGGCATGAAACACCACACCCTGATGACTTTGAATTTTTTAACCCAGAAGTTTTGATTTATTTATGATTGTTATTCTAGCTCATCTACATATATCTTCAATTCCCTGCACTCTAATTATAAAAGGAATGAGTAAATGGATGTGTGAAATGAGTTCTACATGAAATGAATCAGTTTCCTTTTTAGAATTTCTCATTTAAAAGGAGGTGAGAGAGAAAATTACAAATGGATTTGTACCTAAACATAGTTGGTGAACTCTAAATGCAGATTATTTTTTTTAGAAAATAGAAATTATTCTTTAATGAAATTGTTCTTCAGTGGACCCTCCTTTTCTTCTAGGGTGATGTTCACCAGGCACTTATTATGCTTCAGAAGGGTGTGGAATTGTGTTTTCCTGAGAACAAATCCCCAACTGAGAGCAAGCACATGCTGATCCATGGTCGAGCTACGCTGCTAGTGGGCCGATTCATGGAAGAAACTGCTAACTTTGAAAGCAATGCGATTATGAAAAAATATAAGGCAAGTATATGAATGGTATAATCTCGCTTAGAAACACTATGAATCTATTTTGTTTTTCAAATGGAATAAAATGATTTTCAAAGTAGATGTGGAAGAGCACATAGTAGTCAGGAAACTGACTTTTTTGCTGAGTAAAAAATGAGGATGTAGAATTATCACAAAGTAAATATACTCATGAAACTGCCTAACAGGTCAAGAAATAGCTATTACTGTCTGCAACATCAAAGTTTAACACTTTAAATTAATACAACTAAATTTAAAATTTTCACAACTTAAAATGACCTGTGTCTGGAATCCAGTAAACAAAATCACTGTTGAGTCAAAGTAGTGGCACAGACACTACTAATCTTCAGATCTAAGCAGTGTTGAATTCTGAGCAAGAAACATAGAGCCCAGGCTGTGATCACTTGCTTACAAAAAGATCATGCTACCTAAGAAACTAACTTTGCTTCGTATCAAAAACGATGTTATAGCTGGGCATGGCAACGCATGCCTGTAATCCCAGGTACTACAATGTAAACATGGCATTTCCTTACAAATTGACCAGAGGCTTAATGCAGTCTTCATCAAATCCTAACAGGTAATCAAGAATTAGAATTTAAAATTTATGTGGAAATGCAAAAGCTGAGAATAGCTAAAACATTTTTGTCTGTCTTTCACCTTTATTTTTTATTTTCACTTCGAATTAATCATAAAATTAAAAATTAAGTTGCAAAATAGCAGAGAGAATTTCTATATGTATCCTGCACCAAGTTTCTCCTAATTTTAGCGTTTTACACAATCATGCAGCAATTACCAGAACTATAGTTCTCTTAGCTATTTGCAGACCCTATTCAGTCTTCTGTCTTGTTTATTTTTCTGTCCAGGATCCCATACAGCACTACTTGTCACATTTCTTTAGTGTGTCCCAATCCCTCCACAACACTGTTTTCAATGCTGTATGAGGTTGGGTGCAGGCAGACAATAGATGGCACAATCAAAACAGGTAATAGAGAGTTGAATGAAGAACTAGTTAAAGAAAGTCAACCGAGGATGGTGGAACTCCCTCATGGCTAGCAGTAGCAGGGTGTCATTGCCACTTGTACACTGAAAGGAGCAGGAGGAGTGAGCATTATTGTAGGAAGGGAGCACTGGACCAGAACTTGACCCTAGGGGAAGAAACAGAGCTACTATCAACTGTAGGAAACCAGAGGTAAACAGCCTTCACCTCACTCCTCTTCTGTCCTCTCTCAGTTTCCTAAACCTCACAGGAAGCCAGGGGGCAAACCTACCCATTGATATAAATCACAATGTTGATCTTCTGGGGCCCTGAGCAGTGGAACAGGATGAAGGGTGACAAGTATATCTGTAGGGGTAAGCTTAGAATAATTGGCATACATAGCAAGACTTACTATAAAGGTGTATTCGTACAAGGTTAGATAAACCAGTGGAACAGAACAACAGAGCCCAGACAGGTTCCAGATGGTATTGTAGGACAGTTTTTTAACTAAGTGGTGTTGTGTCATTGGATATTTTACAATGAAAAAAAACTCAAACTTGGTCCTTTCTTTACACCATAAACAAAAATGAGTTTTAGCTAGATTTTTAGGCTAGGCCAGGACTTCTTAAACCAACCAAAAACACTAACCATAAGAGAAACAATAACCTCTTTTCTTGAGAAGATAGTGTTTTACATCAGAGGCAAGCCACAAATTATAAGGTGTTGGTTACACATAGAAATGATAGGAGACCCATCCAGATAACAGTGTGCCCTAGCATGTCACCATGGGGCAGGTGCTGGAGGTGGACTCAGGGCCTTGCACATGCTAGGCGGGCACTCTGCCACTGAGCTACATCTCCAGTCTAAGAATGTTTATAGCAGCGTTATTTCTAGGTTTTATGCTGGAAGTGGCCAGTAATAGAAAGGGTAGATTTGAGCATGTTGCTAGGAGGGGATATTACATAGCAAACTAGTTACACACAGCACCTGGGACAAGTTATGGGCCTCAGATTCTTATCCTCAGCATCCATTCAGATGCTACTCCCCAGCACCATGTAAGGTGTCCCTAGGTGAGGGTCCTGCATTCTTTTACAGGACGTGACCTTGTTCCTGCCAGAGTGGGAGGATGGGCATTTCTACCTTGCGAAGTACTACGACAAATTGATGCCCATGGTAACAGACAACAAAATGGAAAAGCAAGGCGATCTCATCCGGTATATAGTCTTCATTTTGGAAGGTGAGTTTGAGCTGCGTGCTTGCCAGTGAACTATCAGCATATTCATATGTCATTCATTTTCTGCCTCACCGTCGATTCAGCCCATCAGCTTGAATGGGATGTACTTTTTTCTTTACACAATTTCTTTTCACTTTTAAAAGCATTTTGTTAAATGAAGTATAGTCTATGCACATACTTTTAAATATTCAACAGTACCAAGAACACATAATGAAAATTAGGTGTCCTTCTGTTTGGGCCCTCATCTCTAGAGTCCTCATCTATAAAATTTCAGAAGGCTCTAAACCTAATATATTTAATATTAAATTTTAATCATAATTGGATATTTTCTTCTAGTCTATTTCCATAAGAAGAAGTAGGAAAATGATCTTGGCATTAGACAGTAGAAAGAGCTTGTTCTTGGTAGCAGGTGAAATGTAACTTTCAATTTCATATGCCAGTATGTCATAGTCAAATAGTATATTGTGGTCTTGCATATTGTTTATATTTTCACAAAGTATCAGTTCCTAAGAAGCAGTAATGGCATGCCATACACTGTCCTTATTATACTTCTGTCCTTGCCTTACACCCAAAGCTGTCTTACTTAAGAGCATAAATGTGTTAGAGCTGTGACTTCTCAGTTAAATGCTCCCTCTCAGGAATTAAGACAATATCTGTCTATCCCATAGTGGGATTAGAATAGCAAGATTTAGCCAAGCTTTTTTACCTGAAATTTTGTAAGCACTGAACCAAATTGAAATTGCATCAGTAATATATTTCCTTTTTGTAATTATTAATGTATTTCCTCATTAACAATTATAAATATTGACATTATTAATGGCTTGATATGAGGGAGAATTACTGGCCTTGTTGGCATTTTGAAAGGGAATCATAAACTGGACAATTGTTAAATGCATTTTTCTTCTCTAAAATGAATGGTAGCTTTTGGGCTGGTATAGGGTTTGAACACAGGGCCTCGAACTTGCTAGATAAGCCCTCTATCACTTGAGCCACACTTGAGCAGTCTGTGTGTGTGTGTGTGTGTGTGTGTGTGTGTGATGCAGATGGAACCTGGGGCCTTCCACATGCTATGTGTGTACTTCACTGCTGAACCACGTCCCCAGTCCAGTGAAAGCCCTTTTTATGTGCTCTTTAGTTTTAGTATGTATCACGTGCCTTTGTGTTGAAAATGCATTTAATATATAGTTTTAGGGTGAGATTTTTAAAAGTATACATCAAGGAAGTAAGGCTGTTATAGGACCTCTTTTTTTCTTTCATTCTTTTCATTTCCTTTTTTGAGAGAATGTCTTGCTACATGGCCCAGGCTGGCCTCTCAATCCTACCAAACTGCCTCAGCCTACCAAGTGCTGGGATTACAGGTGTATATCACTATGCTTGGCTTTTAGAACCTATTTCTATATATAGGAGTAAATGTTAGCTTTTGAGACATCCTTATCTGAATAACTGAAGCTATCTCGGCTCACTGGGTTATTACTGACTGATTCATTATCAATGTTTGTCCTCAAGGAGCTACAGCTTATTTAAGGAGAGAAACCTAAGTACATAAAATATTTAAATAATGGTGCATAATAGAACCTGTGAGCAGTTATCAAAATGAATGGCAGTGAAACCAACAAAGTAAAAATGACTTCAGGCAAATCCGAGGTCAGAACTCAAGTTCTTGCCTTCATTGATTTCAAAAGTTCTTCGTTGCACTGCTTTGCTACAGAGGTCTGGTAGGCCTTGTAAAGAAGGTGTGATAAGCCGGGCAGTAGTAGCTCATGCCTGTAATCCTAGCTAATCAGGAGGCAGAGATCAGGAAGATCACAGTTGTAAGCCAGCCCAGGCAAATAGTTCACAAGACCCTATCTCAAAAACCCCTTCACAAAAATAGGGCTGTGGAGTGGCTTGGGCGAATTTGGAACTTGGACAATTTTTTGGCTCTGGCAATACCAGATCACTGATAGATGAAGTAAGGCAAAAGAAAGAAGAGCCAAACTAACCTCCTAGGAAGAAATAGCAATCCTAAGGGTTTGTCTGAAGGCCATATCTAACTGAAGAGGTATTTAAGCCTTAAGTCGTATAACCTAAAAGAAGAGCTTCTGCTAATGTTTCCTGTCCATACAATTGCAGGTCTCTGCAGTATGGAAACCAGTTCATCTATCAGTCCATGCCACGGATGTTATCCCTCTGGCTTGACTTTGGTGCTAAGGCGTACGAGTGGGAGAAAGGTATGTGAAAATTTTTAGAGGCTACCTTCATGGCCACACTTCTCAGCAAGGCCTGATTGAGTGTTGCTCTAGCTCCTGTGACAGAAGGGTCACGTGGGTAGGAGAAAGGATATCTTTGTTGGTGTGTGAAAAGAGGTGTCCCTTTTATAGGAAGATTTTCAAATATATATTGTATGAAGTATACCTTTGTGAATAATATTTACTTTTTTGCATAATATATTTGATGCTATTTTCTCAGAACCCCTGAGACCACTTTTTATTTTTGTTTTAAAATCCTGTGGTTTCCTCTGCATTTCTTGAAGTCTGATTTAAGGGACAGTAATCACCAATATACACTTTTTTCTTTTTTTAAGATTTCTCACTTTAATCTGAATTAAGACTTTAAAAAAACAGCTTTTGTAGTTTTTCCAAATAGAACAGACTGCAGTAAGTCACCAGGTCTAAACACCACACCAGTGTTGGCTAGCTAAGAAAATAAATAGAACCTATAAATTTAATAGTGAAAAAGTTTTTTAAGGGAATAGGAAGAATTATAACTTTGGTATAAAGTTATGTTTGGCTTGACAATCTCAATTTACTAAAAGCTAGGAATAAATTTGATAATTAAAAGGTTATAAAAGTGTGAACAAGAAACTAAATGTGGGAAAAGACAAATCACAGACTTGTAAAGTAGTTGTAATTCAGGTCATTGAATACTGCTCATTTCTAGACAAACTCAACACGTATTGAAAGGTGTTAGTTTAAGCCAATAATACCCTAAAAGTTACGAGGGACTATGAAAACTAATGACTGTCGGCCCTCAATGTTTTCCCTACTTGGTCAGAGTCAACTATCTTTCCACAAATTAACAGGAGACCTAGTTTTACGCACGACAATAATGTATTTTAAGAATTTTTGTTCTGTGCAATGAACTGATGTTTTTCCTTTGCTATTTTTTAACTGAATTTTTTTCTAGCTGGCCGTTCTGATCGTGTCCAAATGAGAAACGACTTGGCTAAAATTAATAAGGTTATCACAGAGCACACAAATCAGTTAGCTCCATATCAATTTTTGACTGCTTTTTCACAATTGATCTCTCGGATTTGTCATTCTTATGATGAAGTTTTTATTGTCTTGATGGAAATAATAGCCAAAGTGTTTCTGGCCTATCCTCAGCAAGCAATGTGGATGATGACAGCCGTGTCAAAGGTAATTTATTAATCACTCTGTCTTTACCAATTTATGTGGCCCTGGTTATTTGAAGCTTATATGGCAGTACAAGTTCCAGGTTCTGGCCTATATTAGGTTAGTAATTTTAAATATTTTATAAAAGAGAAGTTATAGCATATTATAATTAGTATATTTATAGCCGTTATACCTCATTTTAATATTTGGTATATTTGTCATATAAAATGAAGTGACTGCAATATAAAAGATCAAAGAATCCAGCAGGTGTTTTATGAAGTCTACTAACCCATTTTTTCCAAGTGCTTTAATCCAAAATATCTGAACTATTAATACTAGAAAACTTTATGCATTACTAGTGGGCATGAATAAATTGATCCATATATTTAATAAGTAAATATCTTATAGAATTAAGAAAATACAAAGATAAAATGAAAATGAAAATTCAGGCCTCTGCCACTCATTTATCCTGTGTTCTAATTTCATATGTATATTTTATAAGCATATTTTAACTAAGTAGAGTGACATTGACATATTTCATTTATCGCTTAAATATTAAGTAATTAGATATTAAATAAATTAGTTCTATTTAACGTTAAATAAATTAATGCTTTTAACTGTTCTTTGAAGACACGTTTTTAGTAATTGTATAAAATTCTAAAATAGCTCTCTGTAATTTACCTTTCAGTTGATCACTAAGGTTATTTCCTTTTTAAGCTGTTGCACTAATCTAGACAAACCTGTGTTTATTCTCATTCCTGAGTGTTTCTTCACATAGATCCCAAGAAGGGACTTTACCAGATCCTAGGATAGCACCATATTGATGGCATGGCAGAATTGGTTCCTGGAAATTTATATTAGAATAAGCTCACATCTTAAGTACTTTTTATGTTGATTTTTGTCAGTCAGAAGTTTTGCTACTTCCTTGAAGTCTTACGTATGGTCGTATTTAACTCTTTTTTATGACAGTCTTCTTATCCCATGCGTGTGAACAGATGTAAGGAGATTCTTAATAAAGCGATCCTTATGAAAAAATCTTTAGAAAAATTTGTGGGAGATGCAACTCGCCTAACAGACAAGCTTCTAGAATTGTGCAACAAACCGGTACTGTCATATATCTTATTGTTTATAACTAACCAATGTTAGATAATTTGACATAAAACTTATATGTAGTTTGAGCTGACTTTTTTCATTTGGTCAATTAAATAAATTTCTAAAATTTATGGACATACATTACACATCGAAATGTGTCAAATTGTATACTTTAAATATGTATGATTTATCTTTTTGCTGTTACTGTTGATGGTGTGCTAAGATTGAACCAAAGCTTTGAGTCTGGGCTGTAACACTGCACTATGTCACCTACTCCCCAGTATAATTTATCTTAACAAAGCTGCCCTAAAATTTATAACAATAGCTCTCCCCCATAGGTCATCTAAAGTTTTAATGTGAATTTTCTGAGGACAAATTATTCATGTTTTTCAGAAGTAATTTTAAGTAGAAGATATGAACTCAGTCATAAAAACATAAGGATATAAAATACATCCTTTAAAGTAGTCTTTAAAGATGTTATTTAAGTAGTCTCTGTGATTCTGTCATCTTTAAACTTTAAGCCCATACACATTCATCTGCATGTATTATGATAGGAAAGAAGATTGGAGACTCAGTGCTTTTTGTCTTGATTTGAGTTCGCAGGTTGGGTGTTGAACATCACATGCTAGGCAAGTGCTCTGCCACCGAGCCACATCCCAGCCCTTGATTTTTATTTATCAGCATACATTTCGATGTCTGTAAAGGCGAGCGCTGTGTAAGGGAACAATGGTGAATACATGTTCTTTTGCCTCCTGTAGTTTTATAGGAATTGAGCAAATGCTTATCATGTGGAGTAATAAGTACTGTTTTCAGTATACTTGTGGCTGAAGTCAGAACATAGTTACAAGGGTGCCTTACTGCTTCTACCTAAGGAGTTGGAGGGAAAAACCTGAAGAATGTGTAGGAAAGAAGAAAGTATGTTGTTATAAAAAGGGAGAGACTCTTGATAAGGTAAACAGCTAGATCTAACTGGACAAATATGCAGTCTATTAGCTGTTTTTAGGTAAAAAGATAGAGACTACCCTATTTCACTCCTTCCTTTCATGAATAAACTGATCTCCAAGGTCAGTCTGCTTTTGCAGTCTCCGTTAACTCTATTTGACCTCTGTTGCACTTGACATTACCAAAACCAGTTATGATGCCAGCCAACATTTATTAATCACAGACCCTGTTGTAAGTGCTTTCCATGTGCACGTACCTTATCTGAAACCTTCCTGGCAAGTTATGTGTAGGGAGTGAGAATTTTCCATGATTTTTAAAGGTGCATGTACTTTATATTGGCTATCACAGCTGAGGGTAGTCTGTTGGGGTAGTCCCCAGTCAAGCATGTGACTGCTTCTATGGTGAAATGCATTACTCTTTATACTAAGTGAGACGCTCGGGGTCGTTTTGCTGCCAGACGAGATGAGGTAGCAAGAAAGCGTGGCTTTCCAATGTCTAATAAAGGACCATAGGCCTCTGTTTTCTTCTTCAGTCATCAGGCACTACAAGGATGGTAGGTACTGTTGTTGGCAGAAGGCAGAGGTTAAAATGAGATGGTTAGATAGACTTAGGAGACTACACGGTGCTAAGCCCTTGTAATTAAGGTAGGAATTAAAGGGAAATGTTTGTTGTGATTGAAGTTAGCCATCTTAAATGTGCTGCTTCTATTTTTCAGGTTGATGGAAGTAGCTCCACGTTGAGCATGAGTACTCATTTTAAAATGCTTAAAAAGCTGGTGGAAGAAGCAACGTTCAGTGAAATCCTCATTCCTTTGCAATCAGTCATGATACCTACTCTTCCATCAATTCTGGGTGCCCATGCTAATCACGAGCCGTTTCCTGGGCACTGGGCCTATATTGCAGGCTTCGATGACATGGTGAGCTTTTTGTTTATTTATTTCTATATTTACTTTGTGCAGTGCGTTTGTTCTCATTATTTTTATTAGCAAATGCAAAGATTTCATTGTGACACTTCCCGACAAGCGTATAATGTACTTTGATCAGATCCAACCCTCTGTTACCCTCATCCCCCTTTCCCTTTATTGAACAGTTTAAAAATGGGTTTATTATTCTATTTTCATGCACGCATAGAAAGCACTTCAGTCATATTCACCTCTCTTTTCACCTCCTAAACTCACTTTCATATGAAGCTAAAATTCCAAGTGAATTTTATCTGCAAAGAAAAACATGACTTTAGATATAGAGAAGTAAAGCTGTCTTGTGCTACTGGTACAAATTGCATGGTAAGAATCATGCCTTCAGCCTGGTGTGACTTTTCCCATGTTAATATTGTTTTAGCATGACTGTAATCTCTTTGTCACAGTTTGATTTTTCTGTATTTTCTTTTGTCCTGAAAATGGAAAAGAGAAGGAACGTAACAGAGTTTTATTTCTTGGGAAGAACCAAATTCCAGCTAGTAAGAGCCTGATTTTTAAATATGAAATGTGGTTTTAAACATATACACATATATGTGTGTTTGAGTGTATTTTTTTTTTCTTTGCCACACTGGGGGGTTGAACTCAGTGTTGCACTTCGTAGGCAGGCACTCTACCACTTGAGATACCCTGCCAGCCCCATAAATATTATTTCAAACAAATGGTGCTAGAGTACTTCTGAGTAAACACTTTTGAAAACTGTTATTTCCACGGCTCAGGACATTTTTAAACTACTCTCAGACCCATTTACAAACCACATGATGCACTGTTATTTTTCCCTTATTTATTGGCCGTATTGGGGAATTGAACTCAAGGCCTTGCATTTCCTAGGCAAGTGCTCTACCACTTGAGCCACACCTCAGCCCTTTATGGCTTAGTTATTTTTCAGACAGGGTTTCACACTTTTTGCCAGGTCTGGCCTCTGCCTGAGATACTCTGTGTCTCCCAGGTAACTGGGATTACAGTTGTTCACCATCATGCCAAGTTTCTCTCAGGTAGGATCTCACTAATTCTTTTTGCCTGGGCTGGCCTGAAACTGTGATCCTTCTGTCTCAGCCTCCCAAGTAACTGGGATTACAGGCATAAGCCACCATGTGTAGTCTGCAGTATTATTATAGTCATGCTTTGTTTTTAACTTAAGCAGTGTTGTTCACTTTACTTACTTAACCTCATTAAATACACTTGATTTTGTTGAAGTTTCTTTGGCCAAAAATCAAAATTTTTTTTTGATTGATAAACATTTCTTACCATTAGGAATGGAGTCTTGAGACTGAAGAAAGGTTCTAAAAAAGATTTTTTAAAATCTTAAATTTTGTGACTGCTTTGAAGGGAACTGCCTAAATTTGCATGTGAAAGTACTTGTTTTGCTGATTATGTAATCTTTTTATTTCACAGCCCATTCCTAATGGGGGAAGTGTGTCCCTGCTATAGGTAACCATTCTCTTTTAGTTCCTAGATAGTTAAGATAAAAGAGATTGTTAAAATACAGTTTACAGGGGCTGAGGATATAGCTCAGGGATAAAGCACAAGGCCCTGGGTTCGATCCCCAGCACTGTGTGTGTGTGTGTGTGTGTGTGTGTACACATGTTAGCTGCGTAACATAGATTATTATATTCACTCTATGTTATAGAACTCAATACTTATAATACATAAACATTTAAATAACAACTTTGTCCTTAATTTAAACATAAAATTCATTTAGGTGGAAATTCTTGCTTCTCTTCAAAAACCAAAGAAGATCTCTTTGAAAGGGTCAGATGGAAAGCTTTACATCATGATGTGTAAGCCAAAAGATGACCTGAGAAAGGACTGCAGACTAATGGAGTTCAATTCTTTGATCAATAAGGTTTGGAAATCATTCGCTTTTATTTTAGAATTACCAGTATTACTATCAAGGTGATAGGGGCTTCTAGTGTGACATAGATCACTCTTCAGAAAAAAAAAAAAAAAGTCTGACTTTTTCATTTCCACACATACATGTGGCATAAAATTTACCATTTTAGCCATTTTTAAATGTATGGTTCAGCGGCATTAAGTACGTTCACATTGTTGTATAACCACCACCACCAGCATACTACCATCACCACCACCACCTTCACCACCACCTCCACCACCACCACTGCCATCACCACCACCACCTCCGCCACCATCACCATCACCACCACCACCACCGTCGCCTTCCAGAACTTTTTTTATCTTCCCAAATTGAAACTGCATCTATTACACAACAACCTCTATTTCTTCTTCCCCTCAGCTTCATCAACCACAATTCTACTTTCTGTCTCCATTAATTTCACCTCTCTGGGTATGTTGTGTAAGTGGAATCTTACAGTATTTGTCCTTTTGTGCCTGGCGTATTTCACTTGGCATTATGTCTTCAAGGTTTAAAATTTCCTTCCTTTTAAAACAATAATATTCCAGTTAAAGAAAATTGTACATTTTCTTTATCCATTTGTCATATAGCTGAACACTCCTATTGCTCTCACACTTAGGCTCTGGTAAGTGTTGATGCTCTGGATATACATATATCTGTCACAGTCCCTGTTTTCAGTCTTTTACCTATATATATACAGAATTAAAATTGCCTGTTTGGCTTAAATTTTAGCAAATAAAAATATGTTTATAGAAGAAAATATAAGACATTAATGATGGAAATTGTTCTGTTTATGATCAAATTATGTATCATATGTGTACGATTTATCATACTTATTTGGTTTTCTGTTTTGCTGCTAGAAAAATGTCAGGTTCTATTTTCACCAGCTTAGTTCAGAGGTAACCATTATCATGTTTTCAGTTCTGTTGGTATTTAATATCTTCTAAAAGATGGTAAGAGTAATTTTATGGAAGGCTTATTATAAGCCAGGCATGGTAGCATTCCTATAATCCCAGCACTTGGGAGACTGAGGCAGGAAGACCTTGAGTTCTAGCCAGCCTGTGCTACATAGTGAGACCCTGTCCACCCGCCTCCATAAAGGTTTATTGGAAATGTTTGATCACATATTTTGAAGTATTCTTCAGACAGACATTTACAGTTGTATAGCATATGTTTTTCCCCATTGGCAAACATTAAATAATCCTGGAGAATGATGAAGCTATTATTTTTCTATAAGCCTTTGTTCTGTCTTCCTATCCCCTCCCCTCATTTCACTAGTTCCTCTTTCATTGGCAGGAAAAGGTTTTGGCCTTTTCACATAGAAAACTTAGCAACAGATGAGAATGTTGTTGTTTTTAAAGATATTTGTGGGCTGGGGATGTATGCAACTCAGTGGTAGAGTACCAAGGCCCTGTGCTCATGCCCCCAAACCAAAAATAAATAAATAAATAAGCTGTAGTTTATGTTTGGTTTAGCCAAAAGTAATTTTTAAAAAAAAAGGTAATTTAAGAATTAATTCTACATTTGAATTTCATTTCAAAGGTTGCATGATCAAAAGGATTATTTTTCATCTGAAATGTTGCGTGGTGCCTTAATCCCCTGACTGGTAACCCACTGGGCTGTTCTTCACAGCTACTTGAGCATTTTTCTGTTCGTGTCAAGTGGCCTGCCTTTAGTTTGAATGAGCTCTATTACTGTTAAGATATTTCATTGCTATGATCTCTCATTAACATGGGCAAATAAAACAATGTGATTGTGAAAAAGTAACACCTTACAATGTTAAATTTATAAGTACAGTATTTCAAACACAATATCCTGTCACATTAAGAGTGGATAATTTTAAAGAGTTTCAGCAGGCACTTGTGAGGCCTGGAAGTAGATCAGGACACTATCCTAGCAGTCCCCAACCTTTCGGAAGGATACTCTCACACCACATTGTAAGCCTCCATGTCCTTTCTTCTGTGAAATGAACAAGACATTTGAGCCCTCATTTAGAACTTTTAATTCGATCCTATTTTTAAATTTTTGTGTATTTTTTTTAATAGTGCTTAAGAAAAGACGCAGAATCTCGTAGAAGAGAACTTCACATCCGAACATATGCGGTTATTCCCCTGAATGATGAGTGTGGTATCATTGAATGGGTGAACAACACTGCTGGCCTGAGACCTATTCTGACCAAGATATATAAGGAGAAGGGTACTAAGTTCTTTCTTCTAACTACATCACATGACAAGGCTAGTTACAAACATGTATAATAGGGACGTAATTGTTTTTAACATGTGTCATAGTGAAATTTCCAGATTCTATATGCAGAAGCAATTACATTTTCCCTTCCTTCCTTCTTTCCTTACTTCCTCCCTTCATTCTTTTCTTCCCTCCTTCCTTCCTTGTGTTTTGAACCTTTTCTTATCTTCATTATAAAAGGATTTGAGGTAGCTTACAATATATAAATGAAAACTTTTTTCTGAGATATTGGATGGCAGTTCTGAAACCAGGTCAGGTTTATTGGCCTTTAGCAAATAAGTAAATACTTGTAGCTAAGGAGAGCTAGTTTTCTTACCATAGAGAAAGTAAAGTATTTGGTTGGAATAAGAGGTCCCACTGTCCAAACCTGTGACAATGTGAACAAAAAAATGGTGATAGGAATTGGTTATAACCCGTGAAATAAAGGCACATACATTTGTGCTGTTGTAAACAAATACTCGTGTAAATAAGTAGGGAAGTAGGAACAGCTCTTTTCTTACAGTAGAATTACAATGGGTAAATGTAGAAAAATGGAAACAATAGAAAGTCATCAATTACCAAATACCATAGTAATCATTGTTATGGGCAATGATTACCAATGGGTGCTAAAAGTGGTAGGAAAAGTACGGTGAGAAATAGGTTATTTGCAGAGTCTCAAAGTACTCCCTCGTAAGATACTTACTAATTGTGAAGGGGAAAACACAGTAAGTTTTAAAAATACAGTATCTTTATAAAAGAGAAACAAAAATATAGCTTATCAGAACTCTTAAAAAATGTAAAAAAGTAATGAAAGACAAAGACAGAAGTTTCACACATTGATGGTGTCGAGGAGACGTGGCAGCTGAAAAGTGAAATACTGGATTGGATCCTGGATCAGAAAGGGAGTCCTAATGGGACAGTCAGTGACACTTGAATAAGCTCTGAAGGTTAGTTAGTGGAGTAACAATAAAAATATCCTGGTTTGAGTAATAGTATTCTGGTTTCCTAACATTAGGAAAACTGCGTGAGGAACATATGGGAACTCTGCATCATTTCTGCCACTTGGGATTGGGGGTGTACCTCAAGTGGTGGAGCGTTTGCCTTGGATGCACAAGGCCCTGAGTTTGATCCCCAGCACAACAACAACAACAACAACAACAAAAAATTAAAAAGTTTAATTTCTGCCACTTTTTTGTAAGTCTAAGATTATTTCTAAATAAAATGATTTGAAATGCATCTATGTAATGCATCAAAAATCAACAGATCACGTTATCAGAGTAAAGTAGAAAATAAGTATATCAGTTTTATAGGGCTACCATAAATTACCACAAATTAGGTGGGTTTTTGCTACAGAAATTTATTGTGTCACAGTTCTGGAGGCTAGTAATCTAAGATCAAGGTATCGGTAGGACCATGAATTCTCTGAAGGCTCATGTTTCCATATGTTTCTCTTAACTTTTCTGGTGTTCCTTTGTGTGAACACAGATAGGTATGCAACACTTGAGGCTAAATCCTCAAATTATAAGCTCATCCACAAAACTTGTGCATTTGTCAATGATTTAAGATTCTGTGGCTTACCTTAAGAATCATCCATCCTAGCTGACTCACACCTATAATCCTAGCTACTCAGGAAGCAGAGATCAGGAGACTCATGGTTCTAAGCCAGCCCAGACAAAAAGTTCGAGAGGCCCCCATCTCAACAGAAAAAGTTGGGCAGAGTGGCTTGGGCCTGTCATTTCAGCTGCTGTGCAGAATCATGATCCACAGTAGCCTGGGCAAAGAAACGAGACCCTATCTCCAAAACAACCAGGGGAAAAAAGGTGTGGCTCAGGTGGTAGGGTGCCTGCCTGGCAAGAGCAAAGCCCTGAGTTAAAATACTAGAACCCTAGGGAGGAAAAAATAGAATCCGTTATGCTATGATCTTTCATAGGCGATTCTTCGCATAAATTATGTCAGAGCACCAAAGTGGATCTCTTACTGATGGCTCAGTTTGCACCTGTACTATGTCCTGATTAACAAAGATCATGACAGTTTCAGTAAAGGGCTCCAGCTGCTTCACAATTCCAACAGCACCATTCACCTTGCAAATCTTCTTAGTCATATGTCCTAGTGTTGTTCAATTAGACAACATACTTTATGGACGTTAATTTTCATTACTAAGAAACAATACTTTTTCCAGGCGCCAGTGGCTCATGACTGTAATCCTAGCTACTCAGGAGGCAGAGATTAGGAGGATCATGGTTCAAAGCCAGCCCAGGCAAATAGTTCTGTGAAACCCTATCTCAAGAAAGGGCTGGTGGAGTGGCTCAAGGTGTAGGCCCTGAATTCAATCCCCAGTATCACAAAAAAAAAAAGACTGGACTTTTGATAAATATTAAGAGAAAATAATATAATTTATTGTTTCATTATAATATCATATAGTAAGTTTATATATGGATAATTTACTCTTGGTTTTGAATAAAAGTAGACATTCCTGGTCATATTTTAACAAAAATACTTCTGCCCTTTTTCCCATTGGGCTGTGTGCTTACTGGAAATCACTGTGCCTTGCAGGAGTGTATATGACAGGAAAGGAACTTCGTCAGTGTATGCTACCAAAGTCAGCAGCTTTGTCTGAGAAACTTAAAGTATTCCAAGAATTTCTTCTGCCCAGACATCCTCCTGTTTTTCATGAGTGGTTTCTGAGAACATTCCCAGATCCTACATCATGGTAAGTTATCAAGAATATAATACATTGTTACGATTGAATGTTTTATCTGTAATATTTTATGTTGTTTTGCCTCGTCTGCCATAGAAATACTTAGCAGACTGTGTTCCTTAGGTACAGCAGCAGGTCAGCATACTGCCGGTCCACTGCAGTGATGTCGATGGTTGGTTATATCCTGGGGCTTGGAGACCGTCATGGTGAAAACATTCTTTTTGATTCTTTGACTGGTGAATGTGTACATGTGGACTTCAACTGTCTTTTTAATAAGGTATGTGATGTGACTTACTCTAGTCCCAATATTCTTTCCTCAACAATAGACGTCCTTCTTAGACGTACCTATTGGTAACACACTCACAGCTGAGTCAAGTGGAGAGTTCCTTGACTCATTTTTATCCATGGTCCCATAGTACAGCGATTTAGGATAGAGAGAAATTAGAAGAGTGATATAGGAAAAGTAGCACTTAACTCAGATAGAAGTTATCTGAACATGGGCAGATCAGCTCAGTTCACTGAAGCTTAGTTTTAGAAAAATAGAATAATTTAATATGATGATTTCCAAATCTGGCAGCATATCAGGATTACCTGTTTTCTTTTAAAATGGTAGATTACTTTCCCAGCATGTATGAAGCCCTAGGTTCAACCCTGCTAAAGATTAATAGTAGTAATGAATACAAATACCTAGAAAAAATACCAGGAGATTCAGATCCTAGAGGTCTGGAATGTGGCCTTCAGAGTAAATTAAGACAATTAGACTGATCTACAGGGTGCCTGCACTTTATTCTAATCTTAGAATTCTACAAGGCAGGTTGGTACGGTAGTCCCCCATTTTCTTCATTCACATCTTCTACGGGTTACCTTCTGCTGTCACAGGAAACTGAAAAAGGTCATAGACTTAGTTGAGAACAAATTAGAGATAAACCACTGGTATAGATCAAATCATCAGCAGAGGAATTTTGGATAATTGATTGGAGGGATAAATGAATCCTAGGAAAGGCAAGTTAGAAAATGTTGGAAAAGAACAACTGGCCTTAGATGGCATCTTTCATTTCCTGTCTGAGGCATATAGCATCTAACTTCTAGGTGTTTTTATCCCCTTTTAAAGTGAAGTCCCAAAGAAAAGAAGAAATGCATGAGAATATTTGTTTGTATTTTATATTGTTAAAGACGTTAAAGAAGTTAGACTAAATAACAAATGCATTAATACTCTCTATTAAATATTAAAATAGCATCCACCACACTAACAGGTGAAAGGTGAAACATTTCGTTGTCTAGATCTAACCCAAGATCAAGTTGCAGTTTCAGTTTCCCCAGAGCAAAGGGAGAGTCACATGACTGTCATGATAGGCCTCTAATGTAGTAACAAACACTTGGAAGATGTTTTTGCTCTTTCTAGAGAGTCCAGGCATGAATTTCCAAATTCTTTGAATAAAGATTTTTAAATTCAAACATTGTTACTGTATAATAAAATTAATTTCTTTTAAAGGGAGAAACCTTTGAAGTTCCGGAAATTGTACCATTTCGCCTGACTCACAATATGGTTAATGGCATGGGCCCTATGGGAACAGAGGGTCTTTTTCGGAGAGCGTGTGAAGTGACGCTGCGGCTGATGCGCGATCAGAGAGAGCCTTTAATGAGGTAGTCATCTGCAGTCTGTAAAGAATTTAGCAGTAACCTTGAACTTGAACACTGGTCCCTAGGTGTGTTTTCTTTATACAGAATCCAGTTTGCATTGGCTGAAGCATATTTTTTTTAAAAATAATAGCTTAGGCTGTAATTCACATAGCACAAAATTCATTCCTTTAAAAGACCCTAGCTTTGGTTATTTTTGAGATCGGTCTCACTTTATTCCCAGGCCAGCTTGGCCCATGAGCCTCCTATTCATGCTTCCCTGTGTATCTGGTGACACCATGCCCAGCCATTGGTTGAGATGGGGGTCTCATGAACTTTTTGACTGAGCTGGCCTGAAACTGCGATCCTCCTGATCTCTGCCACCCAAGTAGCTAGGATTACAGGTGGGAGCCACCAGGCCTGGCTCCTGTCCTTTCCCTTTCCTGATGCCCTTGCAGCATAATGATTTTTATTTTTACTTTGTGGATGTATTTATGTACTGATTTCTGGTGCTGAGAATGAAACCCAGGACACTGTGCATGCTAAGAACACACTCTACCACCAACCTGTATCCCCAACCAAACTTGTTTGTTTTTTGTTGTCTTTTTAGACAGGGTCTCTTTATGAAACCCAGGTTGGTCTGGAACTCACAATCCTCCCATCTCAGCCTTCCAACTGCTGGGATTCCAGTACTTAATCAATTTTTTTCTTCTGGTTATGATTAGTGCATTTGATAATCATGTAAAAACAATTGTCTTTTCAAACTCATGAGGATTTTTGTGCACATTTTCTTCTATGCATTCCATAGCTGAGCTCTTGTATTTCAGTCTTTGATCCTCAGTTATTTTGTGCATGTGGTGTGAGGCAGAGGTCCACGTTCATTCTTTTGCATGGGCCTAGTCAGTTGCCTCAGCACCATTTTTTGCAAAGACTATTTTTCCTCCTTTTAATTATCTTGGCATTTTTGTGAAATGGTGAACTGGTTTTCAGCAGTTGTAATAATCTGTATGTCTAACTTCATGGGAGCTGCACATGTTTTCACCATGATAGTTCTGTAGTGAATTTTGGAGTCAGGAAGTGTGAGAAGAACTTTGTTCTTCTTTACAGTTGCTTGGGTGTTATGAGTCCCTTGCATTTCCCTTTGAATTTTAATGTAAGCCTGTCAGTTTCTGCAGAAAGCCATCTTGATTTTTGAATAGAAATGGCATTGAATTTGCTAATCAATTTGTAGAATATTGCCATCTTAACAATATTATATTTTCTGACCTTTTAACATAATGTTTTTTCCATTTATTTAAATATTCACTAATTTCTTTTAATGTTCTGTAGTTTTTAATGTGCAAGTCTTATGTTCAACTTTTAAAAATTTTATTCCTTTTGATTTTTTTCTATATGTGACTTTCTTTATTTTTAGATTATTCATTACTAGTTTATAGAAATGTAACTGATGTTTGCATGTTGATCTTGTGTACTGAAACTCATTTACTAGTTCCAGTAGTAATTTTTCTGGATACCTTAAGGTTGTCTTTCTCCAACAGCCCATCATTTGAACATAGAGATACTTTTACTTCTTCCTTTCCAATCCCAGTGCCTTTTCTTCTTTTCATTGTCTAAATGTCCTAGTTTGATCAATGTCAAATAGGTGGGTTGACAGTAGAGTCTTGTTGATCTTAAGGATAAAGTGGTCAGTTTTTCATCTTAAAAATGATATTAGCTGTGGGAGGCATATTTTTAAAGTGCTTTCAAAGCTCATTTATTCACCTTCTGCATGTAAAAGCTGTTGACCAGACATTATGGTAGAATGCATTGGCCACTTAAGCAGAAGCCAAGCCAAGTTCTCTGAAAGAGGAAGTATGCCATCTTGTGAGTTACCAGAAACCCCTATTTTACTCTGGGAAATAATTTCTGAAGTAGCTGAGATGGCAAAGGTAAGTGAAGTTGGCCATACAAAGGGGGTGGAGGTGTTCTGAGTCATGCAAGTGTCCTGGTAAGTGAGCTGTGGCCTGCCTGAGAAGTGCCTATCACAGAGGGATAGTCCAAGACCCCAGCAGATGGCCTAAAACCATGGATAGTACCAGAATTTACACACACACACATATATGTGTTTTCCTTCTGCATACATACCAGTGAGAAATTTAACTTACAAGTTATACACAGTATGAGATTAATAGCAATAACTTAAAATATAATAAAATTGCCAACATCACTACGGCTTTGAGGTCATTGTTAAGTAAAGTAAGGTTACTTAAACACAACCTCTAGGCTACCATTAGAGTCATTCTGGTAACCAACAAGGCAAGTGACAAACAGATGGCAGGTGCTGCACAGCTTGGGCAAAGGGATGGTTCACATTAATGGGCAGGGACAACACGGTGGTGCAGGAGTTCATCAAGCTGTCCCAGAGAGTCCAAGTGAAAAATTTACAGATTATTTACTTCTGGAATTTTTCATTGAATATTTTCAGACTATAAGTAACTGAGACTCAAGGATACTGTATTCTGGAGGGTATGTGTGAAAGAGGTGGTGCTGAGAGACAATGATGGGCAGGAGAGTAGCTGCTAGATCATGAAGAGCTCGCACAGTGCCCATTTTCACATTTAAACTGTCCTGAGAGCACCCAGAGTCACTGGGGGCTTTTAAGAAGGAAATTTAAAAAGAAGAGAAAATGAGATAATCTGGTTTGCACTGTAAAAAAATAGAGTTCCAGTTTGGACTGAACACCAGAAAGTAGGAAGTATTAAAGTAACTCAGGAGAAAACAGTTGTGTACTCAATGCATAGTGGAGCAGGATGGAGCAAAGTAGAGATTTTCTAGAGTTCTAGGAGGTGGAGCTGGGTGAGAGAGAAAGAGGCAAGGATGAGTGCTTCATTCCTGTCCAGGGTAAATGGGCAAATAATGTTCTTGGCTGATGTGGGTAATACAGGAGAAACAGTTGGGGAAGGTAATGAACTGTGTTTGGAGATACTGAGCTTGAGGTGCCTGCAGTACATCTAAGTGGGTATTTTTGGATTTACTGTCCAGAGCATAGAAGAAAGATCTGAATGGTAGCTATAGTTACTATATGTTCATTGAACATGGCAGGAGATAAAATTCATTCATTTAATAAGAACTGATCTTACTCCCTTCTATCTTCTACCTCTCTTGTCTCTTGCATCTTGGCTCTCTGCCTTCCATTGCCCGTACCTTCCCTTTACCCCAGAACAGTAATTTCTCAATGATCAGCATGGAAAGGTGCCACAGTGACATGTCTTCTACGAGTGTTTCCCTTATCTTCCCATCCTTCACTTACTCGCAAGGGTTGATTCTAGCAGGATTTCTTTTTGCAAAGATAATATTGTATTAGCATCATAATATTTGTTTCAATTTTAGTGTCTTAAAGACTTTTCTACATGATCCTCTTGTGGAGTGGAGTAAACCAGTGAAGGGACATTCAAAAGCATCACTGAATGAAACTGGGGAAGTTGTCAATGAAAAGGTTAGTAAAATGTGTAGCTCAGTACTGTGTGTCTCTTCAAATGAGAACTGATCCTAATATTGTCAGTGATTGGATATTGATTACTACGAAACCTACATTTTCTTTATTGTCATTATAAATATTTTTATTTGTATAATAAAACAGTTGTTTAACCTAGACCATTTATAATCATGAGAAAATAGTGGGAAAAATGAACATAAATTACCTGAACTTAACAGAGCATCATGTCTGAGCCTTAATATGATGGTACTAGTTTGCCACAAACCATCTAGACAAATGTACTTTTCAGTCCTTACTAAAATTAGTTGAGGCTTCCATGGTAGGGTGGAGATTAGAAGCTTTCTCCTTGTGACTTAGTAAATAAGAATAATCAGGGTAATGAAAGTCAGATATCTTCTGAAGAGAGGAAAAACATCGGGAATCACAAAGGAGGTCATTGGATGGCTGAAAAACATGGAGAAGCAGAAATGCTGTGCAGAAAAAAAAAAGTAGAAAACAACCTGCAGCTCCAGCTCCAGCTCCCCAGGCAGAGTGTGGGGGTTAAGCCACACCACAAGGTAAGCCAGGCAGCCCTGGTGAAAACAAACTGGCAGGCCTAACTGCTGGATAAGCCCACAGTTCTTGCAAGCTTTAAATCCACTTGGAGGATTTGGCATGACATTCTCTCTCTCTCTCTCTCTCTCTCTCTCTCTCTCTCTCTTTCTCTCTCTCTCTCTCATACACACACACACACACACACACACACACACACATATAGCAGGCTATGGTTGAGAAAAAAATCAGTTGTGTTGATCCCATTGTGAGAAGTGCTGAGAAGACTGAACTACTCGGAGGACTTGAAAACAGGGACACTCCCAAGCCAGGGAACCTTGGGGATAGCCTGCCACAGTGTCTGGGTGGGAGAGGGTTGGATACAGAAGCCAAAGCAGCAGGGACCTCAACTGTGAAGTGCACTATGTTTAGTGGCCCCATCTTCCCATGGTAAGGACTGAGCCCTATCACTTGAGGATGATTGCAGAGTCTGAGACTGCCTCCATGCCACATGTGGTTTGGTGCTGGGCAGCACTAAGAGCTCTTAGCCCAGGACTACAGGATCTCAATTTTCTCACCATCTTCCCTCCCACAGAGTGATTTCCTGCTGGGCAGGAGATGAAAGCATGAGGCTGGCAGACAGAGTGCAGGATTCCCTTGATTCTCCCTCTAGTGCAGATCTCAGTGCTTATTTGCTTCCAGCACACTCAGAAAACCCCTAGACTTGAGCATTTGCCACCACTGAGTATAAATAGAGGGACCTTTGGAGTGGAAACCTGCCCCACCCACAGGCCACAGAGCTCATTAGGGCCAGCAGCAAAGCTTCTGAAATGAGTGCAGTCCTGAGGTTGGAAATATACCCTCAATTACAGGAACTGCATGCAGCACCCTCCCGAACAGTACAAGCTATACTAGACTCCCCACACACACACACCACCTGGGAGGTCCCAGTTTACTTTTAAATTTCTTTAACTTTTTACAATTCTGCTTCCTACATTTTATCTAATTTGTGTATTTTCTGTTTTGTAATCAGATTTTTAAAATTTCTTGCTCTTCTTCCTCACGTTCTTTTTCTTTTTTCTTATTTAACGTTGCTTCTTTCCTTTTTCCCTTTTCCTGCCCCACTCCATTTTTTCATTCACTTTTTATTATTACTTTTACCATTATTAATTCTCAACTTAGTAGTTAATTTATTTGATTTTTGCCATTGTCTTTTCTGTGGTTATTGGTGGTGTAGTTGGCTTTGATTTTAATTATATTTCTGTACATGGTTCATTTGGGTTTTGCTGCCATTACAGTGGTTTATTTTCTCCTTTCTGACTGGTTCTGGGGATTGAGTCCTCAAGAGAAGTCTGCTCGCTTAGAAAAACCTCATATAAAACCAAAAGAGACGTCCATCCCAACAGATGTGTAAATTGCAACTTAGAAACACAAGAAATATGAAAAAGCAAAGCAACATAATTGCTCCAAAACTTCACAGCTCTTCAATAACTAAATCCAAAGATTTGAAATGGTTGAAATATAGCATTCAAAAGTCTAGTGGTAAAAATGACCAGTGACTCAAAGAGGACTCAAATAAACAGATAAAGTGAAGAAGTTAATTCAAGACCTGGATGAGAATTTCAACAACTTAGACAAGAAGTTCAGAAAAGATTCTTGAGGGAAAAAAAAACCAAACTAATGGAAATCTTGGAAAATGAAAAGCACAATAAATTAATATTTTTAAAAACTCAATGGAAAGCATCACCAATAGACTATACCAGGCAGAATAAAGAATATAAGGGTTTGAAGAAAAGGTTGAGGAATTAGTACATTCAGAGAACAAAAAAAAAATTAAAAGCAATCATGCCATACCATCGAAGAACACTGGGACACTCTTAAGACACCAAACCTACAAATCTGCTGTGTAGAAAAGGGAACTGAGATACAAACATAAGACATACAAAACTTTTCCAATAAAATTATAGCATAAAATTGCCCAAATCTAAGGAAGTAAATGGGCATTTAAGTACAGTATTTAGAACCACAGACACACAAGACCAGAAGGAAAACTCTCCATATCATATTATTGTTAAAATGCCAAGAGTACAGAAAAAAGAAAGAATACTGAAAGCTTCAAGAAAGAAGCACTAAGTTACTTGCAAAGGCAACACTATCAGAATAGCTGCAGACTTCTTAGCAGAAACCATAAAGTATAGGAAAGCATGGACTGATGTATTTCAAGTTCTGAAGCAAAATAACTTCCAACCAAGATTATTGCAGCAAAATTATCTTTTTAAAATCGAAGGACAAGGAAACCAGGAGGGCCCCTGGGCCTCCAGTGGCCCACGCACAGACGGCTTAGGAAGACGTGGACAAGGTGAGCTTCGCGGTACACGGTACTCCCACAGACAACCCTGGGCCAGATCAGCATAGCCCCCTGGACAGACCGACCCCCACCCGGGGAAAAAAGACAAACTGAGTAATAAACAAGAAGAACAATAAAGACACGCGGGAAAGAGGGTGGGGCACACTGAGCGCTGAAGATTGGGAAAGGGAATCCTTCCCGGGACTAAATAAACAAGCTGGGTGGTCCAGAGAGCCTCTGGCGGGAGCGGAGCACGTACCCAGCAACCAGGATCGGGAAAGCTTGTGAGAGTGGCAGAGGGAGGAAAACTCCACAGGAGAGTGGGGAAGACCCACCTGCCACATGACCTATAAACAAACACGCCAGCCAGCAGGAGCAGCAGAACATGCCCAGCAATCAGGAGCGGGAAAGCTTGTAAAAGCAGCGGTGGGAGTAAAACTCCACAGGAGAGGGGGGAAGACCCACTTCCCACGTGAGCTGTAAACAAACATGCAGGCCTGACAACACGGGTGCAGTGTCACCTCCCCCAGTGTGCTTGGAAAGGGGAAAGCTTGTAGCACAGGAGAACGCTGAGTAAACAAAGCCTGCGGGGCCAGGTGAGTGCTAAGTTCACCCCTGAGATCTGCATAAATAACACCTCCAGCAACAGCAGGCTGACAGCAATGGGCATGCAAGCCACAGCCGCAGATGCCATTCTCAGAATGGTCTCCAGACTCTTTTTTTTCTCTCTCCCTACCTTTGATGAGAAAACAACTGAACTACACCTGCATGCTGAAAAACTTACTGAAACTGTATTGCATTTGAACTTGGGACACTTGGTGGGCTTTTGTGTGTGTGTGTGTGTGTGTGTGTGTGTTTTGTTCTACTATATGCTTCCCCCTTGATGAGACAACTACAGAACAACATCTGAGGCACCATCTCCAGAATTGCAGGCTGAGGGACAAACACCAAAATTATTAAGACTGAAATTTCATTGCATTTGAACTTGGAGGTTTTTATTTTTTATTTTGTTCTATTTTATTTTATATTTTTTTCATTTACTTATTTTTTTATTTTTATTCTTATCTTTACTCTCTTTATTTTTTATTTTCAATCCTCTCTCTGTCCCTCTAATGCCTTTTCAGCTTATGGTTGATTAGTACACTGTCTCTTCCTATTTATATCGTTGAAACTTTTTTTGTTTGTTTCTTTGTTTTGTTTTGTTTTTTTCTACTTAATTATTTGTCTTTCCCTTTTCCTTTAATTTCTTTGCTTTCCATCCTCTCTCACCCTTCCATTCTAAATATCACCATTGTTATTATTACAATCTAGAAAATACTTGATTGCACACAGTACAGGGACAATAACAATATCAAGGGGCAATGACGGGAAGACAGAAAAAACAGGGAAACCAGTTTCCCCACAGCAAAAAATTAGTACAGGAACCAGAGGGAAATGAAGAAAACAGATACTCAGATCCAGACTCCAACAAAATGAAGATAAACTATGCCAAAGGACCCAATGAAGCCCACAAGAATAATTTAAAAGAAGACATACTACAGGTACTCAATGAGAATTTTATAGAGCTGATACTGGATAGGGTCAACCAAAATGTACAGGAGACACTCAAGAAATTCCAAGACAACAAAAATAGAGAATTTGAAAAAGCAAAAGAAGAAATAAAGGAAACCATAGAAGCACTGTATAAACACCAAAGTGAAACAGAGAACGATAATAAACAGATAAATGAACTCAGGACAAAAATAGACAACATTAAAGAGGAAACCCAGGATATGGAAAACCTCAGAAAAAAAATGAAACAGAATGCAAAACAAAATGGAAGGCCAATCCAGCAGAATAGAACAAACAGAAGACAGAATCTCAGAACTTGAAGATGAAATGGTAATTAAAGGAAAAACTGAAGAACTATTAATTAAACAACTCAAGACCTGTGAAAAGAAAATGCAAGAACTCACTGACTCCATCAAAAGACCAAACTTGAGAATCATGGGCATCGAAGAAGGAGAAGAGGTGCAAGCGAAGGGAATGCATAATATATTCAACAAAATAATAATGGAAAATTTCCCAAATCTAGAGAAAGATATTCCCATACAGATGCAAGAGGCCTCCAGAACACCAAACA